AGCCTGTCGCTAATGCGGCCAAGGAGATCCTTGCCCGCTCCGAACCTGTTACCGAGTCGCAGTCTGGTGCTGCCACGCCAAACTTTGCCAGGACTGCGGCGGAAGTCGCTGATTCTGCTGCACTCCTTGACGAAGGAACACCTGAGGATCGTGTCTCCGATGAAGAGGCCGGAAAGACTGGTTTCCGTCGCCTGTCTGCCACGCCCATTACCGAAGTTGCGGACACTGCTGCGGAAGTCGCTGATAGCGCGAAATATCTGGACACTGAGGTGAGAATGGTCTCGTAATGCTTTGCATGATTCACAGTGAGCTAACGCCACAAACAGGCCACGGAGACTGACAAGTCCGAAATTCCTACACCCGCCGAGGACGGCTCCCATAATCCAGCTCTGTTCTCACATGAGTGCGCCGGTATGTACGGCGAAGAACCTTCGATCACGATTGTATCCGAGGACATGGACAAGGACAACGAGATCCGAAAGGAAATACCGCTTGACGAGGAGAATATCGATATTAACGATCCCACCCTAGAACGCTTCCCATCCAACCGCGACGAGATCATCGATACTGTTCGGAAGCTTGAGACCGGTCTCGAGGAGGACCAGGTTATTATCGAGGACGCCCCATCACCTATCATCGGCTCTTCCAATTCACGAAGGGAATCGGAAGTGTCTCACGACGCCGCTCTCGGAGCAAGCGTAATTCCCCGCGCCGCGAAGAGGTTAGAAGTCCCCCATTCACCTCGCGTCTCCGTCAGCTCGGCTCAGTCGTCGGCCTTGTCGCTGCAATCGATTTCTGAGAGCGATGAGCCGACCAACAGCAAAGAAGAGGAAACCTCTGCGGTTCAGCTTTCGCCTCCCCACAAGACCGCGGCGTCAAACGAAACTACACCTAGGGAGGCTACACCTCGGGCGGTTGTTGAGGATGAAGGAATCTCTCTAAGCCCTGACTCGCCGAAGAAGACAGAGCACACCGAAGATCTGACCACCAAGATGCTGGAGCCTCAAGCACTTGATATCCCTGAAGTCTCAGCACATACTGTCTCGGTCGAGGCGCCTGTTGAACCTATCGCCCAGGAAGAACAAGCACCTAAGGATTCCAAGCCCACGAATGGCCTCCTTCCCAGCCCAGAGGTTGTCGCGGAAACCACCGAACGCTCCAAGTCATCTCAACCCGATGCTCAGCAGAGCACCGATGAGCCCGTTGCCGCCTCAGATGCTACCGGTGCTGATGTCCGTAGCGAGGCCGAGGCATCGGCCACAGCAACAGGCGCAGACACTGACAACGCCAACACGGTCAGAAAGAGAGGCGGACAGGGAACACAGGCCAGCTCGCCACCGCCCAGCGATGCTCCAGTCATCAAGCAGGACCCCAAGAGCGGATGGTTCACCACCTTCTGCAAGTTGATCATTGTGGACTTCATCGGCGGTATCCTGAGCCGAATTGCGGGCAACCGTAAAAGACAGACGTAAGGCATACACTGGGCTCAGACGATAACCTTTCTTCAGATTATCGATTGACTCTGTGTTGCTTTAGGCTGTTGGCAGCAGGCACCGCCGCCGTCGCCATGGGGGTCGGATGGTGGAGGATCAAGGCCAATGCAGCTAGAAGCGCTGCTATTGAATGAATTAGCCATGTGTTTTATGCAGGGAGGTGTTATTGGGTGCATATGGGTTACGAAGAACATGAGACATGGATACAGTATGCCATTAGCTATGGTACTCGGAGTTCAAGTTGTGTTGGCAGAGACACGACAAGGCCTCTTGAGATTGTTTTGAACGAAAAGAAAAACCAAAAAAAAAAGAAAGAAAAGAAGAAGGAAGAGGACGACCTAGTACATTGTTAAGTTTTGTTATTCCCTATAGTCAATATCCATACAATAAGTAGTACTCAGCTCTTGAGTTCCTTGTCATGAATTTGTGATGTGATTCCATGCTTCCTCGAGAGTGAGTGCATCCCCATGATGAATTTAGTGTACAATGGCATGGAGTTTTACAGGGACATGGTGGTGAAGAGGCCCCTGAAGCACAACGCTAAGCAGAGACCCCTACAGGTGGTGAACAGTGGCAGAACATTCCAGCAGTCCTGAGATTGCCGATAAGCACCACCGGTTTGTTAGCGCTTGCCCCTCACTCTATCAACTTTTGGAGAAGGTTGGGGCGAACACATTACGAAATTCGCCTGCCAAAAATTTTGACGACGACGGAACAGCATCTCTCGACACCACACCCCGTCGGCGTACGGGAATCTCAACATAATGTGGAAGACAGCGAGGGACTCGGTGTGCCTCATCTGCCGCTCGGCCGCAACGACAACCACGTCGACGTCAGCAAGAGCAAGCCTCGAACCATGGGCCGGCCAGAGAACGTTTTCGACACGGCGCGAGCAGCGCCCTTCGCGCATGGTGTTGTCCGATCGTGTTGCCCGACCACCGCCAGTACGAGGCCCCGGCGAGGGCAACAAGAAGCCCCGGAACAAACCTGATGGCCCCTGGGCGGGCATGAACCGACGAGTTGCAAACATCGACCCGCGCAAAGCACCCAAACCGAAACCGGTAGAGGAGGACAGCAGGAGAGACAAAAGGGACAAGAATACCAAGGGACAAAAGGCACTGAAGATGCAACGCGCGCTCGCAACCATCAGCTACGGACAAAGAACAAGTATCAAGGAACGGATGCAGGAAATCCAGGCTTTCGACCAGTTCGACCTGCTGCCGGTGGTGAAGGAGGCTATTGCGCAGGAGGCACTCAAAGGCATGACGGAGATCAAGCCCACGCCCGTACAGAGATTGGCTATCCCGGCTCTGCTAGGGCAGCCGATGGGAAGGAAGCCAAGGCGACCAAAATCGGACAACGGCAGGGAGGAGTTCCTTTTGGCTGCCGAGACGGGATCTGGCAAGACGTTGGCATATCTGGTTCCCGCGGTCAACGCTATAAAGAAGGGCGATGCTGATGATGAGTTGGTCGCCTCATACAACGAGCGTCTGGCGGCTGAGAAGGAACGACGTGGAGGGGCCCCGGTGTCCGAGTGGATTGAGAAGTTCGAGCCTCACCCCAACACAGCCCGGCCTCGTGTGGTTGTCCTGGTGCCTACGGCCGAGCTGGTCGACCAGGTCACCAGCGTTGCCAAGAAGCTCGCTCACTACACCAAATTCAAGGTACGACCTCTGTCCGCCAGCATCAGCCCGCTCAGAAACCAGCGCAACCTGTACAGCCCCATCGGCGTGGACATGATTGTTTCGACCCCTCACCTGCTCGCCACCATCGCCAAGTCGGATCCCAACGTTTTGTCCCGCGTGAGCCACCTCGTCATTGATGAGGCCGACTCCCTGCTCGACCGCAGTTTCTCGGGCGACACCACCAGCATCGTGGACCGCGCCATGCCCTCGCTCAAGCAGCTCATCCTCTGCTCGGCCACCATCCCTCGCCGCCTGGACACCTACATGGAGGAGCAATTCCCCTACATCAACCGCATCACCACTCCCAACTTGCACGCCATTCCCCGCCGTGTCCAGCTCGGCGTGATCGACGTGTCCAAGGACCCGTATCGCAACAACAAGATGCTCGCCTGCGCCGACGCCATCTGGTCCATCGGCAAGGAGGCCGCCAAGCACGAGGGCCCCAAGAGCGAGATCGACGTTAAGCGCATCATGGTCTTTGTCAACGAGCGCGAGACCACCCAGCAGGTGGCCGATTACCTTGTGTCCAAGGGCATCGACGCCATCGCTCTTCACCGTGACACGGAGGAGCACCGCAAGTCGGAGATGCTGGCGTCTTTTACGTCGAACGAGCCAATGAAGATCAGCAGGCCTGCTGAGGATGCTGCCGCTGCTGCTGAAGGAGGCAAAGCCGGTGGTGCCGTGAGCAGCAGCCCTACCAGGAGGCATCTGCCGAATACCAAGGTCATTGTGGCGACGGATCTGGCGTCTAGAGGTATCGATACCCTCGCCGTGCGCTATGTGGTGTTGTACGATGTGCCGCATACGACTATCGACTTCATCCACAGGCTGGGCCGCGCTGGTCGCATGAACCGTCGTGGTAGGGGTATCGTGTTGGTGGGCAAGGATGATAGGAGGGATGTCGTTGCTGAGGTTAAGGAGAGCATGTTTATGGGTCAGGCCCTTGTTTAGAAGGCCGGTGTATAAACACCACGATGGAAATTGTAAGATTAAGAGTCCATTGGACTGTCGCCTCAATCGTATCTGTATCATATGATGTCTGATTGATGTACCTAGATCTGAACTATTGTCTGGAGTGCAAGCGCCTCAAGGCACACCAGAATCGGACGGGAACCAGGAGGTTCTGGGGGGAAAGTAAGCATTCATAGTACTTGGTCTTTATTTGGGAGACTCGACAAATATCGTTCCTTTGTCTGTCTGACTTCAAACCAAGTTTCCACGCCAAGTTGAGACGAAGCCGAGGTCCGTGTCCAAACACCCCTGACCTAGACCACTAACGCTGTGTCGCTGTTCGATCTGACGGCTAGGGGATGTCCCCACTGGTCAATCAGACGGAAGGGTCCTGTCCTGTCCTGTGGGGTGACGAAACGCAGCCAAGGGTCCAAGAGCTTCTACGGCAACGGGAGACGGGAGAAGGCGCAGCTAGCACCTAGCAATGTGTTGATGGATCGTGATGAACCGGAGCCCGAAGAGCAAGCTGTTGAGCGTCATTCATACCCAACCACCACCTAATCCTCTTTTTCATCCCTGTGTTCTCAATCCCAAAGAGAACTTAATACCCATCTCCAGTCCCGAACTTCGAATATTTAAGCGGTCAGACACCATCAAACGCCAAATAACAACTTTACCAGCCATCAACAGCTTCAAGTGGGGTCGCCGAGTCCCCTGAATTGTGAGCTAGGTCTGGCCTGTTTGTTGGCTCTTTGGCTGCCTCTTGTATCACCTCTTCTTACTTTGTATCATCGTACAGACACAGCCTTTACACCCTTTCCTCTCGGTCATTGTCTCGGGCTCACATTTTACGCATCGTCTTGTATTCAACATGCCAGCAGCTGTCCGTGGCACGCCATATCTCCCCGATGGAGCTCACCAAGGAGGCGGTGGCTTATCTGGTGCCGAGCAGAAGATAAAGACACTGAGCCCCGGCGTTGCGGCTCATTTACAACGCATCTACAGCGCACACGCCGACACCGTGACCAAGGCCTGGCGCCAGGAGGACGTTTCCGTCTGGCTCAGGTGCTGTCAAGGCGACGACGAGGCCGAGCTGGCTCGAGACTTCCCGCTTCATCAGGACTGGGACTACGAGAGCTTTTTTCAGTACATCACATCTTCAGCCGCCAACTCGATTGCGCCTCCGCGTTCCCAGGACCTCAGTTACCCGCTCTCAAGCTACTTCATCAGTTCCAGCCACAACACTTATCTGACAGGTAATCAGCTCTCCAGCGAGTCGAGCGTCGATGCCTACAGGAACGTTTTGTTGCGCGGGTGCCGCTGCATCGAGGTGGACGTCTGGGATGGCTCGGACTCCGAGTCGGAGGATGACGATGGTGACGCCGAGTCTGTGACTTCGAGCAGTTCCAGCTCCAGCGATGATGCCTATGGCAGTGGTGAGGAGGGAACAGCGAGCAAGTTGAAGAGGAAAGCGAAGAGTAAGCTGCCTAGCTTTCTTGGTGGAAGGAAGAAGTCCAAGGACAAGAAAGTTCCGGAGCCCACCACAAGAACGCCGCCGCCGCCGGCAGCAGCAACAACCACTGAGGCCGCCCCGGTAGGACTATCAGCCGAAACGAACCCCTTGGAGAGGAGCAAGAGCGGCGGCTCTGCCTCTTTATTCCAAACTCTCAGTAGGAAGAGCACCAAAGAGCCGCGAGTCCTGCACGGGTACACGCTAACTAAAGACATCACCTTCCGAGACGTGTGCGAGGCTATCAAGGACTACGGTTTTGCCACAACCGACTTGCCCCTGATCGTCAGTCTCGAGGTGCACTGCAGCGCTGAGCAGCAGGAGAGGATGGTTGACATTATGAGGCAGATCTGGGGAGACCTGCTTCTTCCTGAGCCGGAGGAGGATGCCAAATATCTTCCCACTCCCGAAGAGCTGCGCGGAAAAATCCTCGTGAAGGTCAAGTACGCTCCACCCAACAATGAAGGGGGCTCGACGGGCTCGACGACCCCCGAGGAGCTGGACAACACCGCCGCCGCGGCTTCTGGAGGACTTCCAGAAGAAGCGGGTCAACCGAAGCAGCGGGCGAAGAAACCGTCCAAGGTTATCTGGAGTTTGAGCAAGATGGGCATCTACACGCGCGGCGTGTCGTTTAAAAGCCTGATGCAGCCCGAGGCCAACATGCCGACGCACATCTTTTCGCTGTCGGAGAGTGGCGTGATGGATGTTCACAAGGAGAGTCGTAGCGCGCTCTTCGAGCATAACAAGCACTATCTGATGCGGGCGTACCCGTCTGGTATGCGTATCTTGTCATCGAACTTGGATCCGGCTGTGTTTTGGAGAAAGGGGATCCAGATCGTGGCGCTGAATTGGCAGAATTGGGATGAGGGCATGATGCTGAATGAGGGCATGTTTGCTGGGACGGGCGGTTATGTGCTCAAACCTGCTGGTACGTCCACTTAGTCCACTCCTCTTTAAGTAAGACAAAAACGCTAACAAGACCCTACCTAGGCTACCGCTGCGCCAAACTCACCGACTCTAATCCGTCCCCCTCCCCCTCCCCCTCGGCCTCCGACACCCAAGCCGACGCCGTCCAGCACTACACCATGGATCTAACCATCAATGTTCTCGCTGCTCAATCGCTCCCCCTTCCCCCCGGAGACGACAACATCGACTCCTTCCGCCCTTACCTGAAAGTCGAACTACACGTGGAAGAGCCTGGAGAGCGACACGGCACCGACGAGCTGCCACAGGACGGCAAAGAAAAAGGGGGCGAGTACAAGGCCAAGACCAAATCTGTGAAGGGAGGATGCGATCCGGATTGGGAGGGGAAGTTCGGTGCCCAGACAGAACTGAAATTTGAGAATATCCCTGGTGTAGTCCCGGAGCTCTCATTTGTGAGGTTCTTGGTGCTGGATGATGAGATTGGAAGGGATTCGTTGGCGGCGTGGGCGTGTGTGAGGCTGGATCGGTTGAGGGAAGGGTATCGGTTTGTGCATCTTTTAGATGCGAAGGGGGTGGAGAGTGATGGGGCTGTTTTGGTGAAGATAAGCAAGAAGTTGAGGCTGTAGCTTGCTTGTTGTGCGGTGCGGTGCGGTGGCTTGTTTCGCTGTGGTTTGTGGGAGTGAAGGAAGTGGGGGAGTTAAAAGCACATGAGGCGTATATGGCATGGAGCGTTAAGCGTGATCTTAGCCATGTCATTGATATTTCTTGTGACAATTGTGTTTAACTGTCGAAGGTGGTATAAAACTACGTTGCATACGCCGTCGACACCAAACAAACCATTGTTGTTATTGTTGTGTCTCAAAAGGGGTCCCCCTATTCCTACCATTTCAGGACTTTGCCTGCCGGGAATGACCGACTTGCACCAGCCTCACCTTATCAAGCAATCACCACTTACGCCACACCTCCATACATGATAAACATTTCGAACTGACTGGGATCCTGGCTTGCTGCGGCATTCGTCTGGAGCTTCGTTCGCAGTCAAGTTACCTATCATTGCCACTTTATCGAAGCCGTCACCATCTTAGCTCCGGCAACTTTGCGACTGATTTAATAACCAACCACCACCACCACCACCACCACCACACCCAAATCCAAACTCAAACTCCAAAACTCTATACAAAAAAAATCGCAACCATGTCCGACTCAACCTCCGAGACCGTCAAGAAGGCCATCATCAAGCAGGTTCTCATCGAGTCCCAGAGCGCCAATGCGCGGACTTTGATGGAGGTACGTACCTACCTCTCTCTCTCTCTCTCTCTTTCCGTTTTCTCTCTTTTGCTCTCTCCTCTCTCTCCTGTCTCCCACCCTCCCCTCCAATCCTCACATACCTAGATTTCCTATACACCCTTCCACTCTCTCTCTCCCAAGCCAGCTTTCCCCCCCCCCCAAAAATATGCAATCCAACCGCCAACTAACCGGGCCTCCAACGAAAAACAGAAAATCGGCGAAAACTGCTTTACCTCGTGCGTCCCCAAGCCCGGCTCCTCCCTCTCCAACAGCGAGAAGACGTGCGTGACCCAGTGCACCGAAAAGTACATGGCGGCGTGGAACGTGGTCAACACGACTTATCTGCGGAGGATACAGCAGGAGATGGGCAACCAGTAGAGGAGTAGTACCTAGGAGGCACATAAGTTGCTTCTTGGGGGTCTTGGGGGGGGGGGGGGGGGACGAAAAAAAGCATCATGGAGGGTGGGGGGGCAGGGAGAAAAAAAAACAATGCGACTTCGACTAAGTGCGACTGCGACTGCTGCCGCGACTACCGACTGGCATGCGATGAATGATTCGGATGCCGATACCGTATCGTACACGACCTTTCTTTGAAGGACATTATAGAAGATATCAAGGGTTCTTGATGGCAGTGGTGTCAAGACCTTCGCATTGGGCATTGGCACAGGATCCGGTCACGGCTGAGGGTTGGAAATGTAAAGATGCAGGAGGCTGGAGAAGCGCAAAGCAAGGAAGAACGCAAGGAGGGAAAAATCAGCGAGCGGCGGCTGTTTGGTTAGGGAGATGGAGGTGACATCGTTTTCCGTACCGTATGTGTACGTGTGTATCAACATCAGCGCAATCACGGGCAAGGGAATGGTATAGGTAGACAGGGAAAGGAACGGGGCACAGTGCTTTTCATAGACGTTGGAAAAGTGGCATTTATTTTTTTCGTCTCCTGGCATATGCTTTTACTGGGAACTGATGTGATCTGACCAGGTTCCCAAGAAGAAAGGGGTATCTCATGTCAACAACAACTACTACTGATAATGAACAACTTGAAAGATAACAAAACCGAGCTGTCAAGAACAGAACTACGGCGCACCACCCTCCTCCAGCCCCTTCTTCTTCGCCTCCTCAGCCGCCCTCTTTCTCGCCAGGTACCGCTCCTTCGCGCTCGAGATATCCGCCTCCGTCTTCCTGCTCTTGGACACCAGCTCAACCTTCTTCCTCTCTTCTTCTTCCTCCTCTCTCGCCCGCTTAAGCCTCTCCTCAAGCTGAGCCTCCAGCATGCGCGTCTGCCTTTCCCGCATTGCCTGCTTGCTGCCACCCTGGAACACGCCCTTGGCTGGTCCGCTTGCCCCAGCAGGCTTTGCGGCCTGTCGAGCCTTCTCTTGTTGGTGTTCCACCTTCTTCTTGGGCGCCACGTTTAAACCACCCTTGAGCAGCTGTCGTTTGTCGACCACCTCACCGTCATCATTGATAATCACATTTCCGCCCATGGCGTTAATCTCCTTTGCCCTTTCTGTCGCCGACTTTTCCGTGTCCGGGTCTTCTTCTCCCTCATTCTTCTGCTGTGCTGCTTCTCCAGGCCCAGCCTTAACCCGCTCCTCAACAGCCTTCATCTTGGCCGCATGCTCCTGCTCCTCCTTCTCCAGCATCTGCTTATAAAAGTCCGTCAAGCCCTTATTCTTGTTCTTCTTGGCCTCTTCCTCCTCCCTCTTCTTTTCTTCTTCTTCCAGTCGTCGGTTTTCTTCCTGCTGGCGCTTGTACGCCTCTGTGACGAATTTTTCTTTATCGGCAAACGCGTCCCCCTCGGCCTCGCGCTCCCGTTTTAGTCTTTTTTCTTCGGCGATGGTCCGGTCGCGCTCGCGCGTCTCGGCGGCCTTTTGTAAAGCATCAAAGTAGCGCGGCCGCTTGCCTTCCTTGCTGTCGGCTTCTTTCTCTTGCTTCTTGGGCGCCTTGAGGGAATCATAGACGGCGTCGTAGTCGTAGATGGAGGGGTCGGCGGTGGCGGCAGCTTGAGCGTATTTACGCGATTCGAGGGCGGAGGAGAGGTTGCCAAATTGAGCGGCGGCGGCGACGGGAAGAGGTGCTTTCTTATTTGATGATGATGATGATGTTGTTGCCGATATAGGCAGTGGTGGTTGTGGTAGTCCCTTTGATTTCTTTTTTGATTTTCGGCCCTCGTCTACTGCCTCTAGGGGTGTGCTCGTGTTGTCGTCGAAACCGTCCAGTTCGGTGATCTCAACAGCGGCGATGGGCTTGGGCTGGCCATCACCGACTGTCGTGTTTTCGTCATCGTCATCGCCGCCAAAGGTCGTGGGCTTCCTCTTGGCCGGCGCTGGTTTCGAGGAGGCGGCAGCCTTTTTCAGTCCAAAGGAGAAGCCCACCATGATGAATTTCTTTGGTAGATTGATTGGCCAATTTGAAATACAACTAGTGAAATAATTCAGAAAGAGAAGGTTGGTTGTCCTGGGGATAATTCGAGTGGCGGCGACTACGCTACACTGCAGTGCAGTGCACCGACTTACACTAAAGTGAAGAATAAGTGGGTCACGGCACCAGCCACGGATCGCTTATCGTTTATCGATCATTCGCATGGTGTTCCTTTTCCCGGCCGGCAAACCGCCTTTAGTTTAGTTTCCAGGAGCTCGAGGTTGCGAGGTCCCCTTTGCTGTCAATGTTAAATCCGTAGCTCATCATCATCCACTGATTGCAAGCCCCCAAGATCCCTGTCGTAGAAGCCGAAGGGTCCAGCAAAGCTTCTGTTGGAATCTAGCCGAGCAAGGGTAAAAGATCGTTAACTTTGTATCAAGTATACAATTACATTGTTGTTTCAACCCATTTGTTGATAAACAAAAAGGCCAGGAATGGAAGGGAATGTACCTACTGTACGGTTATCAACACTGATACTAATTACCTCCTCCCACTGCCGCCAGCCTTCGTTGCATCGTTACCTAGAGGTAGGTACCTAGGCGATGTGTCGCATGCTCACTGCCAAGTTGCCCCGGATTTCTGCTCTCAGACGCTGCACGGTCTCGCCGTGGTGGCCCCCTCTGTTTCCGGCCTGGGCTTCGAAAAGGCCAGCTAACCTGAGGTTTAACAGTTCGTGGTTGGTTCAACAACCGCATCAAGAACCACAAACCAGCGGCACGAAGCGACACCACTTCGGCTCAAGTTCCGAAACGACATTATCTGAATACCTTCTGCACGCTCATTCATTTCCCCCCTCCCCTTTTCCAACAATTCAGTTCCTTCGTTTTCTTCAGTCCCATCTCTTCTGCATTTTCCCCCTTGCGGGCCTCAATCGACAACAACAACAACAATAACACTATCGCTACGCCTCCTCTTCCTCCTTTCTTCTTCTTCTTCCCCTTCTTCTTTTTCTTCTTCCTCCCCCTCCCCCTTCTTGCCTCCTCCTCCCAAAGCAGATCCGCCGCATCGTTAGGTTAGGTTTCTGGGCATCATGATGTTGTTGACGTCGGCACTGTCGGCCTTGTGGCTGGCCACGGCGGCACACGGTGCTGTGCAGCAAGATGCAGAGGGCAACGTGAAGAGCATTGGAGTGAGTTCCGGAAGCTCTGCCTCGCGCCATTCTGCGCATGGTACTAACGCTTTCTTCCAACAGCTCAGGACGCATAGCTTGAACCAGGTATGCGCACATGATCTCTCCGCATCCCACGAGGGACTTGGGACTTGTCTCGACCATGACTAACGCCGTGTCATTCACAATCTACAGCCATACTTGGACTCAGACACGCAAAGTCGGTGGTATGACTTTGGAGGAGACACCATTATCCGTACAGACCAGTGAGTTGCTCCCGCACAAAGCCGTCCAACGTCGCCAAGGAAGACATCGCTAACGGTACTTCTTCCCAAGGTACATTCGTCTCACATCCGACCGGCCGTCGCAGATGGGCAACCTTTGGTCCAAGGTGCCCTTGACAGCAACCAACTGGGAAATCGAGGTCGAGTTCAAGATTTCCGGAAAGAACCAGCTCTATGGCGATGGGTTTGCCATGTGGCTCACCAAGGAGCGCGGGCGCGAGGGGCCTGTTTTCGGCAACCAGGACAAGTTCGAGGGTCTCGGCATCTTCTTCGACACGTACAAGAACAACCGGCCCGGCGTCGTCTTCCCCTACGTCATGGCCATGGTGGGCGACGGACGGACCTCCTACGACAAGGACACGGATGGCAAGAACCAGGAGCTGGCTGGCTGCTCGGCCCGCGGTATCAGGCACGCCAACGTGCCGACCAAGTTCAAGCTGTCGCACTTTCAGGACAAGTACCTAAAGCTCGAGCTGCAGTACAAGAACGAGGGCGAGTGGCTCCTCTGCTTCGAGACCAACCAGCCGCCCACGATTCCTCCCGTGGCCTACCTCGGCTTCACGGCCGAGACGGGCGAGCTTAGCGACAACCACGACATCATCTCGATCAACGCCAGGAACCTCTACACTACCGCACCGCCGACCAAGTCCACCCCTGGTAGCGGCAAGGGCAAGAAGGTGACGGATCAGCAAGCTGAGGGTAGCTGGACCTGGTTCCTGGTGAAGACGCTCTTCTTCTTCTTTGCGGTGGGAGGCGCCTATGTCGGATACACGGCGTACAGGACGAAGCAGCAGCGCAGCCATCGCTTTTAAGGGGTATGACATGTGGGGATCATGATGGGATGGGACGGTGGTGGTGAATCGCGATACGCAATCGAGGAGAAGAGAAAAAAAAGAGGATGAGGATTCGCACATACAGTTTCTGCATTGGCGCGGGTGGCACGGACGGTCTATTTTCTTTTTTTCTTGGTTTTTGGGTGTATTTTGAGCTTGCCCTTCTACAGAAGAGGCGGTATTCCAAGACGACTGCCCTTTACTCATTGCGACGGTCAAAATGGGACTTTTCTTACATCTCTGCCCTTGCCTGTCCCTGAGACATATAGGCCCTGATCCTGGAGGTGACTATAGAAAACCACATTTGTGTCCTCCGACGCACAGGGTTTCTGCTTTTTTTCTAAACTGCCGACAAGCGGGATCCTACACAGTATACCAGTGGGTATAATGACGGGGCCAGGTAGTGTAGCCTCCCCCGAATACCAATGGTCGGTTTGAAAAAAGAATTGAAAAAATGAAATTGACATGACGGTTACATTTCTACATTTTGGGAGCTCGGGGTTGAGGGCCATTTCTGACGCCCCAAATTTGGACATGGACACGAGCCCAACGTGACGTGATTGGATCCCGAAGGCGATGACGATGCGATGGGCAACTCGACAAGTCTATCCAACAGGGACGATCCCTTCCAAAAGTTAGAGGAAACCCCACCTTTTACACCATCACCAGCGGCTCCTCAAGCCCCTCCAATGTCACTGGGATTCCACGAGGTCCCGCAGTGACTTCAACCATTGCTTCAGTTTCCAGCTGTGAAGTTGGAAGTGTGTCCCCGCAGTCGCACCTACACAGCTTGTTCAGAGACGACTCAGACGGACATCTGGGCTTAACACTTACTTGACATGTCCGCTGCTTGTTTAACTTGACTGAGCAGCCGAGGCGTTTGGCTTTATATGTATCATGAGTGAACTGGGGTATTTCGTTTCTGGGTGTATCGCTTCTCTTTGACGTCTTCGAAAGGAGATGGTTGGATTCGGCCAAGTGTACCAAAGTTTCCAACCAGTCTCTCTAGGGACGGGATCGTCTCCAGCAAGGGGAACTTAACCAGGGGCGCGCTCCACTTGGGAGACAAACAAGAAAAGCCAAAGGCAACGAAAGCAAAGAGCTTTGAACAGCATTCCCCCCGGCCCCCGATTCAGCTACCAAATCGCAATTGGGGCGTGCGTGGCTCTACTAGTGTACAAAGGCAGAGAGACGTCGCCCTATGCCAATAGGACAGGCGATCGATCCCAAGAGAGCGCACACGTCGTCCTGACCGTTCCCGTTCTTTGTCAACCGTCTTCTTGTTTTCTGTTGTCTTTGGTTGCCCCTCAATCTCGACATCCCTCTTCTCAGCTCCTCCAATTCGACCGTACAACAACACGTAACAGCAACAGCTCAGCTTGTTTCTCGACAACTGACAGGGTTCCAGTTCAAAACATCTCACCCCAGTCTTACTACACTGCACTCGGTCCCGCCTTACAAGGAAAAAGCAACCTGCAAGGTAGGGCAACGCTGAGTGACTTCACTACCTTACCTCCGGCTTCAATTCCTGACGTCGCCGTACCTCTCCGCCTCGCTCGTTTTTGCTAGTCTTTACCACACCACACACACCACACCACACTTCATCATAACATACACGCAACTACTCTATTCGCTTTCTGGCTTATTTCGACCTTCCATTCTCTCTCTCAGCTACACGCGAGCGCTCGCTGGGTAGTCCCGTCAAAGGTAGCAAGTTTGTTGTCTGGTATGTGTTCCAACTGATATCCAAAATGTCAACCAAACCTAAGAAAGCACATGTCACTACACGCCCGGTTAATGAGGTCATGAGGTGTTGCTGGGAGATAGAAAGCACCGATACCGCAGCTGGAGTTGCACCGCGACTGCCTTGATCAAAGCGTTTGCCCTTGCACTCCTCGAGGTTGTCGTTCCCTATCTCTTGCTTCTGCCGGTGTTACCCAACCTCAAAGCTCAGAGCGAGCCGGGTCGTTCCCCATGCGCTGCAGCAGCCGCATGTGCCAATTGGCTTTTCTCCCATATTGAAGCTCCGTGTTTACTGATTGCCTTGCATACATCCTGCAGTCGCGACAGCCCGCCGCCGCCGCCTGCACCACTCCTGCTCGATTCTCTCCTCCGCGTGTCGGTTCCGGCTCCCGTCTCCAGCTCCCCAATTAGACGGCCCAGGTCTCGCTCGGCTGTCGACCCGGAAATAGGATTTGATGCCTCTGCCTAGCCTCGGTTTCCTCAAAAAGAAACGGACGAAGGAGGGCAATACGGACCCTTCTTCGACTAGCCACCCAACCAGCCCAGTCACCCCTACCTCGGCCTCGAGCCTCGACCGCAACTCCATCCAGAGCAGCATCGCCCGGATCTCGTCGCACTCGAGTGCGTCGCAGGCCACTTCCCAGTCAGTCGCGACCGGTACTACCACCATCGATACAACCCATACGCCCATTACCCTGCCGCACGAAAACCCCGTCAACATGAATTCTCTCCCGGTTCAACAGCATGCCTATCCCCCTCAGCACACGCCCTCTCCTGGAGCAGCGGAGCAGCAGAACCTCCCGTCCATCTCCAACCTCATACACCAACCGCACTACGACCAACCCGCCACCTACAAACAGTCGTCTAGATACGTTCCATCTGTATCCCCAGCTAACGGCGGCCTGCCCGCGCCGCACACGCCCCAGCCGTCCATGCCTCAAACACAGCAAGCAACACTGCAGCCGCCGCATAATCACCATCAGCAGTCTCAAGCTCAGCAGCAGCAGCAGCAGCAGCAGCAACAACAACAACCCCAACAGCAGCAGCAGCAACAACAGCAACAGCAAGTGCAGCCTCAGCCTAGTCAGCCCAGGGCCACCAAGGGCAAGTATTCGCTCGCCGACTTCGAGATATTGAGAACCCTCGGCACCGGTAGCTTCGGCAGAGTCCACCTGGTCCAGTCTCGGCATAACTCGCGCTTCTATGCCGTCAAGGTGTTGAAGAAGGCCCAAGTGGTCAAGATGAAGCAGGTCGAGCACACCAATGACGAAAGAAGAATGCTGGCGGAGGTCAAACACCCCTTCCTGATCACGCTATGGGGAACATTTCAGGATGCCAAGAATCTTTACATGGTGATGGATTTCGTAGAGGGCGGCGAGCTCTTCTCGTTGCTGAGGAAGTCCGGAGTAAGTTAGATGGGTTTGTTCGCCCATGGAGTATGTGCGGCTGACACGGATTATACAGCGCTTTCCTAACCCCGTTGCCAAGTTCTACGCTGCAGAAGTCACCTTGGCCCTGGAGTACCTGCACTCGCGGGATATCATTTACAGAGATCTGAAGCCTGAGAACCTGCTTCTTGACCGCCACGGCCACCTCAAAATTACGGATTTCGGGTTCGCCAAGCGGGTTCCAGATAAGACGTGGACACTGTGTGGTACTCCAGACTACTTGGCACCAGAGGTTGTTTCCAACAAGGGTTACAACAAGTCGGTAGATTGGTAAGTACATTCATTCGGCAGCCTCTCCATCGCTCCACCAATTGCTTACATGAGTACCGCGCAGGTGGTCCCTGGGTATTTTGATTTACGAAATGCTTTGCGGTTATACGCCCTTCTGGGACGGCAGCTCCCCCATGAAGATCTACGAAAATATTCTCAAGGGCAAGGTCAGATACCCTCAGTGGGTCAACCCCGACGCGCAGGACTTGTTGGAGCGGTTGATCACGGCAGACCTGAGCAAGCGCCTTGGAAACCTGTACGGCGGACCGCAAGACGTCAAGTCACACCCTTGGTTTGCCGAGGTGACTTGGGACCGGCTGGCGAGGAAAGATATCGACGCGCCGTATACTCCTCCAGTCAAGGCCGGAGCAGGAGACGCGAGCCAGTTCGACAGGTACCCTGAGGAGACTGAGCGGTATGGACAAGGAGGGCCAGATGAGTAAGTTAATGGTACCAAATGGCGATGCCGTATCTGGATGCTAACACAGATCAGGTACGGTCACTTGTTCCCGGACTTCTAAGCAGCTCGAGCCTCGACGGCTGTGGGCTCGAACGGTGTATAATCAATTTTCCATCACCTGCACTGCGACATGCCCGATCAACTACGCAGAGGCCAGAGAATCGGCTAGACTAATGAATGGGCTTGTTAAACCAGCGGATCATCGAACCATGGCCGTTTTTGTATAAAGCTCAATACGAAGCCAGAAGTATAGCAGCAGCAGCAGTGGCTACGTGGAGCATGCGTTATGAGACGAAAGAAATGGACTCTTTGCCTTGGATATGCGCAGTCAACGCAGGATGAGTCTGGGCGGGAACTGGGTGCTGCAAAAGGGGTGGCCAGTTTTGCTTGCGTTTACGTTTTCAGGTTGTTATCGTGTCCCCCTATTTTTGTGTAAACAAATCATACGGATGGCGCCCTGGAATGGGTTTGATGATCCAAGTGATGCAATGACTGGCAAGTGGCAGATAACATTAGAGTGAGGAGTATTTTGGCCGTTTTTGGCTTATCACTGAGGGGAAAATGAAAGAAGGAGAGAAATAACATTTACACCTGTGATTGTTTGCGGTTTCAATGGCGGTGATCTTCAACTGCCATGTGGAAATGACCTTATTGAATCCCGAGGTGAGATGCCTCGATGATGGTCCCTGATACACTCCACCTCGACTTTCACACATATAAGAATAAGTTCACAAAGCCGCAAAAGCCTTCGCGGGAAGATGCCATTGATCATCTATAATAAAGTAGCCATGGTATGTATACGTAAGTCATAACTTATGTAGCCGCCCCAATGCCCGAAGGTATCATAACTCATATCACGTCAAGGTATTCACAGTCCTTGATATGTTGTCCATCCCACAACTCCCTCTCCTTTCTTCAATCCAAAAATGACCAATGGTTGTTAATCCATGAATCTCTCTTTCGTCACATCATCGTCGCTCGTTGTGATATGCCTTATATGCCCAAGCCGCCTCCCGCTCCTCCTACTGTCATCAACTCTTGGCAACATTCCACGTCCTAGCCGTGCTCATCGTCCTCTTCCTCATCTCTGCCATGATCTTCTTCTCCATCGCATCGATGCCCTTCTCGATATCTTCATCTACCTTGGCGTACTCGGCTTCGCGCCTCTTGTCCCACAGGAGCCAGGTCACGACGATGATGAGCGTCACAGGGATGGTGATGGCAAAGTACACCCAGATGGTGGGGGAGACTGAACCACCGCTTCCACTGCCCCCAGAAGAGGTTGAATTGGTGTCACCAGCGGCGGACGACGACGACGAATCCCCCGAATCCTGGTTCTGAAAGTTGAAAAAGGTCATGGAAAAGACGGACGCCAGTAGTGTGGCGGGTAGAAATACCGCGCCCAAGAAGGAGATGGATTTCATAGAGGTTGCGTCCCGTTTGGCGGCGTGCGCCAGCTTGCGCTGGTCGACGGCCATTTGCAGACCCAGCTTGGACTCCTTCTGGGCGATGATGTTGTACAGCGCCGCGCGCTGGATGGACAGACGCTCGAGCGTGATGTGTGCGTAGCTCTCGATCCCCTTGAGTTTGGCTTGGAAGAAATCCAGGCGGGAGACGAAGCTCTCGTTCAGGGCTTTGAAAGCCTCTTTGCCGTAGGTTTCGGGGCGGGATTCAGCGAGAGACCAGAAACTATCGAGCGCGATGCCGAAACTGCGGACGATTTCTTGGTAGGCTTGCGGGCGTTTCCAGAGGACTTGGGAGTGGCACTCCACCAGGTCGCGGTTGATCTGGTCCAAGTTGACCATGGTGTCTTTGATGTAGTTGGACTCTTCCTCGAGGATTTCTTGTCGCATGCTGACGGCGTGCTCGAGCCGGCGCAACCACTCGCGCGCTTCGCGCTGCTTCATGTCCGTCTTGATGGAGATGTCGTGAGACAAAACGATCATGGGGAGCAAAAAGGGGTGCATGGCTTGTGAGGCGCAGGCCAATAGGGTCTTGATGGAAACGTTGATGTCGGAGGAGGGCGTGCCTTTGACGAAACCCGAGGTGATGCCCGTGTTGAAAGAGTGCGAGAGCATCAGTTCCCAGCCCCGGGTTTTGCCCTTTTTCCGGACGTCGGATTTGCGGAAGATGATTTCTGTAATTCAAAGGAAAGGGCGGCTCGTTAGAACGTGAGTGGTATGATGGTATGGTGTGTGAGGGCTAGGGACGAGAGGGATACAAGGTGGGTTGAACATACGCAAGTGAGGATCTTTGTCGTCGTGGTCCAGAGCTGCCCAGAAAAAGGGGCCGACGACGCTGGTTCCTTCTATGGCTCGGTAAGGTAACCGCATGCTCTCGACCATGCTTGAGTAGTCCTCGGGCTTTAAAGAAATGTGAAGAGGTGCAAAGGTTTCATTATCTTGCGCATCCTTTTGTACTCTGGACAGTTTGTTAGGCCAGTCCGGTTGCGTTTCATGTAATTCAGTTGCATCATGATACTCACATCAGACGAATTCCGTTCAAAAGTCGTACTCCTTCCTTCAACTCTCTAGGAGCAAAGACACCCTGGAAAGCGGAAATGTCAGCTTATTGCTATCAAAGCCCTCCAAATTCAGGATTGCTTCTTACCCGCCGACGCAAAAAATTATGAAACTCGACTCGTCGCTCATCAGGCCCGAATCGATGCTCCTCAATGGTGTTGAGACTTTCATCCTATGAGACCAACCACGTTAGATGCTTACTTTACTCATGTTCCCTCTCGAGTTCCCGTCCTTCGAGTTTATAACTCAACTCTTGAAACGTATCTTCCTCCTCACGGATCAGTTGCCGAATACACATCAGAGAGACAGCTCGTTCAACTTCACCCGCCCAAGGGCCCTGCAACCCTTCTCATATATCTCCTCTCATGATCTCAATACCTTTCACCGTATCAACTCCCCACCAAGACAAATACCCATCTTCTCGCCTTCTCTCCCATCCCGTTACACCACACCGAACCGCTGCCTCGTCCTTTCTCCCCCTTTACCCCACCTCTGACCACGATATTCCATCCTAATAACTTCTCGTCCTTTTTTTGCTTACCGAATAATTGAAGATTTCTATCCATGAGGTAGTCTCCTCCACAAATGAGCACTGGTCGAGATACGTCTGAAACAGGTACTGATCCATGGCTGATTGGTCTTATTGATATCCTTACCCCTTGAGTTTCAATGCCGTTGGTGTTACGAAGAAGAAGAAGATGAAGAAGAAGAAGGCTCGATAAATAGCTGGGGCTTGGTGATGATGAAGATTTGTCAAACCCGATTTCGGTACCGAGCCGCCGTGTGAGCTGAATGGGTGCCGTAGCCGGTATAAGCCTTGCGTGTCAATGAAGCTGCTTTAGCTTGGGCGAACCCGAAAGCGTGTGTTTCTGTTTCGTCTTTTGTATATGTGTTCGGTGCCCTCGCAAGTCGTGCCGGCCGGTGTCATATACTCCTTTTGTCTCAGTTTAAGTCGTCCAGTCTCATAAGGCCGTACGTTCGTAAACTCTTTCTTCGTCAACTTCGTAGTCGTGGTGATGGCGGTGTTGGATGCAGTTCCCGTCTATAACCTTTAAATCGTATAAATCCTCGTGAGATGTCTTTCTAAACTCCGTCGGAAAGATACCTTGGACGTAATATATATGCCTAGGCCGCGACGAAGGCTCCCGACATACTCTCACGACCGTCCCAGGAAGGAAGTTTGCACAACCGAAAGAAGAAAAAAAAAAAAAAACTCTTGGGAGTTTAAGCAAAGTTGAAAAATGTAACAAAACACAAGAAAAGAGAGGTAGCCAAATGGAAAGGCTGCTGCTTGGGTGAGGAACCCACACGGTCACACACACCCCTGCGCTGAGCCCCAGCCTGTCCAATCCTTCGACGGCAACGTTCGAAGCTTTTCGTTCCTTTCCCGCTCCGTTCGCTACCGAATACCGACCCCCGATTTTCGATGGATGCCACTTACGGCACTGCAGTGCATTTTAGCCGGTTTGTTTGGAGCTATAGCAGCACGTAAGCAGCAGCCGTTGCGGTGTAGCGTACCGGCGTGGTAGTAGGTAGCGAAGTAAAGGGAGGAGTACTCGAGCAATAATAAAAAAAGCACATGAAAAAGAAGCTCTCCCCATCGAGCAAGAAACATGACGAGAAACCGGCACCGATACGAGACGTCTGGGCCCATTCCTTGCTAGAAACGTACCCGGGCGTGATAGTGACGGCCCGCTCTGTCAGCATTCGTTCTCTTCGTTCGCTGGCTTTTTGATGGTGGCTGGGAAAGTGGAAAAGCACTCTGCATCGGCCATCGAACGCTAGAGGTACATTAAGAAGGTACACTACCTACGGTAAGCCTCCCCCAGCTTCACGATGCGCCAGCTAAGCCACGGTTGGTTTTTTTGGTGGAATGGAGCCCCTGAAAAAAGACCCCCTGTCGTTATAGGTACAATCAAGCTTTCCTCAAGTGGGGTGCCACGTCTTGTCTTGTGCCTCTTTCTTTGAGGCCGCTGTTGAGCCGAGTCTGTGGAATGATCTTCCTACAACTCGGTCGGCATTCTGAGGTTTTACAGACGTCAACACCATGGCTCCAAGGTTCGTGGTTCGAAAAACATCTGTGCAGTCTCTAACACTCGGGACTGAGCAAATTTTTGTAAAATCCACAGCCATCTTCAGGTCTTTGACCATACAGTGCCACCTCTTCTTATCACCTGTCTATAACGCCCGTAAACTCCATTTCATAGTACCTAGCTGTTTCGCACAACATCCATCCATATCTGTTGCATCCAGGAAAAACAAAACAAAGCAAAATGTATACATGTTCTATCCAGCCCTGCCTAAACCCCAAGGAATCACATGATGACAGAGAGACCAATCAGTACTGCCACAGCGCCTTGTGGTAGATGACCCTGGACCCCAGCATTTTGTACTCATAGTTCGTAATCCACGAATCGTTGGTCGACAGCTTCGCAAAGACGCTCGCTCCCTTCCAAACAACGACTTGTTCGTCCATCTCCCTCGCGCTCCTGCTCACCAAGATCCGCTCTGACAGGTCCGGACGACGTGCCTTGAGCTTCTCCTCAAGATATGGCGCAAAGTGCGGGATCTTGGCACCACCACCAATCACCATGATGCTTCCCATCAGCTCCCTAACCTTCTTCTCATCACCCTTGGCGGCGTTCTGAATGCTGGTCATGATGGCGATGTCAAGAGGAACTACTGGCAGCACAGCGTCACGCTCTGCGGCCATCGACTTGGGAGTGCGCTGAACGGCCTCGGTTGGCATGCCGGGGACGGCTAATGTGTTGCTGCCAGCGCCAGTGCCATTGGGGGCCGCAGCGGCCCCACTCGTGGGTACTGGAGTAGTGCCATTCCGTCCACTGGGGGCGGGACTACCGCCGCCTGCTCCGAAGACGAACGGCGGTGGAACGGGAGTGCTGGCGCCCTCTCCAGGAGCAGGCGATGGCGCCTTTGATGTGCCAGGGGTTCCAGCCGCGGTGTCGCCGCGCGCCAAGAAATTGAATGACAGCGGCTTCTCCCTGCCAGGCGTAGCAAGATCATTCAACGCTCCCGCAAGGGTGTGTGCATTAAGGCTGGGAGCGATATGGGATAGGACGGCGAACTGGGCAGCTGATGTAGGGTCATCGGGGACTTCTACATCGTAGGCGTTATACGACCTCTCGATGAGCTTCCTCCTGCCTCTAAGCTTGGTGCTGTTGTCAAAGATGGAAGGGTCATAAAATCCCATAGGGGCCAGGATAACCTCATCGTAGAATTTGAACTGGTATTTGCGGGTGGGCTGGTTAGGGGCGCGCACGTGGAAATCGGAGTTCTGGACAGATATGTTGGCCTGTGATAGCGTGCAGTACTTGATCTTCAACTCTTCGGCTAACAAGAAGTCGTATCTTCGGCGTAGATTGATTTCCTGGTATGGGAAGTTGTCGTAAAGCATCATCTTGATGAATGTTTCGGTGACATCGTAACCGCCAAATTTCAGGTTGATGCGAGAGTCCTCGATGCACAGTCCATCCTCAACACAGGTGATGGACGTTTTTTGTGCGCCGACGTCTACAACACAGGCCTGTGTGTAGCCGGCACCGAATGAAGCCGCCATGCTTTCTTGTATGAACGAAATCTTGCTGAACTCGAACCACTCCACGCAAAGGTGTAATATTTGCTCCACATACTTCTTGTCGTACAAATCTGGGATGACGAAGACGCAGCTATACTGCTTCCATTCGGTACTTCGCTTGAGACCCAAATCATACCGTAAGGCACGATCAAGTAAGGTCTCGATGTCGTTGAATAGATGGGCTTTTGTGGGATAGTCGTCTTCATTCATCCAGCCGTGCTGTATCGGCCACCATAGCTTGAATTTGGGGTTGGAATCGTCCGGAATGCGTAACGCCTGTTGTCCAATGAACACGGAAGCGTTCGAATCCGGGTCTTCCAGAGTCTTGACATCGGTCCAGTCTACTTGAAGAGGGTCATTGTGGGTAGAGATGACTTCGGCCTCTGTTCGGCGGTTGAAGTTGAGAACCAGATCTTTTGAGTTGGGGAGAACCTTGCGCCTGTTTGCGCGCATGTCGGTCTTGAGGTCGTTGCACATTTTTTGGTACTTCTTGGACCAGTCTTCGCCGTATTGCTGCTCGGTTGTTCTAGCTTCGAACTGCCTCCTCGGTAGCGCTTCGTACATCTCCGACTCGGTCTGGGGGTACTTTGTCGCGAGGACCATGGGGATGGTTTTCGGAAGCGCGTCGCTCGCGAACCCGATTCTGAGGTTTTGACTTCCGGGGTGTATAACGATGACCTTGGACGGGTCGGCATAGGCTGTGGCTGTCGGCCCATCATCGCCCTGTAGCTCGTCGAGAGGGAGAGGCACTTCGCCATTGGTGTAGTTGAGGGCGCGATCGCGGTCCTTGGCACTTTGTACAAGCCGGTCTCTGTTGAGTTCACTCTGGAGTCTGAGCGAAAGGATCTGGTCATCCCGCTTCATGTAATCACTGCGAAGGCATTGTCAGCATGCTGGACTTTTTCGTTGGTGAGGATTAGGACGTGAGGGTATGGTCCGTACGTGTAATAGTTCTTTTGGTTGATGGGAACGACGTCGGGCCAACTTGTCTGCTTCATGCCATTGTCGGTGCGCTCCAACCCTGACCGTGGCTATCAGTGACTGAACATGAAGAGGCATTGGTAGAAGAGCGAGAGCACCTACCTTCCCGAAGGAGGACGCGTTCGCTGACTTTCCCGACCATATTGAAATGTTGATGCCTCCCTGGATATGCCAATCGAGTGGTCTATATGCGCGGTAAACCTATAGTCGAAAGATGACGCGCTTTGTTGATCTATTAAGGCGGTGGCAGTCACGGTGCAGCGGGACGTTTTCCGCAAGTGCGCGCCAAGTGGAGGGGTGGAGGTGGTGATATTGGTGATGCTGTCGATGTACCGATTCCGTGTTTTGGTGTTGAGGTAAAGTGGGAGTTGCGGCGGTGCGGTCGGCCGGCCGGGAATGCTGATGGCGGACGTGGGCCTCGTCTGTGTTCTCTTGGTTCGCCTTGATTCGGACGGTTCAGTCCGATAAATTTGGGGTTGATTGAGTTTGGCGGCCGGTGCACTACACTCCTACACGATAGACAAATGTTTTGGAAACCATCCACAGCGTTATTCGTCCTGCGAGGCTGGCCAGACATGCACTCCCCAGTTAAGGTACCCCGTTGTCCCTGGTCCGTTGTGGGGTTTCCAGTACCGCGCTAACGCCGTCCAGGTTTAGCTTCTTTGAAAGGCTGAGCAGGGGGGGGGGGGTTCCAATGGAGCTGTTCGTGCCATTCCGGGCTGCGACCGCGGAGTGAGGTTCACCTCGACAGCACCGACTTTTCCGACTGCATTCACACTTGCAGCGTTCACTTGAATTTCGCTCCTTTCGCTCACACAATTTGCTTGCATGTCCGAGCCTACCTAGATCACGGCAAGTCTCGACTTCAGAACTCAGAAGCTGAGGCTGACGTCCACATGTTGATCGTCCAACAGCCAGTGCATCAAGACCGCATACAGACCGATGTTGAATCACGTTGTGCTTTGAGGCTCGTCTCGAACAAACAAAGAAGGCCGTTCAATACCTACCTCTAGTGGAAATCAAGGCCAGCTGCAATCTGCGCCCTTGCACGGCAGTTAACCATTCGCGGCCGGCAATTAACCTTGACCTGCCAGCTGACAATGACGTCGTTTCCTGATCGGCATTGCTCACAGCACTGCAGCTTAACGACCGTTTCGCGAATCGCGAGTGTCTCACGCAAGCGCATCTGTCCCTTTGGCAAGTGCGATTAATGGCCAGTCAGCAGGCAACGACACGATAATAAAGGGCAAACTGAGACAATTACCTACACTCACCTTAGAACGGCCACGTTACACATTTGGCGTTTATCCATATCTTTGGATAACCCCGCCCACGAAGAATCTAATGTACTAACATCTCACTGCAACTGATATACTTTCACACAATCCAGTGATTCACTCGGCTTCATTGACCGCACATCCTGTTTACATCCTCACGATCTTAGGTATCAAGCCACTTGAAACTATGCCTCCGATAAACTTGCACATCCACAGCCCCATCAACGCAGCAAAAGCGTCTGATCCGCAGGACACCAAGACCGCAACTCCAGAGGGGCAGTCAAGCTCAGGAACAGTTCTCAACGCCAACCCCGATCCCCAACCCACCGGGTCCGCCACTCTCAACCAGCCTACGCCCACCTACCTCACCTCCGACCGGACTCCTCCACCTCCCCAGCCCGGGGCAGTCCCGAGTCTTCCCGCCCAAACCGCGGGGACTGGCACAGCAGCCACCCAAGGGCAAGACGTTGAATATGCCCATCTCCCCCCGCAACCATCATCTCAATACTACCCAGGGAATCCAGCAGCACCAGCACCACATGGCCCAATAACCAGTCCACCGCACCAAATGTCCATCCCCCCACCAACCGCTTCCTACAACTACTCCCAACACGGAACGTCTACCACCACCATCCCACCACCTCCCACGAGAACCCTTCCGACCTATCTCCCTGCTGGTGCTTCCCCGGCTGAGCTTGGCCTTGGACCCAGACCTGGAGCTGGATCTGGATCCGGAGGAGGAGACCTCTCTCATCCTCCCGGGTACCAACAAGACGCCATGGCGTCGGATATGAACCAGGCGCAGCGCGCAGCGCACGAATATGCTGCTTCTCAAGGAGGTCACGGTCACGGTCAGGGTCACGGTGGCGATGACGACGAAGAAGGGGTCTGGAACTCGGCGAAGAAATGGATTCAGGATGCTGGGGCGAAGGTGGCGGAGGCGGAGAGTGAAGTATGGAAGAGGATCAATAACCAGAAGTAATGAGGGATGGGGCCTGCTATACAATACTCCGTGGGGGCCCGGACATTGTAGTGTCCGTGACTCGGTGGAGAAGGGGAAAGTGGAGGTTTCGAGTCTGTTGAGGTGAGGGTGTGTGGCGTCGGGAGTGTTCGGACTGGAATGACATGTTCGTCGGCCTGGTTGTTTCAAGATAGACCGAAAGATGGAAATTTTCTTCAATGGGTAGGAAGTGGGAAATAGTATTCCTCCATATTAAATAACAACTTCTGCTGTTCACCTGCGGCATGAGATTTGGAATGTGGTGAGGGAAAATGGCCAAGAAAAACACTTCGTTGTGCATCATTGCATTCGGGTACTCGACATAATGGCTGGAAGTTAAGGCGTGGCCAATTCATGTCAATCATTGCCAACAAGACTAATTGGAAAGACTTGATAATTGTTGAACAATAACCGTGGCCCCGGAATTTGCTTCCAGCATCCATGTGACCATCGATGTCCAAAGCCCTGTCCTTGAACGCATACTTTTATTCAATTTGGGGACAACGCATGACAGACAGCAATAACAAGAGAGTGTAGAGAGAAAAGTAAATGCAGAACAATTACAACGAGGAATGAAAAAAAGAAAATTGAAAAAAAAAAAGAAAAGAAGATAGAAAAAAAGTAGTGAGTGGCTGTACAGCTGTGGATTGAACGCGCGGGTTCGGGAGAAAGAAGGAGGAGCGGGAGGGAGGAAAGTAAAGGAGCGGGCGACAACCGAAACTGCTACGCCATCCAACCAGCTTGCCACGGAAGTGATGTCGGGGGAAAAGATACATATACCCTCCCGCAGGTTCTAGGTTACGGGCTATGTTCTCTAGGTCACAGGCCCATTGAAAAGTTGGGATGAAAAACGGGCGGGAGGGCAGCATGGCAACTAGATTTACACCGTCGAGAGGTTTGTGTCCAGATATAGGTAGTCATCACTTGGAAACTGGTCAACTGCACTGAAACTGGATCGTAATAGGACGGTATTGCATCAAGATAAGCATGGGATTCAGCTTGCCTTTATCAAATGCTCGTTCAAGTCTTGCTTGTGAAAGCTTTGTGAAGGCTATTCTACCTCTTGCTTCTTCCATGAGCTATCTCTTTTACGCAGATACCAAGAAACATCACAGTTGCCCAGACGGAGACTACATGACTCAAGATGATGATGGTAAATCATCCGAATTATGTGCCAGCGCTAACGGAGGCTACAATATGGCTTGCAGCCTGTGAGACAGCTTAGATAAAATCTCTTGCTTATCTCACGGAATCAAACCTCAATCCTGAACATAGTCGCCTCAAATTTGAAATTCAATTTGTGTGACTCCTGATTAAACAGGGGCCAGTCACTGGATCTTTGAAAAAAGAGGATAGATGGGGCGGGATAACGTATCTCAGTAATTCTTGCTCGGTCTATCGAAACCATTGGTGATATTCGCCTTCGAGATCGCAATTCTGAGCATACTGTGCTTAAGGACTTCCAACCTCCTTCGCCAGATCATCAACGAGCGAGTGTTGTTTATGATTGCCCCAGCCAGTTCATCATGCTTTCGTTATGCCCCGAAATGGGAGGTCACCGTTGTGTGTTCAGTGATCTGATATGAGGTATTATTCACTATGACAGTGATGTGATCTGTGAGGAGGAAGAAACGATTTCTTTGGGTCTGTCTCGTAAGAAGAAGTTTTGTTATTGATTGTGAACACATGGACGTTTACGATACTCACTTGTTGTTTCCGCTTCCATGTTTCCAGCATTACTACTACCTGTAACGGTAATGCGTGTACCAGTAATCCACGCTCTGCCCCTTTCCACGGACCATCTTAACTCCCAAGACAGAAGACCCTAGCGTTACATAAGCTCGGTACAAGCATGGAAATTTATGGTGGTATTAACGGCGGCCTCCCGAGAGTGTGAACGAGATCAAGTGCTGAAGGTTTCCAGACACTTGAACCAAAACAGCGAGCATATCCCCATGCCCCTGACCTCAACAAATTTTTTCCTTGAGAAAAAGTACTTCATCTTATCAGATCCGTCTGAACGGGAGCTGATGTTCGAGCGTAGAGGCCCGGACATGGATCGAACCAGGCTAGGATCCCGTCGTCTAGAAGGTATGTAGACACTTAACTCTATAGAGATGCCGGTTCAACCGATTCCGTCGATTGCTCATGGATCAATTTGCCTTTTCAGGAGACTGTTTACATGGTTTTAATGCTTTCTCGTACTGGAAACACCGAGTGTCGGGTCATTGGTGAACTGTGATTTTACACTTGCGCCAGCATGACCAATTGGATCAAGGTATATCAGCGTGAGCGAGAGCCATGGGACACTCGAATGAGTCATCCGAGCATCTGGTTCCTGGGTTTGGAAGCAAGCCTTACGTACTGTCAAGACATTAAGTAAACGGAATATACGTCTGTTTGCGTTCATAGTCCGAAGCTCTGGCTTGAGCGTCTTTCTTTGTACTCTTTGGCCATAGACATGCGTTTTCACCACAACCCGTGATTGCCATGACGTGAGCCACGAAAACAACGTGGAATCTTGCCGGAAGTGGTTCTCGTCTTGGTGGTCTCGGTAAACCCGCGAGACGCGTATCGTGATCCCTGGCGGTGAGCATTTGCCCTACAGGAACACTCGTCGATACCTGGGCCATGCATGGGCGGAGAGACAGAAGGATGCCGTCATGCGTGAAATATTGTCCGCCATGATTCACATAAACTCAGAGCTATAGACAGCGAGTTTCCTTATGGCTAAACGGCAAACAATTTCCCAAAACAGCACTCATTGTTATGCGTGGCGCGCCCAAGCGGAAGAACAACTGCGCTGGCGTTGGAGCGGATTTTCTGAGAAGCTCCACTGATCAAGGACGTGGAATGTCTCTAGAAGAAACACTAGCGTCCGAGCGGCAGAAAGGGTGGGAAGCAACTGGCGATCAAGCGGGGCGATGAAGTTGTAGCCTTGAAGCCTTGATCCTCCGACTTTGAGAAACTGGGAAACTTGAAGCTATTCTTGGAAATTGCTTGTGATGCGTAGGCAACGCACAGACGGACTGTTGTTGTTTTGTTGACCCCAAGAAGTATAGTCCAGATCTATGCCATGGCAGAGGAAATCAGGACGAAACAAAATGGGGTAGTGTTCTCACTGCTTTGAGGAAATTGACGGGGCATGCGCAGTGTGGGTGAGAAGCGCGCTAGAGAAACACCCCATCGGCGGCTGTCATTTTGTGGTCCAGATGTGGTCCAATTGACGATCGTGGGGTGATTACTTGTCTCTGACATGACTTCCAAACAGCTTCTCTGTTTTTTTTTTTTTTTTTTTTTTTTTTTTTTTGACCGGAGTGGTCATTCGGACCGCTAATTCCTGTTGAGTCCTTCCACTTCTCTGGAGCTAGAGGCGGCTGGTGGTGGACTATTCGCAAGGCGAGGTGAGACCTAGAAATACGAACTCGAGAGATGGATGGATGGATACAGTATCACCAACTGTACAACATGTATGTAGGTATCGATGTTGGCGGTCACTCATCCAACGGAGAATTTGGAATGCGGGCGGATGATTGCGCAAAACCTCAAGAGCGCCTCGAGGTTCTTCACCCCGCTTACCTACACAACGAAGGCAAGAGGTCTGGAGGCGGTTGAGGTGAACCCGTCTCTTTTGGTGCGTGCCAAGAAAGGTACCAATGGTGACATCGGGGCATGCGGGGCTAGAGTGCTGCAAGTAGGGTGGTGTGCGACTGCCTCCTGCGACAGATCTGAGACGTTCCTGCCCCGCGAGCCCCGGTTGCTCCCCCGGCCCACTCCTTCCTTACGCCTGGCATGTCCATGGTGTCATTAGCTTCCTTGAACAGCCCTTTCGCTTTTCCATCCAGGGGCATCCGCTTGCCCAATTCCAACCAGTCTCTTTCCAACCTAGCTACCAACCCGCACACAATCTCCTTGTTCCTTTCTCTCGACTCAGTCATTCGTTCCCTCTCCAACAACCTCTCCAACGTCGGCTTGTGGCTCAACACCACCAGCCCGGCCAACGAATCGCAGTCGTCTCCGAATCCCCGCATCCACAATCTGCAGTCGGCAAGACGGGGTTTCCCCTGCCGGTCCTTGGAGTCCACCCAAGTTCCTCAATTGAATTTTGCAAGAACAAAACCCACCAAACCCCTTGAAAGGATCGAAATCGAAACCGTACTCCCTGCCTGCCTCGAGCGATCAGGAAGCCCAAGGAGGATCAAGACACGGGTGACGCGGATCATCCTCCCTTTGATCTTGGAACTTGCTATTTTTGCCCTCCTGCCCTGCTTCCCCTCAACACCTCCCTAGACACTTGCCCACTCGAGTCCAGTTGACGACATGGGCTGGGCCAGCATCAAGCCACTGAACCAAAAGAGGCTTACGCTACCTCCTTGTTCCGACCGCAACGAGACTGCTAACCCGCTCACAGCACTAGCGTAATCCTTACTCCAAATTTTGTCTTCTTCAATCTCGGCCCTCAGGCTTCAGCCAGTCCTGAGCTGACTCGCCCTGAGCAACCTCCGCTTCTAGCGCCGACCTGACGAATTCATTATGGCTTGTGTCAAGTTTCTGAGTAGCGAAACCCTAGATTCACGAACTTGGGAAGAGTTTCCGATCACGAAACCCACACACGCGTCGCCATGTCCGTCCTGGTTTTGCACTTCCGATGCTGAGAGACCGGGGCTTGCTTTGCTGGGTTAGGTCTCAAGCTGCTATTTCGATGTTGTTGTCTCGCAAAACAACAACATTCGATCAAGTTGGATACACAGGCAGTCACGCTTGATTGTTGAACCTGGACTTCGAGGCAAAGGGCAGGCTTGCAAATCGTCATCACAACCTTCGAGCATTATGCCCGCCTGTCAAAATATTATATCATTCGTACATGGCCGGCCTGGCTTGCCCTGATGCCTTACGGTAGCGATCTAATTGCTTCAAGCCGGGCTGATAACTGAAGTCAGTCTGCTTACGTTCCGTTTAACGGGCGCCAGAGGGACGGAAACGACGGAAAATTCTAGTCCTCTACAGCCTCGTACACCATCCTACTACCGCGAAGCATCCTTTTCAACATCCAATTCTTAAGCTTAGACCACCATCGGCCTGGAATCCGGATCATCCAAGACAGGGAAAACTAGGCCTGGCTGCCACCTATTACCGACAAGAAGGCATGGATCTGAAACAAGCCACGCACCCATCGGTATCTTTTCGCGCCCTACACAGACAGTTCTGGGTACATGGATGATGACCCCCATCTCATCTTCACTTTGCTAACCATACACACTCCTGACCGAAAAGGGCTTAGAGGCCTTCTCAGACAACCCCTTGCCCTGTGCTGCTCAGAATGGGTGGCTCTTCCTGGTAGGGGAGAGTCCCGGTCAAGCCCCTGGCTAGTAATCGGGCTAGTAGCCACTTTGGTCTACGTTGCTTCCTCACTACTTTTTAACCAAATTGCTTTTCGGGCCATTTGGCCATCAAGACTTTTACTTTGGGAATCTGACTTGCCAATGTTTTAGCCTCATCATCTATTGCCAAACAAAGCATTGATCTGTAGGCTAAGCACCTGGTCCCTGCTTGGGACAATATCATCTCATACATGGCTCCTTCTGCCCCGTCTTCGATGGGTACATGCAACCCTGTCCGCGTCTACCCTTGTCGCCTGTCTTCTTCCCAAAGGAACAGGCCATACAGACATCTCGTGCACCACCTGTTATCCACGTTCATAGACGCAGGCAAGCCTGTACCATGTATCAGAGACCCGGCTTAGCTGCTACCGGTGTCCCTAACCTGGCCTCACTGGACCATTAGCCGTCCAGGGGTGCTTGTGTCTTGGTATGTGATAGATTTCTTTTATACCTACGGCATGTCAGTGTCCCCTCACTGGTCTCTTCCTTTTGCTACCTTCCCGTCCATTCATTCTCGATTTCTCACTGGTTATCCGACCCTCTTTCACTACCACCAGTCCTTACTATTGCTTGCTGGCTTATAATACACCTAGAGCAGGCTCTCTTCCTCTTGAATACCAGTGTGTGGGTGATGGTCTAACGGGTTGGCTTCGTACAACTCATTCCACTCCTTTCCTTCCAGCACTTCGGATCCTTGACATTCCTTTCACTTTGGGTAACCGCAATTTCACAACTTTCTTTTCTCTTTCCTTTCTGGTCATTCTATTATTCTTCAAAGACGAGGTCCAACAATCCTTAACAACAATCGATATACACGAACCGCTCGTACCACCAATCAACCAGCCATCAACGCTCTCATTTACCACCGATCACTTCACCTACGCAGAAAGGCTCGCAGTGCTACCTGTATCCCTTCTCAGTCACGACATCTTCCCACCTCGAGCTAGCTTCAACGCCGTTATACATTGCGTAAGTTCAACCATGATCCCTGGACGTATGTTCATGCTAACATCCACAGCTCTGCCCGTGGCTTCCGGTCAACAACCAGTGGGCCCGAGTGATCTTTTTGAAACTATCGAATAGCCATGGACGCAAACCAGGAGCAATCCCGCAGACGGTTGCCTTTTTCCTTTGGGTTCTCAAAGAGACAAGAAGTGTCTTTCCATCACCAAGATACCATATCCACTATGCCTGGGAGCCAATTGACGACTGAGATGGAGGCGATGGCGCCTACTCATGGAATGTGGACAAACCCTACCTCTCATAGTATCAAGCCACGACCGGCTACTATCCATGAAGGATTCGCATATAGTATGGGTGGTGGCTTTGGAACTTTACCAGCGTGGACTCAACCCTCATTGAACATCCCGCAGGCGCAACACACCCCAAGCGACGTCATGTTCCCGCCGACCTCGATGCCTCACGAGTTCTACCCGCAAACGACAGGTGAGACGACCGAAACTACTAGGAAACAAGATGATGTGGAGGAGCTAACCGTTCCATTAGATGCATGGGGGCAGGGACATTGTGGAGAACATGTTGATATACCACCTTTGGACGAGGATCTTGCAATCGGTCAGGCATTCACTAGTGACGAGGTCGTTCCCATGGACCTTCAGTATCAGGGACATCAGCAGTTGGAAGGCGACCAGATGAACTACGATGGCGGATTGAATCAGCGCAGAATGTCTGGATCGTCGTTCAGCTTGTCGACGTCGGGTGCCTTCTCCGACATGCCTTCGTACGACGAGTTCTCCGCCACGTTTTCTGACGCGCAGTCAATTTCCGATTACCGGCCGACCTCAAACAGGAACTCCTACATGTCTTCAACACATCTCTCACCTGTCGCTTCTCCACGTATGACTCCTCAAACACGGTCGGATCTCGTACGGACACAGAGCAGAGGCCGCGCCTCGCCTTCTCCCCGGCCTGGAGCGCGCGCTGCTCCATACAGCGTGGATGGTGGCAGGAGTAAGAGATGGTCCACGGGATCTTACGGTACAGCTGCTAGCAGAAGACCTTCGCCTTTTGTCTATCATCACGGATCGCAAGAGCCCTTCCACTCTCAGCCGCGGATGCCGACCCACCACTCCTCCCCCACGGTTGCTCAGCCTCAACTACCGCTCAGCTTTGGGAACCTACAGGCAGTACAGCAGAACCCCTATCTGCTTGGGAGCAATGGTCCAGTACTTCAGCATAGTAGCATGCTTCTTCCGTCGCAATTGCCATCGCATGGGTTCCACCCCGTGCAGCACCACTATGAGCAGCCGCCTCCGCTGCTTTCTCATGGATTCTTCCGTATGCTTTCGAGCAATGCGGACCCGAGCTCTCTGCATCACCACTACGCAGACCTTTCGGATCCGCCTGATCTCTTTGCTGCCCTTCAGGAGGAACAACTCGATCCTCCCCCCGAAGATATGAATCCCGACGATCCCGAAATGGTCCCCCACGAGCAGGAGCTCAGGTTCGACGGTGATCTTTACACCCCTAAATGGGTACGTGGACACGGAAACAAAAGGGAAGGATGGTGCGGAATCTGCAAGCCAGGACGTTGGCTAGTGCTCAAGAATTCAGCGTACTGGTACGACAAGAGTTTTACACACGGCATTAGTGCACCGACAGGATGTCGTTTCCAGGAACCTCAAAAGATCAGGCGCATGGAAGGAAACCCGGAAGTATGGGAAGGCTTTTGTGGTACTTGCCGTGACTGGGTCGCGCTCGTGAGCAACAAGAAAAAGGGCACCACCTGGTTCAGGCACGCATACAAGGTATGTCAAGAATTATCTCTTCCATAATGAGTGCCTATTGCTAATAGTTATTCTGGAACAGTGTCATACCCACACGAAGATCAAAGAGACACCAAAGCGACAAAGGGGGAGCAGTCACACGCGACCATCAAGCATGATCAAAGGTAAAGCCGAACCGCAGATCTCTAGCCCCCTGGGAGGTCAAATGCAGGACAGCTCGATTGCGGAAACACCTTCCTTATCCCAGACGTCGGGAGAGAGCCAATTCGAGCAAGCATAAGAGGATCAATGTCCATCATTGTCGGCACCATCAATCCAGCCTCTGCACCGCTGCCACCCACCGAGCCACAATCGAAGTTATGCCAAGCTCCCAAGTTAACTTCACACTCTGCCAATCTGCAAACGCCGCCAATACCTCCACACGATGGGCGTCGCCACAACGAGCACGCCCAGGTCACATCTTCCCCTCGTCCTTGGCCTGCCAACAATGCTGGAGTGGCCGATTATCAGTGACCGTCCACCACGGTCGATTAGTTGAGAGACTCCGATTGGAATGGGTATCACTACGCCCACTCCACATCTTTCCTTATTTTACTCGTCTATTCCCCTTTTTACAGCTTCATGAACATAGTTTGCTCACTGAACCATGTGGTATTCCTAAGGTGCTCACAAACCATGGTCTGTTCTTTCCTCATCTCCATATTCGCTTGTTGAATCTCATATTTTTACGGAAGCTGGCTACCACGAGATGTCGTTATGACCATACACGGAAATCAGAGAAAGCGGAAAGCAAGTACACACAAACAACTCCTCGGGAATGGAGTATGATTTAGAATTGGGGCTCAGGGCGATTTACTAGATACCTTACCTAGACTGGCACACTTTCTTATGATGTCTCTTTTTTCTCTATATGCCGACCTGATCTATTCAACGCGGGCGTCGCGAATATGATTCAGTGCGCGGAGGTGATGTGGTGGAGGATACCCGATTTCCTTATTTCCGTCTTCCTGTTACTCGTTTCCTTGGCTTCTAATTGTCTATTCGAAATTCTTATAACCTTCTATACTCTCATTTGTCCCCTTATTGCACGGGGCTTTCCCCGTATACCCCCTCCCTTTTTTGATGGTTATTGTTGTAGGTTCGTGTTAGGCTTCTTCGCAGCTCTAGATGAGCGAAATGATACCCAAATACAACTAAGCTGATGGCCACCATAATCACGGGAACCCGACAAGCTACATAAGTGCCAGACGGATGGAAGTCGTACCGTATGACTTGTGTGCCTTGGTGAGCCCAGCTGGGCTTTGGTTTGGTTTGCGTTGCGGACCACTAGATTTTCGACTTGACAGGAGCTACCTATGCACGGTTGCCCATACGACCGGGCTGAGGTAAACAAACAAACAAACGCATAAAGTGACGTATGCGCACTAGTTGTTCCACCAATTTTTTTTTTTTTTTTTTTTTTTTTTTCTTTTCCACATCCCCCCCTTACGATTCATGAAAATCCACTTCGAGACCATTACTGGATATTTTATAACCCGGCATATGTACCAAGTATCAGACTCGACTAGTTCTGTATGTGCGTAGCAGAGTCGCAAGTCTTGAGCATTTGTTTACTGGTACGTAAAAGGTATTCTAATTTTGTGCACTACAAACGCTTGTCGGCCTTGCGGACCCTAATGGCCTCTGGTGCCACCTGGCTGGCAGGGGTTTAAAGTGCTTGCATGACAGTCCAACAGACGAAAGCTGGGATGGGATGATGGCTCGAATGCAGCTGTGCAATGGAAAGTCAAATGATGGTATTACATCAGACTTGTGTACAGCAAGTACCAGAAGGATGTTCATCGAAACCGACACTTGTTGAAAGGCTTCACATCCACAGTCTGCAGTGACATCTAATGTTATGTTCGATAGGGTCATCACAGACAAATAAATAGCAAGGGAGCGAGAACGCTCCGAGGCCGACGGAAGGAAGATGCACCACATGTTCGCCAGGCACGGCTAGTGTCTGATTGGCACGCTGCACGCTATACAGACGTGATAGGTAGGATGAGAGGGCCGGAATAAGTAAGGCAGCAAAGCCCAAGTTGAGAACACCTTTCCTATTGAGCAACAGCTTGAGGTTCTTCACCGCCCGCGCAGCTCAGTCACGATGAAAGAAAAAAAAAAAAAGAACGAAAAAAAAAAAAAAAAAGGTTCATGGATGCAAGAGAAAACATTGCCTGCCACTCCACTCCAGTAACATGGAGTCGTGCGTTTCGGAGCGGTTCTATGGCATCCACATGGAAAATCGGCAACCACCGGCGGTGCTCGGAGACGGGAGGGGGACGAGCGAAGACTCCACTGGCTTCCGGGTTTGGTTCGTCCCGAAACTTACGACAATGAATGTTCGGCCGCGCAGTGAACTTGAAATCGGCTCAGGTAACCCTGCGACGTAACGGCGTTACGGGATTTCTGCCAGGTCTGAACGACACCATGGCTGACCTTTAAATAGGTAGTTCATAATGTTTAGGCAAAGTGGTCCTACATACATGGCGAGGCAAGCTGTGGAGGTGATCAAGACAACGGCGTGAATCCGTGAAAGGGAAGCACAGCGGGAAGAAGTGACTGCATCCTAACGGTCTGATGCGTCGTCCGAGCTTCTTATGTTGACTCATGTCGTCCCTTGGAAAAATAACGGCAAGATGTGCAACATTCCTGCTGAAGGACACCGACACAATTTCTCAGACATTTGCCAGGGATAGATGGGTAGACAACTATCATGAGATAGTAGTATCATCCGAGCAAGCTGAAGGGTGCCAGAAAAGCACGAATAATCATCGGCGTCGCCTGGAACCCGGACCGTTCCTGACCTGTCCCCAACCCGGCAACGGGTGCATGGGCATGCAGACAACGGCTGGCTGCCCGTGGCTCTGTCCCCTTGTGCCTTGTGCAGGCGATGGCAGGTGTCATCTTGACTGAACACCTGCTCTAAGTGGAGCATAGCTCAAGTAATTCGTTGCATCTATGAGCCAACTCGGTTTCTTACCACCTTTCCATTTCTCCCAATTTACTTAACCCTGACACCATGAATGCCCTGATTGTCACATCTGCCGGCGGAATATCCATTGTATCTTTTGTATATGTTAAATGGCTGAGCTGTAGCACAGGGAAGACCCTGATGAGCGGAGAGGGACAGCGGGGGTCGAGACCTGTGCCACCACCGAGGGCGCTTGCAAAGCACCTATCTTTTAGCACATACCCCAGGCGGTAATGCCTGCATGCAGGAGGTACCGGTAAGGTATGGAAACGCAAAAGCAACGGGGAAGACGCAGGTTACAAACATAGCAGTACACGATACCGTGACGAATACAGTAACTTTTTTTGCTTTCGAATTTCTCGCAACAAGCCGTCGTCCAGCCTGATGTTTTTCAGCCCCAGAGATACGGGGTCTTTTCTTGACCTTTTCCCTTCCTACACGATCCCGACCAGGCATTCCATCCCCGTCTTGTCCCGAGTCCTGCTACATGCCGGATCGACTTTCGTTTTCCAACAAATCTCATGTTTTTTGACTTTCTTGATCTTCTTCCTCTTCTCCCTGTGTGACTAGGTGAGCCCACTGTTTGCTAGCTCCCTCCAGCTGAAGCCCCTCCCTGACTTCACATCCATCCCTCATTTTCCGCTAGGACGACGTGCACTAACCAGAGGACTGTCATCTGCTTCACGTTCCCTATAGAGTCCCAAAACGTTCATAACGGTGGTCACGGCTACGATCGGCGAGGGAAACCCACCAGCCCCAGATTCGAGTAATCATCAGGAAAAAAAAGAAAGGTCCAAGAGTGGGATGGTCAACACAAGAAACAGCACGTAGACAAGACCGACTACCTACCGATTCCGATTTCTAGCCTCTTCAGCTTGCCATCAGCTCCGTAATCCATTCTCGGCCCTGTTCTATCCACACTATACCCGAAGCAAACGACTGAAGGATCTCTCTTCACCGTTTACATACCAGCCCACCCATCAGCAAATTTCCACCTCGACCTCAGATCGGAATTGGAATATATGTATGGCACAAGACAGAAACTGATATGAGCGGGGATCAGCTGGCTTGCAGGTTAGCCAGTTCATACCACCATCTTGTTACTCCGGCCCCTCCTCCTTGAGAGACTGGCATCCCATCCCTCCCTTCTCATTGCTTCTCTTCTTACTGACCCTCTCATCTTCGTAGCAGCTTTGGTGACCAAACCGCTCAGCCGTCTACACCTACCCGAACCCCGAACTCCAACACCTCGTCGAGCCCCCTCTTGCACACGCCCAAGGACGACAGGAACTACGCTGAAGATACGGCGGGCTGGACTCCTGGGTTTGCCAAGGAGTATTCCGTCTTCATAAACACACCAGGATACTCTAGAGAAGCAGAAGGTCTGTCCGAAGAGCTTGGCTCAAAGAAACCGGCCTTCATTTTGTCTGGCCAGAAGGCGTCGCTGTCAACGGACCGGCTTCCTGCGGGGCTGACTGCTGCTTCTGCGAACCCCTCCTCTTCTCCAGATTCGGCACAGCTATTACCTTCGGTAGAGTCTTTGGTTGGTTTAAGCCTGCCCCGAGAGCCATTGGTCCTATCGAGCTTCAACAGTTTGGCGTTCTCGAACCAGCTGCCTCACCCTACACAAACCAGATCGGTTCAGAAGATATCACCCGATACCGCTGATCCACACCCAACCCAGATTATAACACCTCCACCTTCACGTCACAAAGGCCAGCGCAAGCTTGCCGGTCGGCTTGACGCCAGCGTTATGCACAATGATCAGGACTTTGTCCAGCAAGAATACCTGGAGACATCCCATCAACCAGACATGGGCAGCTATATGACGAACCAAGGTGATATGTTTAACTACCAGCTTTCCGGAACCACGACAGGCGATTTTGCAAACCCGCAACCCTTCTGGGAGACGGATCCTAGCTTGGAGGTGATGGAGATCGATTTCAATGGAGCAAGCAGCAGCCTGTTTCGACAGGAGCCGCACCCACCGTCCAGACCTATGAACTCACTGAACTGGGAAACTTCAACCCCCAACCACTTTATTCCGGAGAATGTACTGGTCAATGGAGGTCGGGTTGTGTCAAGTGGTGGAAATGAACATGTCATGGTGTCTCAAGCGCCCATGCAGGCCCTGATGACCTCGTCAGCGGATCAAATCATGTATACTGGTACATATGCTACTGCTATCGATAACTTCTTTGGGATAATCAACACCGGCGTCGACCCGGGCCTCCTCTTCAGTCGGCCGTCGTCTGCTACTATGGATGCCTCCTTTGACGCCGTGGCACAAGGGTCGTCGCGAGGTCCATCCCGTCAGATATCTCAGGGCGCCCAGTCGGGAAACCAAGGTGCGTCAGTTGCAAAGGTGCCATTACGCGGTGAGCTACGTCGCTCAGCCAGTGAAAGGGAAATGGAGCCCCGAAAGAAGGACAAAGTACGAGCAACCTCTCCTGTCAAGCCCATCGGCCGTCCCGGGCTTGGGAGGAGTCTCAGTGAGAATAGAGGCAAGAGACCAGGCAGTCGAGCCATCTTGCCAGCGCTAGCACCGGCTCCACGTTCACAGTCTCAGTTATCCAACAGTTCTGGCTTGGGCATTAGTCGCCCTATTCTCTCACAGCCCGGTAGGTCAAGTGGCAGATTATCGCCGTTAAAGAGCAGCCATCAACGACTGCCCAGCCTTACATCTATTCCAGAAACGGCGGGGCCGCGGACAAGGACCCAGGCGAAGTTCACCATCGACGAGAACGGTCGGGCCCGTGTAGAGACGACGCTGGTCGTTGAACGCGACAACCCTATGGCCGTCCGTAAGCGGACTAGTTCGCAATCAGTAGGTGGCTGTCGCCGCTGGTGTTCGGAAGACGACGAGGAGTCGTCAGCAGACGATGAGCCGATTATCATCCCCAGCAGAAACACTTCGTTTTCTATACCGGACCCCCGCAAATCGAGGACCGCTGTTAATACTTCCAGCCACTCACAGCCAAACTTTAGTTTCAGTGCGCAAAGTACAACATCGTTGGGTTCTTTCCGATCTGACGGCGGGTTGCACGATCTTGGCGACGAAAGCGATGACGAAATTCTCTTCAGCGAGATGACCCCGACCAGCAAGATGTCAGGCGATGCCGTCAATGAGCTCCTCAAGCTGCGAGAAGATCGGATGAGGCAAAAGTCTTCGCCCTCAAAAATGAGACGACTGACGTCCAGCAGCCACAGCAATAGCACCGGAACGAGTGTGAGCATGAACTTTGCCAGCCGCTTCACAGCATCGCCCACGGCACTGACTGAGGCGAGTTTACCTACGCCCTCGTCGTCCGATGCAACTGCTAGCGTCACCAAGATGCGTGCCGTGCGTTGTATTTGCAAAAGGCCTGATCTCGACCCAGGAAATGCCTTTATGGTTCAGTGGTATGTGTATTTTCCTTTTGTTCTCCTGCGTGGCAGTAAAGTATTAGTCAAGCAAAGCTAACAAGATGGGTTGTCAACTACACAGCGAATCGTGCGAGATGTGGCTACACGGTAGATGCGTGAAGATCACTTCGCAACGGGCAATGCCGTCCATCTATATATGCGCATACTGTGCGAACTTGAAGACGACGACACCCACCATACAAGGCAGTGGCGGCGGCAATGGAGTTTATAGCAGCTCATCACGGACTGTGAGACAATCCGCAGTCGTTGGGAAGGGGACACCAGGAGTAGGGACGACGATAAGACCTACTTCAGGGTCGTCATTGGGGTCACCGCTGGCACATAAGTCGTCTTTCAAATCATTTCGATGAAGAAGCTGTCTCGAATATATGGACTGCGGAAGGGAAACGGCATGACGTGCATGAAAAGCAGTACATTAAGCGAAAATTATACGGGAAAAGATGGAAATTGGAAAGGAGCGAAAAGGTTTACTTTTGATTATCGAGAGCAGGTAACGCGACAGACAGCTAGCCATTCCGGAGAAGAACGAGCACGGAGCAGAAATGCACAATGATACCCGAATCACCTGGAGCGGATGGTGCTTATTTGTTGATGGCCATGTATGCCAAACTTTGATGTCGATGTAATGCTGCGGGCAGGCAGGTGTCGTACTGGCGGTTTATTTATTTTTGTTGACCTAGTTAGTGTACACTAAAAAGGGGTGACTGATGTGAAGTGTATACAAACTGATCGATATGTTTGCGTAGATCATGTCGGGACCCGACCTTGGATCCACAATCTGGGCTCCGGCTTCGCCCTGTCGGAGCCTCGCCCTCGAGAGCCGTATCCGGGCTTGGACGGAGGGACCGGACTAGAGGTAGGATCGACAGCAATTAGCTCCGGACAGCCGGTCCTTGGGTGAATGTCTTGGGAAAGGAAGCCATTCAAAATCCAGACTCAAAGGCTGCGGTGTCGGCAGTAGCTCCGGGCCGTTCACAGGCTAAGCACCGGGAGCTGTCATCCGGAGACCTGGAACTCAGGCGCCTGCTAAAGACCGGAGCTGGAAACAGCAAAGCGGGACCCGATCGGAGTTTGTAGAAGGCTCCAATTATGACTCTACAGCGAAAACTCGGTGAGTTCCCATAGCACAAAGCGCAAGCCGGTGAGGTGATTGGACCTCGGGCAAAGATTGTAAGAAGAAAAACATGGTGGCACGGGTCGGAAGCGCCGACTTCGGAAGGCGGGGTCGGCGTTGTGCGTGGAGCAATGCGATGACTTGACGAGAACAGCGCGCGCCCAGAGCTCAGCGTGCGTGCTGTTTAAAGATCAGCAGATCGGGTGGCAGACAAGCGCGGGGCAGCTGTTCAATCGATCCGTCCAATTCAACTTTGAGAAGCAAAACGTCACTGTATCCTTCTTCTCGTACTTACCTTTTCCTCCTCTTGTCTTTTTCATACTGTTACTTTCCACATCCCGCTGAGCTTCGTGTGATACCCATTTCGACTTATTGTTTCTGGTATGTACAGACAGACCTCCCTACGTTGTCGTCCTTTGCTGCTCGTCACTTATCCACTGCGGGCGGTTTTCGGCGGCTTGACGATTTGGGTTCTATCGATTATTTGACCTGCTCTGCGCAACCGGGAAGCTTACCGTTTCACATCATAGTTCACTTTCCAATTCCCATACAGCTTTGATAATTCCAGCTCCCCGAAGCTCCCTCTATCATTACAAGATGGCTACTCATAACATTGTTGTGTTCGGTGGTGACCACTGCGGTCCCGAGGTACGCTTCCACCCTACTCTGCCCTTTGCCCCTGGCTGGCTCAGCTTCCCCAGCCCAAAGCATGGGATGCCCGGTTATCGGCCACCACCGGTCTTTGGACTGGGAAATGGGAAAGCACAACAGACTCTTTGGGGGAAGCGCAAATAGCTAACAAGTCTCTGTTTACAACAGGTTGTTCTCGAGGCCATCAAGGTACGTGCTTTAATGCCTTTTTGCTCGCTAGCGTCAACAAACGAACATCCGGGTGCCTTAGTCGCGATCCATAGCCCCAAGCGACGCAAGAATGACGGACAAACTTTCCGATTCTGCTCCCAACTTGGACAGCTCCCCAAGCACGATCGCACCTTGTGTGATGCGACAGCTTTCCAGTGACCATGTTTTCTTTTTGGCTGGACCACAAAGCTTACATGCGTTTTGTTTTACCTGTCTATAGGTCCTCAAGGCGATCGAGACCAACAGCCCTTCGGCTGGCAAGTTCAACCTCCAGAACCACCTCCTTGGCGGTGTAAGTTTACCTTCAACCCTTGAATAGGCAGGTTACTGACACTGCATCTTCACATGTGCTACAGGCCTCCATTGACAAGCACAATGACCCCCTCACCGATGAGGCCCTTAACGCCGCCAAGGCTGCCGATGCCGTCCTTCTCGGTGCCATTGGCGGTCCCGAATGGGGCACCTCTTCCACCGTCCGCCCCGAGCAAGGTCTCCTGAAGCTCCGCAAGGAGCTCGGCACCTATGGCAACCTTCGCCCTTGCAACTTTGCTTCCGAGTCCCTCGTCGACAGCTCTCCCCTCAAGGCCGAGGTCTGCCGCGGCACTGACTTCATTGTCGTCCGTGAGCTTACCGGTGGTATCTACTTTGGTGACCGCACCGAGGATGACGGCTCCGGCTACGCCTGCGACACCGAGCCCTACAGCCGCGCCGAGATCGAGCGCATCGCCAGACTCGCCGGCTTCCTCGCCCTGGCCAAGAACCCTCCCGCCAAGGTCTGGTCTCTGGACAAGGCCAACGTGCTCGCCACCAGCCGCCTCTGGCGCAAGACTGTGACCGACGTCATCAGCAAGGAGTTCCCCCAGCTTCAGCTCGAGCACCAGCTCATCGACAGCGCCGCCATGCTGCTCGTCAAGAACCCCCGTGCCCTCAACGGCGTCGTCATCACCAGCAACCTCTTTGGCGACATCATCTCGGACGAGGCCTCGGTCATCCCCGGCTCCATCGGCCTGCTCCCTTCCGCCAGCTTGGGCGGAATCCCCGACGGCAAGGGCAAGTGCAACGGCATTTACGAGCCCATCCACGGCTCCGCTCCCGATATTTCGGGTAAGGGCATCGTCAACCCCGTCGGTACCATTCTCTCCGTCGCCATGATGCTCCGCTACTCGCTCAACCTCCCCAAGGAGGCTGATGCCGTTGAGGCTGCTGTCAAGGCTGCCATTGACAACGGTACCAAGACCAAGGACCTGGGCGGTAACGCTACCACTTCGGATATGGGTAACGCTGTAGTTGCTGAGTTGGAGAAGATCCTTGAGGCTTAAATTTAGTATCTCGGGCTGAACGGGAGGGGGCGATGCAAACAATGCTCTTTGCGCTGTATTCATACGTAGGAGTTAAGGAGGCATATGAGGGATCAAAAAGGTATATGGAAAATTCATCCCTAAAGGGAGTTACGTGCATATGTTGGAAAACTTCATACGGGAAGGGTAGAAGAAAGGGACTTGGTCATGTCCATTGAACCTGGACCCGGCCCCCTTCTCATGATTATACAATAACGAGATACCAAAGCAATTGATGCTATGTTGAGTTCAAAGCATGGATTCTCCATCCGCAATGGTGTAGCCGCATTGGAAGTGTCTATGGCCCTATGGCAATCACATCACAAAAGCAACTTCGCCCAGACGATCTAGATCTTAAAGCAAACAAACAGTGGGGCGACGCAGTCGGTCGATTGCGGAATCGCGCGATGTGGTGGGACCTGGAAATGGTTGGCGCCCGCACGGCAGATCTCTACAGTATGTAGTGACCTCTTCAGGCTGCTCGGAGTAACTGGACCTGTCACGATACACTGCCGGAGAGTTCATACGATTCTTTTGTCTTGTCCTGTGTATGTATACACCCAGCACCAACCAATACATAGATAGGGAGGTACCAAACAGGATACATGTGATGGGTTCGGGCGAGGAGCGAGCAGTTTGGGAAAAGAAAATCTTGAATTTTTTGTGGTTGCTCTGCCTGCCGTATGAACTAGTGAAAACCAAGTCCGGGTTTGGGGTTTACACTATTTGAAGAAGATACCGGGTACACTACTGGATGGATGCGCTGAATGGATAATAATATGCGGATGCTCAAAGCAAGAAAGTGGAAGGATGAGGCAGGTGAGCGTGTGATGTGAGGTGACGCCAAAACAAAGTGTAGGCACCTCGAGCCTGTAACCCGACCTGCCTACATTCCAAGCGCGGTATGATATATACGTTTGTTGTGTATATACCGCAGTACATTGTGTTGTACATAGTCCGGTCGCGGCGTCATCCATCCCGCCCCGGGGTCACTACCTATCAGGTACAGCTAGTGTAGCTCCGGACTGCTGCCCAAGATTTTCTCAACCCTCCACCCTAGTTTGAGTTACATTATAGTCATCTGTAGCTAGATAATCAAGATAACCAAGAGCCTCTTTTACCCGAAGCCCAGAGCAGTGCTCTCGTCCGGTTCTTATCTCGATAGCGGCAGCGCGGCATGCGCAATCCAATCAAGGCATCTTGCTGACTGGTGATTGGCCAATTTGCCTTTTTACATTCATTGTTCACTATTGTCAATCATACCCTTTCCGATCCCGCGGTAGCGTTGACCGTGGGATGGTGGTCCGAGATAGCATAGAGGGGTTCGATTGTGTTGCACCCCTACCCTACAACATGTTGGAGTGAGGTCAAAAGCAATCCTCCAAAGTGCCAAGTCCATGAATGGGTGACGTCGGTTCCTTGTGCCGCCCTTGAATGTTTGGGTATGGCCTCGTCCTTTCTACAGGATTCGAAGATTTCGACCACTGCACGCAAATCGATGCGAATCTTGTTAGTTGTGTTGGAGAAACACCGTGACCGCCCAATGTTCCCTTGTGATTAGTCTAGCTTTTCTTTTTTTTTTTTCCGGCTTTTCACATACTTAACCTAATAGCCTTTAGATCAGGTCTCAACCAGTCAGTCTCTCCTCAAGACAACCTAGAAACCCCAAAAAAGCAACCAGGGCCCCCTCGACCTTTTTGTGGTGTTTTTTTCTCCGCTTTGCAAGCAAGATCCACAGCCTATTCACATACACACCTTACCAAACAGTCAGTTCGTCCCGTCACTCTTGGCCCTGTTCATCCCATCTCCACCTGGAGATCCGAGCCACCAGTGGGAGCCGGCATCACCCCGGCTTTCTTGCCGACTGGGCTGCGTGACGCAGTACGCAGTAGCCCTCGACTAGCCCATCGTCGAGCCGAACGCCTCCTACGCGACTTGCGAAGCTAGGGGAAATCGAAATCGTGAGATCAAATCAGTCTCTGTCATTGCCGCCACGTCGGGTCTGGAAGTGGAACGGGTAACGGGGGGGAGGGATTCACCAGCTCTGTGTTTGGTGTGTTTTTTGTGTGCTCGCTCGGCGTTTTGTGTGCTCGGTGTGATCTTTCTTCCGTCGTCGTCTCTTGTCTAACTCTTGGTGATCGCCTCGCCTTCTTTCTCTCTTTACCTCTCTCTGTCTCTCTGTATCTCTCTTCTTTCTTCTTTCTTCATCCTTTCTCGCAACAATACAATACCATAGTGGTACAAGAAACGATTTTGAACGATTCCCCCCAGGTCACACCACCCATGTCGTCAAGAAACCCGACAACCTGGGACCAGTACGAGCGCGGGGGTCGGTCTCCCGGCAGAACTGGCAGTTTTTCCTCGGTGGGAAACAGGAGTGTTCAATTCGAAAACGAGTCACTGCTTGGCCGCAGTGCTGATGCTAATGGTTACGGCGAGGATGGGGAATGGCCACAGTTGAGGCATAGGAGGTAAGTGTACCTAGAAGTTCGAAACTATTCTAGCCACTCTTTCAACAAGACGCACGAGACTGGACTGCTAACCTCCCACCCCGTTGCAGATCTTCCATCACCAACCGTCTTTCCGCCGTCGCCGATATTGGAGGCGTGAACAGTATCCGCTCCTTCACCAGGAGTTGGCAGCGCGCCGCCGGCTTCAGCGAAGTCATCCCCCAACGCCCGTCCTTCGTTTTTGCCCCGGATCAAGCCCCAATAGCAGCACCGCCCTCCGGCGCGACTCCCATTCAGTATGGAAGGAGTGATCTCGAAGCTGGCGAGGCGACGCCCCGGTCATCTCTGTTACGACAACACTTTGAATCTGCTGCCGGCTCTGCTCCTCAAAACGAAGTCGCGGAACCTAGCACGACAACGACGACGACGCAACGGCATTCGACCGATTACCGAGAACGCGAGGCGAAGGCGCTCGAGAATGAGCTCGCCCAGGGGTTTCGTGTAGGAAGTGCTGGATCGATATTTGCTGTTCCGCCACACTTGGCTACTCCTCCGATCGTGGGCAGTTATGGGTCGATTCCTGATTATGGGACTACACAGTCCAGGGGCAGCATGAGCAGGCAATCGATAGATCAGGTCTCGGTTCTGTGGAGGGAACCCCAAGAAGTGCCGGCGAACGTGCCCGATCAGGAGATCCCGCCCATTCTGGTGAAGGAGGTTGAGCAGGATGGGAAGATCGTGTTGGCTGTTGAGGGACAGTCGACACTCCCGCAGACGGTGTTTAACTCTATCAAGTAAGTCGCTCTTCCCATTCTCTATCAAGTTCGTCTCAGCGTTACTAACACGGCGTTTTGTCCCAAAGTGTTCTCATTGGAGTTGGCCTCCTAAGTTTGCCAATGGGCATCAAATACGCCGGCTGGCTCTGCGGCATGGTCACTCTACTTCTATATGCCCTCGTAACCGTCTATACCGCGAAGCTGTTGGCGAAATGCATGGATTTGGATCCTAGTTTGATCACCTTTTCCGACCTCGCCTTCATCTCGTTCGGCCGAAGTGCGCGCATAGCCACCAGTATTCTCTTTACGCTCGAGCTACTTGCTGCCTGCGTCGCCCTTATTGTTCTCTTTGCGGACTCTCTCGATCTTCTGTTCCCGGGCTTCCTGTCGGTCACAGGGTGGAAGATCATATGTGCTGTTATTATGGTACCGCTGAACTTTTTGCCGTTGAGGCTGTTGAGCTTCACGAGCATTATTGGCATTTTCTGCTGCTTTTCAAGTAAGTTGCGAGCGAGTTGAATTTCCAACCGAGGCTTTATACATGTGTCATGGACATGGCTAACTAATTTGCGCCCAGTTGTCCTCATCTTGCTTACCGATGGCTTCCTCAAGCCTACAGCGCCTGGTTCCCTTATCGAGCCTGCCAAAACCTACATATTTCCACAAAATTGGCTGACTTTGCCTCTCTCGTTTGGTCTGCTCATGTCTCCCTGGGGTGGCCATAGCGTATTCCCAAATGTAAGATGGGTGGTTTGGAAAAATGCTAGTGACTTCCTATACTGACATCCTCACCTAGATCTACCGAGACATGAGACATCCGTATAAGTACACAAAGGCGTTGAAAATCACCTTTTCGTTTACCGTAAGTCGGTATCTTTTCGCCCCATTCACATATGCAGCACTTACTGACCGCCCTTGTAGTATCTCCTAGACGCAACCACAGCAGTCGCCGGTCTCCTCATGTTCGGTGACGGCGTCCGCGACGAAATCACATCCAACATCCTGCTCGAGGCCAGCTACCCCAAGGTCCTAACCTTTTTCATGTGCGCCTTCGTCGCCATCATCCCACTAACCAAGATCCCGCTTAACGCGCGTCCGATCATTGCCACACTCGAGGTCCTGTTCGGTCTGCACACGACGACGGTCGCCGAGAGCTCCGGGCTCGTGGGCCGCTCCATGTACTTCCGTGGCGTCATGAAGATTGCCATTCGCGCGCTGACCATCTTCTGCTTCCTGGGAATATCGATTGTATTCCCGGCATTTGATAGCATTATGGCTTTTATGGGGAGTGCGTTGTGTTTCCAGATTTGCGTAATGTAAGTGGTCTCTTATTCTCAGCTTTCTTGTGTTTTCTCATTGGTTATCGTGTGGATACGGAGGACTAACGAGCACTTTCCTTGATGATAGTCTACCCGTCCTCTTCCACCTCAAGCTCTTCGGCGGCAGCATGTCGCGCAGAGAGAAGATTTTCGATTACTTCTTGCTTGCGGTATCCATCACGTTGTCTACCGTTGGCACTGTTTGGGCTTTCCTGCCAAAGAGTATTTTCGCTCCTGAATAAAGGGGAGCCAGGATGATGTTGCATATAATTGCTGTTGTTTAAGTTTGTCGGGTATTGTTTTGGGATGATCTATTTTAGACCGCATTGCATCATGGTGGTGTCGCTATTTGCATCTCTTTTTGAACTGGTTAGGCTAGGCTAGCTAGATTCGTCTTGAATGTGTATGGAATGCATTCGAGCCTCTAATGTGGTATTACGGCCAAATCACTCTATTTCATGGTATGCCACTGACAAATGCTGACATGATCTTGATCCGTTAGTTCTCGTCTCTCTTGCTTCCTTCTTTTAATTTCACAAGTTTGGACCCGGTTCTAATTCCAAGACTCGCTGAGTAGGAGAGTATTGATTCGAGTTCAAAGTCAAACTTTGAGTATAGAGTGAATAGACGTTGACGACGTCTCTTATGTGTGATGCTAGATGCCAGCACTAACCAGAACCATGGATCTTCCATCCCGTTTGAGCTTCCATCGAACACCAAGAATTCCATTCGATCTGAATGTAGCTTACTTGTAGCTTCATCCTACACGTGATCTTTGAAATTTTTTTACTTTGGTCGGATCTTTCGGTGCTTCAATCCATGTACCACAACAATATGAGATGAAAGATACTGCTTGACACGGTCTGAGATATGGCACACAGTATATCCAAACCAAAATGCGCCTATGGATACTCGACTTATGAAACCACTCCCGTCCGGTGGTCAAGCATACCTGTTCAGCAGAAGAGGCAAGGGCAATTAACTACGAAGGACCATAACGATGGTATACAATGATCGCATTACTATTCAGGGTTGACTGCCAAACCTACAATAAATAGCATGTGCCAGCACTGTCCAGTTTTGCATTCCCATCTAGTCTTTCATCCCATCTGGGCTATCATCGCATCATGAGAGTCTCTTCCTAGGTATTCCAGCCAATACAGACTAGCGTCCTCATCTTCTCTTCTCTTTCATCTTTAATATTACACCTCACTTCTTTCAGTCACCGCTGTCTGTTTATGATAGGTAGGTAAGTCATGTTAGGTTCGAAGCATTAGGCCTAACAGTTACGACGAGTCCAGTCTCATCCTTGCATGGCTCCTTCACTTTCCATGTTTGCCTTTACAGTTCGACCATGCCCGCCATAAGGTATACCTACCAACCCACTGCACTGCCTTCCCCACTCGTCCATCATTGTCACTATCGTTCCTTCCTCTCATGTTCCAGCTGATCCATCTCCCGCCCCTCCTCCCCTCTTCTTTTTCCTGCAACACCGCACCTACCTCTAGTGCATTCCCCATTCCCTACTAATCCCAACGTCGCATAACACAATAACTCGTTCCTTTCACAACCGGAAGGTGAAAACTCACGTTAATTACCTCATATACCACGTAATCACTTCCTGCCAGGTTCCATGGAAATTCCTGACAGCAGCAGCAAGCAAGCAGCTTTTCCAAATGACCAGGAAGAAGTTCACCCATCGATGTGGTACAGCGATGGAGGTATATACGTAGGGAGCGTCACAACAGGGATGGAAACCTAGTAAACTCCCGTCGTCGTCCTCCTCCACTGCCTTCATAATATATGTTATGTGTAAGCTGAACGTACGTCCAACACCTACGTCATCTTCCTTTTAGCTTTCGTTCGGGTTCGAATTTCCCCCATTGGAACCAATAACCTTCCGTCAGGTGTGTATACGTATGGATTGTACAGTTCACCAGAACCAGTCTCAAAACACTTTACGTGATAAAAAGGCCAAAAAAAAAAATTAGAGTGGAATGTACTTTCGGTCCTTGTGATACAGATTGCCCTCTAACCATCGGCATCCCGGGCATACCTAAACAACCTCGCGGTCTTAAAGGCCGAGAGGGCACGAGAGAGTAACAGCCGTATAACCTCGTACATAACTATGTGTATGTATGTGTGTACGTTGTTTTGTTCTGTTTGTCTACCGTCACACACATAGTACACATGACCCGTCCTCGGTCGGGCTAGCCGGCCGTTGGCCGTTTATGATTTTTGCTTAACCGCTCGAATATATACGGGACTTGAAAGACATGGTAATGTTGTCATTGTATCGATCGCGGCGGGAATAGTTCGATGACGTAAGTACTTCTTTGAGCAGGCGCGTACGTTGAGGTAAAGCTGAAGGTAATCTGGTCATCTGTTTCCCCATTCAGTTCATCACGTTCACAAAAGGCATAAGACAAAGATATAGCGTTCGAGTGGGTAACTTCTGGTATTGTTGTGACCTTTGAAGGTCTTCACAAGAGATGTTCGGAGAATATCTAATACACAGAAAGCGAGTTGAAACCCAATTCACCATTCCGCCCATCCACCAATCCCATGTAACTGTCCTTGTTTGGTCTTTTAAACCGGAAAAGAGAAAAATGCTGATCCTTCGGGCTCATGTCCACATGTCTCGATCCGATGAATGAAATGAAATGATAGAGAAGAGAAAACCCAATCCAATTCGAATGTCCAGTTTCTGTATCTGAATGCCGTTTCGCCCTTTGTTTGTTTGTTTAAACCATGCTATGCAGTACTGTAAATCCCTGAAAATATTGACGACAGACCCGCCCGTTTGACCCCAAGCAACAAAACCCCTGAAAAGCCAAAAAAAAAAAAAAAAAAAAAATGCCCGAATACTCCGACTAGGATCAGCAGATTTCCTTTACCCAAAAACAGTATGAATCAATGGAGGGCCACAGCGAAGGTGATAGCCCAACTACAAGTGATGAACTGGCACGAGAGGAGCTCCCGTCCAGCCACCAACCCACTCGACATCGAAAGGATGACGCTTCTCCTTGCGCCAGTCAAATGCCCGATCGCGTCCCTTGCTCCAAGGGCACTGTTTGACCGGGGTAGACTTCTTTCCGATGTTGGCAGAATAATGATGAGATGAGTGATTGTTCGAGTGAACAGTATAAGAGTTGTGGTGAATGTTGTTGAAATCATGAGAGGCGGCGCCAAAGCTATGAGGAATTTGACGCGTTCTCGGGATAGACTCGGAACCCTTGGGAGGTGTGGTTCCTGTCGCCCTGCGACGTTCACCCAGAGCCTGCCACTTGTCTAGGGCACTCTTCCGAGCAGGCGGAGAGTGGCTCATAGAGAACTGGGTGGGCTCCTTCCGTGCGGGGGCATCGTGGAAGAAGAAACCATCGGCAGCGAGATCGTCGTCGATGTTGGAACCGAGATGCATATCAATAGCCGGGATATCGTGCTCCACGTGAAGACTGCCCGCCTTGGTAGCCGGTGACCGACCCATGCGAGGAGTGTTCTCGTTATCGTGCTTGCTTTCCTGGCTCCAGGTCCTGGAGTTCATCTCCTTCAACGCCAGCTGCTTGGCTTGCTCTTCCTCCTCCTCCTCCTCCTCGTCCCACAGATCACTCCAGCTCTTAGAGACAGTATCCTTGCGACCGAAAACCAGCGACAAAGCTGACTGCTTAGGCTGCTTGGCCATGTTAATCGGGAGAGAGCCGGTGGCGGCCGAAGGCCTCACAGGGATCTTGGCAAACATGTCCTTGCTAGATTGAGCGACCGAGCCCATGTTAAGCGACTGCATGGAGGCAGCGAGATGTGAGTCCATAACAGACGAAACAGAAGGCGGGGTCTGGATACTAGCGGAAAGCCAGTCGGAGGTGGTTGCGGTAGAGGTAGAGAAGAGGTCCTCGGTATAGCTCTCGTCGTCGGGAATGTCGCTGAGCTGCCTCTTGGTGTTTGCGTGGAGCGCCTTGGCCCAGGGGAATGCACCAGTGTCCATCTGGGGGCTCTGGATCGAGGGGGTGCGAAGAGGCTCACGGTTGGAGCTGGCGACCACGGGGCCATCGGCAGTGCAGAAGTCGTCGAGGATCTCGTCGTCGGTGGTGAAGCTGATGACGCGGAGGAGAGCTTCGCGAGCACCCTCAAGGGAGCGCTTACGAGGATCAAGGTTCATACACTGAACAATGACTTCATAGGTGTCCTGGGACATGGAAGGAAATACGTCGAACAAAGACTGCTTGTCGCGCGAGAAATCCAAGAAAAGCGGGTCGGCCTCGGTCGGGGTGGTGAATGGGTTGCGGGCGAAGAGAACGTTGAGCAAGCAGATGCCAATAGCCCAGATGTCTGCCGCAGCCGGCGAGTATCCGGCACCGGCCGAGTCGAACTGCTCAGGGGACATGTAACGTTCGCTTCCAACCGCAGCCTCATACGACCACTTCTCGGTGGTGGCAAGCCCGAAGTCGCCCAACTTGGCGGAGCCTGTTTGGGTGAGGAAGATGTTCTCGGGCTTGATGTCGCGGTGGTAGATGCCCTTGGCGTGGATGTGGGCAACAGCGTCGACAAGCTCCAGCATGAATCGCCTCACATGCTCGGTTTCCAAAGGACCCTGGTCCAGACGAATCGCTTCGTAGAGATCGCCTCGCTCGCAGTACTCCAGGACGATGTATGTATGGGCTTCGGTCTCGAAGGTGTCGATGAAGTTGACAATGTTGGGGTGGGCTCCAAGACGTCGATGAAGAACCAGCTCCTCAGACTTCTCGTCAACCGCAAAGTCGAAGCCGGCTTCGCTTGCAGCTCCCTTCTTTGTCAGGCACTTGATGGCAACCTTCTGACCAGTCTTAAGGTCGCGAGCCATGAAGACCATGCCAAAGGATCCATGGTTGAGGGGGGAGATCGTTTGGTATCGTCCAGCGAGGAGAACTCCAGATTGGAACTTGTTCCGAAGGCAGAAGTCCATGGCGAATGCTGGGGGAAAAGATTAGGGTATAGGTGTTGAGTTGGTTTTGTGTTGTAGATAGTTGATACAATGCGCGTGTGTATTTCCTTTGCAGACAGGTGTTTCTCAAAGTATCGAAAGAGGTATAAAAGAGACGCCGTAAAAGCAAGAAAGAAATGGAAGAATGTACAGGGTTTAGAACTGTGAAAACAAGTCGAAATCGTTCACGGTCTGAGGCTCATAAGCGGTGATAAGGTGAAGAATCAACAAAGGAAATGTGACTGTAGAGTAGTCGGTCGAGAAAGGGGCCGTCGAAACGGTAGAGTGGTGAGTAGAGGGAGAAAGAGATTGTTGTTGTTATAGTAACATCGAATCCAGGTCAGGCGGAGTATAAGTTGAAGGCCGTTTGACGCTGTTCTGAGTTGTTGTTGTCGTTGGCGGTGTTGATGATGCTTGTCCAGGTGACTTGAGCTTGGTCGAAGTAATCACCAATGTAAACACCGGGTGAGCCGGGCTAGAGGGCAAGGGGAAAGCCTTGAAGGCGACGACGGCGTGGTTTTGGCAGCGTATCTCAATGGCTTGATGTTGTTGACTATGATGATCAAGAGTTGTATCGGAGATATCTCAGAAAGGGTTGACCGATCGCCGTGTATAAGAGTCTCTCAGGAACAGGTGGGCCGTGGAGTGACTCTTTGCAACCCCCTGGTTCGGCACGCGAGATGTGATTCACACTGGGAAAAGTGGATACCAGGTCTTCGGGGATGCAGCAACTTGGTAACGGACGAAAACGGAAGTTGCGGGTCGGCGATGATGGAAGAGGCCGGGGGAGCCAAGCAAGCAACCAGTGGTCTAGTCCGTGTGTGTGTGTGGTATGCTGACTGGAGACTCGGCGGAGTGTGGAAGACGGTAGCGTGATGCAACTGAATGCGTGATGCTCTTCGATGTTGCTTTTTTGGCTTTTCAGAGTGCTCGTCTCGCTGGTCTTTCGTGTTTTTTTTTTACTTGGAACAGACGAAAGAAGGAAACCAGTGTTCGAACGGCGCAGTCGGGAACCCAAAGGCTGATTGATGTGTAAGTTGGGGATGGAGCCCGATGTCGATGCAAGGCTGCCGCAATCAATGGTATCCGATCGGGACGAGCGAGGCGATGCGAAGTCGGATGAGGTGCGTCGAGTTGACGGATTGATTGTTTTGATTGATTGCGAGGCGAATGCGAGCTAAAACAGACAATGCGATGCACGACAAATGAAGCGCGACAAACGACGGCGAACAAGGCGAGTTATACAGGAAAGAAGAGAGAAGAGAAAAAGGTGGTTTGGAATAGGGTGAAATGGGTGGATGGCGGAGGTGGGTATTGAAAAGGAGCCTGAGAACCTGGAAGCAGTGGGAAGCACGAAATGGAACAAGCAGGCAGGAGGTGGAAGAGGACGGAACCGCTGCGAGCGTCAGTCAGCGCTGCCGGAGGTCATGCTGGGTACCTCCTCCAGAGGTAAGGTACCTCTGGCACTGGCCCTGCCCTGGTTCTAACAGAGTGACTGGAGCGGCCGACCTCCGTCGTCGCTGAGCTGAACAGCCCAGTGTGCTTCTCAGAGTCGGGCGTGACCCCCTGGGCAAGCACGCCCGCGGGACGGGCTTCCACTCGTCGCTTTGTCACTCCATCACTCGCAGCTGCCCAGCAAAAGGCCGCTTCAAGCAAAGAGACGGCCAGGGTCTGCCGATCACTGCGTCGCGAAATGGTGGGCGAGCACTGGGCTGTTGGCCGGTCGCGCTGCTGAGTCTCAACGTGTCTAGATTTCGTCACGACACGGTCTGGGTGGCTATCTCGACAAATGACGACGAATGGCATTCTTCGCTTGCTGCCACGCAACCACACTGGAAACGACCTGGAACTGACCCAAGACAGATGAACACACCAACCAAGACACACACCGCCCTCGGGTCCCTGCACGAGCCCGCCGTCTTTGGTATCACACTACCTACACGGTACCTCAGTACATTGATGACCGTCGCAGTGGGCTCAAGTAGCGCACAGGTACAGCGCATAACGCCCCAACGCCTACCAGGTATTGAATACCATGTAATGTAAGGTAATGTTGGGGCAGCTGTCACCCCCGTTCCTTCACACTGGCAGCACAAGAAGCCACAGCAGACAGGCAGATTAGCATCATTTTCAGGGAGCCCCAATTCCACGTTCCATTGTGTGAGATGAGTCGGTTAAGTAGTGTGAAAGTGCGGGAGTGCCAATACAATCCGTCAATGTTTGACACCGTGTCCAGACGTACAAACCCATATGCCGCGTATGGAGCTCAAAGTGCATACCAGCAACGACATGACTGACTGACTGAACGTCAACGCACGTCGAAAGGACGGAATGACAACTCCTATGCCGGCAACGGATAGCGGATGGCTTCTTCCATGCTATCGTGTATCAATCGCCGACTAGCGTGGCCGTAGAGGTCCAACTCCGTACACCGCCGATCTAGGTTTCCCCGCGTCCGCCGTCTTTTCAGACTATCTGGCCGTTTCTCGGTTAATGATAAGGATAATGGCAACCTCAATGTTGAGTAGGTAGTGTAGTGTATGTACGTTTTGTTGCGTTGCATCACCACGTGCTCGACCAGCTTTCCTAGATCTCCCGTCTTTGCTGTCGCTGCCGCCAGGTGTCGGCAACAGGAAGCCATTCAATCTGACAAATAGCATGCTGCAGAGGCAGGAATGGCTTTTCCATACGCTAGAACCGTTATTACGGAGTTTACCTCAGTTTAAGTTATGATGATGCCCCGCCTGATCATCCGGATTAGTGACATATTGCTGTATTGGGATTAGCGCCACGTTATCCACATCGCCATCTCGAAATTTCATGGCTTCCAACGTCAGACGGATGCCGCCATGACAGACGATGATGTTCATTCAACTGCCGTCACATCGAACGAGTAAACCATCATCGCATAAAGTCAGGACAACCGCGACCTAGGCAATCGCTGTCAGAATCGTACATCTGACCTGAACCCTCAAGAATCCCAAACGAGACTGGCGAGGGGTGGCTTGGAAAAACGTGGGAGGAAGCTAGGGGTAGGTACGAGCGTACGCAGCACTAGCATACCTACGTGCTGCGGTACGGCGGGACGAATGTAAGGGGTACAAGCGAGAACGGAGCTTGGGAGGCAAAAGTAGATGGATGATGGAAACTTGTTATTAATGGCGAGCATGGGTAGCTTCCAAATTCCCGAGGGGATAGCGATCACGTCGGAGTCATCACCAATTGTGCACTGTTAATCTTCCTGTGTCAACACGAAGCTGCCACTTGTCCAGACTGTATTCGCGTTGCTAGTAGCCGGTCTCCCTTTTTGATACCATCGAGATGATCTTGGGCTGGGGTTTAATGATGGATACGTTTCCGGTTTGTCGTGGTTGCCAATTCCGTCAATCAACAACAACAACACAACCACTGAACTCCCAACATTCTCAACTGTTTCAGTTCACACACTCGCGCTCGCTACTCCACAGTCATTGGTCAGCGGCAGCAAACGAAGCGACATCCGTCTGCTTCCTGTTGCGTCTGGATCATTCCTACTTGCTCTTTCACCGCGAGCGAGCGACACTCCACGCGGTAGACAGGCAGGACTTGAGGCAGTGTACAAGCAGCACTGTTAGATAGTGTAGTGATGACCAAGAAAAGCACAGACGCAGGCGCCCTGCAATCCTCCTTGATGATTATCGCTTCAGCAGCGTCCTCTCCTTCAATCAAAATCGTTGCTCACTTTCTTATTCGGGATGCGAAAATAGCAACAACGCTGTCGATTGGCAATTTGCCCGCCCGGCGATACGTACACGCGTTTCTTGTTTCAGAAGAGGAGAGATGCCACGCTGCCTCTCTCGATGTTCATGGGACAATTCACGCGATGATGCTCTTCGGGATGTGAACAAAGTCACGGTTTCACGGAACATGAAACTAATTACAAGTACAAGCTAGGTATGCCGCATACGTTACCTACTTCCCCAGTTTTCTGAGCATTCCCGAGTCTCGACGTTCGCCGCCAAGGGGCCCATCATCTCATCGTTCCGAAATGATCACAAGTACACTAGTGTACCGTGTGCGCTATGAGCAGCGAGCAATCAATTGCGCCATGGCGACTCAACATTTGTCGAGGGCTGCGACACGGCACTGAACCGCACCCAAGATCTCCTTTAGGACGAATGGACCGCACAAAGCTGCCGGAGTCCTCTTTGCCCCACAAAATGCAGGCTATTCGGATGAAGATTGGGGGCGTGTGTATGTGCACCACTCTGGTTTGTTAGCGCATCAAGAAAGGGGGTGCTGATCACGATCCTGAAAAGACAGCCGGCGATAAGCTTCAGAACACCCGACTCCGTCGAGATTCTTATCGCGTTTCAATTCCAAACAAACAAAGCAAGAGGCGTGGCCAGCAAGGTTCGTGAAGTGCTCGCATCGCCAAGCCTCGGCAATGGTGTTGAGGGGTGTGTGGAACTTTCACCTTGCTGCGCACGTTCCGTCGCAATGTGGCATTACCATCCGATAAATACAAGCAGACTATCGGACGAAAGAGGGTGCTGCTATCTATCTAATCTACGGACAACATACACTACACATACCTAGTTGCAGCACGGGGCTACCGCCACTTACACGTGTAAGTAAAGGGCAGGTAACGACGATGCAATTGATTCGATAACCGCCCGGGCAGCTCGGCCATCTCAAAGAAAGAAAGAGCGAAATGCGACGATGGCGATGGTGGAATGTTGTCATCACGGCCGACGATGATGTTTGGGCTCTAGACAAAAGGGACGGCTAGGTATGAGCGAACCCATTATCCAGATCTCGTGGCCCATCCATCAGTGTTAAAAAAACGTTCGACATTGGCGCAATTGCCGGGGGCGAGTTTTGCACTAACACAAGGAACGCATGTGTCCCAAGTCGCAATCGCATTGGATCTTGAGAAAGGCCTCGTAAAAGGGGGCACTGCTTGAGGGGTAAAAAGGTTTTGGGACCACATATAGAGGACACATGATATCATTTTGCCATGGGAATCCCCTCTTTGCTATCACCACTTTTTGAGGAGGTTTGGGGACTATTCAACAAATGGCTGCTCCAAAAAAGCTTGGCCATTCGATCAAAGCCCGTGTGACCGCATGTAACCCCAGATTCCAACAGGATGACCGCCGTTATCGCTCGCTCTTGTCGAACTACACGCACACTACAGTAATCGCCGCGGGGAACATCCTGGCGGCGTCGGCGACAGCGGGAACCAACTTGGTAGAAGACGGTGGCGGGTTCGATTCGTGTGTCAACGCTCGTGGCCTTTTGGGTTCCTGTCTATCGGAACTGGGAGGCAAGAAATGGAAGTGAAGTGAAAAGGTAATTGCAAGTGTGACTCGAAGTGAGCAATTTGTTGTGTTGTTGAGCGAGCGCAATCGGACGGGACAGTCATATCAGTCGCAACATCGTTGTTCACTATGATAGTAACAGAATTAACCGTTTGCCTAATTCACAACCATCACAAAGCTCAGTTAATAAGTCAACTCCTTGTGTCCAATGACCTGAAGATTGTGCCCAGCCGTTTCGCGTTGCAACGTCACGACGTAGGAGATGATACTTGAGAACCCCTCCGAAATTATTGTAATAGAGTGCATGCCCGTTTTGGGGTATAATTCCGCTGTTTTGGAACAAGCGAATCTTACAATACCAAATGATCTTTTGTTTGTTCATTACACTGGTAATTTTGCACTTGCAGACTTCCAGAACGACATCTCATTCCAGTAGACGTGTTGGCAAAGCCCCAGGCCGGTCATTATAACTCAATGAAGGAATCCATCAAAGGGACTCGCTCGTGAAACGATACGTCTGAGTGTCAACGGGCTGTCAAGAAATGCATGAACGTAAACCCAGCGGTTGCTTTGCCGCTGTACTATGTACTACACTATTGTAGGAGCGCGGTTGTTTTCATGTACATATGGACCTGACCCGCCTGGCTCTCCCTGCCGGTCGTAAACAACAACAATGCAACTGTCATTCAGGGCATTCCCAACATCGCGAGAGTGAAACTTGGGCAAAACAATGATAGCCATGGTCTTCATCAACTGTGTTGACGTGGACTTGACCGGTTGATTTTCCTGGCTATTGTTTTTCCTTGGTTTTGAGTTTTCCGGTGGAGTTGGCTCTAAGCTTATGAGTGATGTAGGCATTAGCAATTGGAGCTGGAATTGGACGGAGCGCTGTCAAGTTTTCACGTTCCTGAAGTAGGTAGAGGTATCCTCCCTGGCGGCGCGCCTGGATACGGCGCCGGTCGGCCGGCTTTTGTTGAAAAAGATGACGACACCGCGCAGTATCGGGGGGGCCGGGACCGATAATAAGATAGTTTTCCGTATCTCCTTCGGCAGTGCGATGGACGATGCCAGGGACAGTGCCTGGTGAAATCCCATAGCTCCGATCATGTTCACTGCTCCTGTCGATTATCAGACGAACGTGTCGTCAACATTCCCAACGTGTTGTTCACATGTCGCAGCCATCATTGTTTACAGTTTCCCCCTTTTCCCGATATTTATGCTGTCTTCAGGCTCCATGTCTGTTACCACCAAAGCCATGCTGGCGCATTCGAGCTTCCCTAGTTCAACCCCACAAAGTCCACCTAGCTGCTGCAACATGTATGTATTCTATGTCATCTTTTGCACGGGTCCAGCCATGCTTACATTATGCATCATACCGGAGCCGCCTGTGTCTCGTTTCCGCTGTACATCCGTGGTGTGGTCGTGATGGTGTGATGAGTGTGAATTTCATCACACGGGAAGCGTCAGGAGAGACGGGACGGAATACGGTAGTCGTATGAATGTTGTCGTTGTGGTTGTCCGGTTGACTTTCTGACCGCCTCCCGAGAGGCATCTACATAAAAGGTCAAAGAGGACCCCGAACCATCGCTATGCCGTCCGTCGTGTATACGGTGTGCCCGTCCCGAACTCCGAGAGAGGAAATGGAGGGTAGTAATCAGCGATCGATAGAGTTGTGGCATCTGGTATTGTCGTCACAGCAACCGTAGACGATGGCCTGTGGTGGTTTGTTTTGCGCAAATGTTTGTGATACCTCAAAAACTGGACCTGTCGATGTTGAAGATTTCAGGTTACCGTTACCGTGACTTTTACCGCAACAACTTAAAGCCCGCAAATTTTTCTCCTGCACGCGGGAGCGAGATTCAGTACAACCTCAACAACAGACACTCTGCAAGAACTGAAGCTTTCGATTTCCCCGCAACAATCAACAAAGAAGCAACCTACGGCGAATTGGCTCACCGCCTGCTGCTCCCTCCCGGTCGTAATCATTCCATTGACGGTCACGCCCGGGCCTTGTCACCCCACTACCGGCTCATCGCCCGCTCCCCGGACTTGCAGTCTCTGACTCGGAGCCACGGGTAAAGCCGCAGCGCAGGTCCTCTCGGTCTCACCAACCCCATCACCCGCTGCCACCGCCCATTCGGACCCCTTCGTTTTCCCCTCCTCGCTTTATCCCTTGCCGTGGGGTAAACTAGTCCTCTTTCGAGCCTACCACGACGCAACAACAACGAGTAAACCAGTGACCATCATCATCATGGCTCCCATCAGGGTGGTTTTGCTCGACATTGGTACTGCATACCCCTCCTCCAAAGTCCCAACCTCCATCCTCATCACCGGCTCCGTTTTCCTCGTGGAGACCGCAAACAATAACCTCCACCTATTCCATGTCTTTCGCCTGTGCGTGATGGATTGGCTAATGACATCTCCCTTGCCGAACAGAGGGCACCGTCTGTCCCATCTCATTTGTCAAGGACGTTCTTGTAAGGCACACCCACACCCGTTCTTCTTGGGCCGGCCCAGCCCAGTGCTTTGTTGCACGCGGGTAGCCACACCACATGTCTCCTGATCCTTCTGTCTTGCCCCTCATTGCCCATTCTATCCTCTCTATCTGCCGCCAGCCGTTTCCCTCACGGTTTGGCAGCGTTCCACAGCAGTAAGGTAACAGCAGTGCCTCTTTGCTGCTTGCTACTACGTCAACCCCCTTCTTGTGCTTTCTTGTCCTCCCCCTTCCCCTCCCCTCCCCTCTCCTTCCCTACCTTACCCTACCCTACCCTTTCAATGGGCTCGGTGCAGATTCAGGTTATAAACCCGATTGGCTGGCTATTCACGATACGATCCAGGAGGAAGCAAGCAAGCGCGAAAAGCTGTATGCCTGGAGACGTCACAAGAGAGTCAAGTCACTACGTGGTCCAGTGAGACAAGACAGGCCAAATTCGAACTGACAGCAACCGCGTCTCGCCGGCGGCCATAGTTCCCCTACGCCCTTGAAGCGCTCCCAGGCACCTTGAAGGCCAAGTGGGACTCTCCCGAGTTCGCCCCTTACCGCGCCGCCTTCCCCGCGGAGCATGCCGGCTCACAAGAGTCCCTCGCGGCGCACGTCCGCGATCTTATGAGCAAGGATCTCAAAATATCGTACCTTAAGAGCCTCCAGGGCTACCTGTGGGAGACAGGCTACCGCAACGGCGAGCTCAAGGCTCCCCTGTTCCTCGACGTGGCGCCCCAGTTGGCCCGTTGGCGGGAGCACGGAGGTGTCAAAGTCATGATCTACTCATCCGGCTCCGTGCCGGCGCAGAAGCTTCTGTTTGGACACACCAACGGTGAGCCGTCTGACATCCTGCACTGGCTGTCGGATTTCTTCGATACGGTCAACGCGGGCCCGAAGCAGGAGAAGGCTAGTTACGAGAAGATTGCGGCCAAGCACCAGGAGTATCCTATCGGCGAGTGGCTGTTCCTCAGCGATAATGTCAAGGAGGTTGAGGCGGCAAAGCAAGCTGGCATGCAGAGCTATATTGTTAATAGGCCTGGTAATGCGGAGTTGTCCGAGGAAGCAATGAAACAACATAGGGTTATCAAGAGCTTTGAGGAGATTGGTGATCTATGAGCTGTGAGGGCAGGCATGGGTAGCCACATAGTGGTGGAAAGACAGTAGAAAATCAAAAACCAAAAAAAAATCAAAGTCAAATTCAAAATAAAAAGCAAGCGTCCATATCAAATTCGCATTCGCTGATTCTTTGTATATGTTATGTCAATGCCATCGTACCAACCTCACCAACCTCACCAACCTCCCAACTCACCATGGAAAATGCAAGAAGCAAAGAGGTTCTGGTAAGAGCTCCAATCCATCAATTAATCAAACATAACTTGCGTAACGGCATGCCGCATGCCCCGAATGCATTCGCTACCAAGATGACCAAGTTCGCCGTTACGCCACAAGCAGACAGATGGACGGATGTTGTTCCACGACAGTAGAGACATGAGAATCTCAAACAATCTAGACTGTACACCCCAGACGCTACCTCTACCTACCTACTTCACTCTACCAGATATCATGCAATCTCCGGCGAACCCCGAAGTATTTGTTGTCTTTACGCCATGTGCAACCGTACCTTCCTTCACATCCAAGTTGACTTTCGGTGGATAGCTCCTTCTGCGTCTGTCTGTAATACAGATACCGTGACCTCCTTCCACATCCAACCTGACACACTCCACTCAGTGGCTCCTTCCACTCCTATGACCGTTGGTGGAACGGAAATTACTCTTTTTCGAGTTTGAGGGAATTGGCGTCTTGGTGGTGTGTGTAGTACCCAATATGTGGTGTAACCGTCTCACAACGTACGATACAATACGATACGATGAGACAGATGGTACACCAAGTGTGACCAGACATGGAGAAGCGATAGGGCCGTTTGAATTTGGGATAGTACATACACGTGACTGTGACTGCTGTGTAAGGAAAAAGCCACAGCCGTTTTGGAGGGCGGTTTATTGCTCTGATTGGTCTCTCTGCTTTACATGGAAATGATAGGTTCCATTTTGTTGTGTTTCTTTGACGACGACTATGGTGGCTAGACTGTACTCCGTGATGGTTTGTACAGGTTTGTTGACTAGCACCTTCGGTGACCATTTTGTATGTTGATGTCTTGGTCTACCTCACCACCTCATCGCAAAATAAACATAAGAAGGTCGTCAATTGGCATGATATTTGGCCTTGGTTGTGGTCTACCTATCTCTGCAACTCCTGATGACAGTCCTGGATGACAGAGAAGCGGTTATATCGGTCGATGAACTACTTGATTCCAGGTCGACAACTAAGTGTAAATCACAAAAATGTACAGATAAGGCGAAGACATTCATACCACAGGTCACTTAATTGGAAATGTTGATAATTGAGGGTCGTGGTGCGGTTCGATGGTGGGACCTCTCCTCAGCACTCTCTCGAAAAACTGGTGAGTGGTGGTTTTCCTTGATGCATCTTGTCCACCACTAACATGTTTTTCAGATGCACGCTAACATGTCAGATTGTTCCGGATTGAAATTGTGCCCGAGAGTAGACTTTACCCTTCTTGTTCAAGAGGGGGTTGACGAAAGATTCCCAAGCCGTCCGCCCACCCCCAGATAATCATCGCACGCCATATTTGGACTTCAACTCACTTCACGAAACCTAATAGTTGAGACAAATACACTACAGCTGACGGATAGTCCCGCAACAATCCTCATACTAGCTGCATCTCTGCTCAGACAGTTAGCTTAGTCTAGATGCTGCGCTTCACATGAAAGATAGAACAAAGGTGACACCATGACGATCATCAATCTCTCTTGCTTCAGTCCATCGACGGCTATCCCCAAGAGTCTACGGAACTGCGGAGTTAGGCTACCAGGTGGTGTGACAAAAGGTCCGTACCCTCACTGGTTCTGGTTTGGTAAAAGCATGTCCGGACTTTTTATCACATAGCCTAGCTACATAGTTCGAAGTGAGGTGTAGTTGCCGAGATCACCAAGAATTTCCCCATCTTTTACTAACAAAGCCACCATCGAAAGGCTCCACACAGAGACTAGCGTGACGGCGTTGATCCAATTGTTTATCCCAAATAGCCTCGAGGTAGTGTATCGCGAGATAAATGCTACATTGCGCAAGTTACCGGATCTGCGGTGGTTGGTTTCGGGACTGGAGTGGGTTGACTTGTTGATTCCGCACTGACAAACAAGTGGCTGGACGGCGCGGAGACGTAATGATTTTGTGTAGAAGAAGGTTGAAAGTGTAAATCATTGTCCTCCGCATGGTAAGCGAAACGTATTGATGAAAATGTCCCCAAATGGGAGAATACTACGATACTACGACGCTACTGGGCTACCGTTTTGTTTGACAAGGTCTGTAGTGTATAAGGTGAGACAAGGGTCTGATTTGATTGACGACTTTGTGTCAAGCTACAACGGATCGACCGATAAAGTTGCCACTTGTATGCTATCTATGCAGCTCTGATCGCGTTTCAAGATGAGGGGAAATTGTTGGGAGTTCTCTTTTAAAATTGGTGATCACACGATCACGGCGGATGAGGTGGAAGATGGGCCCGAGGAAGTCGATGGCAACTTGATCTCATTTGTGTTTGACGAGTTGTGTGTGAGTGGTAATGGGGTGCCAGTGCCTACCTACCTACCCTACTACCTATCAGTCGTGGTCTTTGACTATCAAGGTCGTCCGAGTTAGACGAATGAGAGGTCGCTCGGCGTTTTACTCCGCATTTGACGTCGAAAGCTTCCCGTTGCGTCCACGTCCATCCGGAGAAGGACGCAATAAAATTGACTGGGCATTGAAGCCTCGAGATCACAATAGATATCTCGTCTCTAATCATGTTCAATCCCAATACCACGTATCAATCGTCCGTTCTTCCGGACTTTTGCACTTGGGTTAGGCGAGCTCGGAATCAGGCGCCGAAGACTACTTGACGATGCAGGACATTTGCCCACCGCCTTTTCCATGAAACCCAAAGCACGCGTCCCGCATCCCTCACATCATCACATCTTTGCCGCGGAGGAGGTGTCCATGTGCACAGGTGACAGATTGGTAGTGCATTGGCGTCGACTTCAGCTGGCTGGCTAGGTAATACATTACCTAGCCCAGTTTTCTTGGTTGCGGGGTAAGCAGTAGTGCGCCATGATTGACAAGTCTCGACTCAGTCTGTTGGGGTCGTGATAGGTCGGCGATAGGTTGGAACGAATGAGCAAGACGGCAGATAGGTCGAGGAGGTTCCATGTGTTGATCACTGGCTGGTTGCTATTTTCACGAGAGGCTTCGGTGATGCATGATTTCATGCAACGATGCGTTCCAGCCTTGGATAGTCCTTTGTCGATTTGGCAGAGCACGGTGCACCAAAGGTCACGATGGGAGCGGCGTGTCGGAAGAAAAGGTACTAAGGGAAGGCAGCGTAAGCAGAAGCTCTATGATTTGTTTGTGAAAGTTGGTCCTATCTGCAGTTTCTGGCAGCGAAGCGCCGGCCGGAAGATGCGGAGCGGCGGAGCGAAGATGAGACTGTGTATGTTGGCGTCCGGCGGGCCAAATGGTCTATCCCATCCCTGGGATCATTACGTATGATCATGATATCAGTATGTTCGGGAGGCGGTAGCCCAACTGGATAAAGACAGTTTTGCACCGGAAATAGCTTTCGCTGTCAAGGATAGGTGCAGCTGTCTGACTCTCGATCCGCCGACACGTTAGCATATCCGGGGCGCCCGAGACCTTGGGAATGTCTTGCCCACCAGGTGGGCCGGAAACACCGTAGACATGCACTCATCGAACAGTCCCGCTGTCGACCTTGAAAGAAGAGCGGATCAAAGCCAAGAAATGCTTTGAGAAGGGGCCTTCAACCTGATGCGGTAGCAAAGTGTAGGCAGCGGGAGGTAGTTTCGCCAACGACGACATTCCGCGTTCAAACGGTCGTCCATAACCTCTCTCTTGCCATACCATTATGCAGTTGCCTCTGATACTTCCGCTACCATCACCGTGCTCTTTAATCGAGAACACCGGACTCGGACGCCAGCTTGAGGTCATGGAACTCTCTTGAAAGTGGTTCCCCGTACCGTTCCCAAACAGTCAATCTGCGCGGTTGACATGTCGGTCTGAAATCATATCAGGACACCGGACAGGCAACGACCAAATCCACAAGCTCCTGATCGACCGCTTCAAGCTCTCCTATGGCTTTCTCGTGACGTTAATTTCTTCAAGGAGGCTTACAAGGTCGTCAGCTCCCGAGTGAATCATGGGACGTCATCCTCAACGGCGACATACTCCCACTCCCGATATGACTGAGAAAACCAATGTTGTGATCATCCGATCTATCGGCTCCCAACAACGGTCGAGTGATTTATTGTTAGATGTCGTGACTGATCTCGATTGTGTGCGTTCGAAATGTTCGCAAACCTTAGAGCAAGGTAATGGCAAAGTTGTTGCGTGACGAGCCAGAACGTATCTCTTCCTTGCGAAACGGCCTGTCGTTTCCAACCTGATCTGATGTTCTCCTCCACAGGTAATAAACCAGCCGTTGGGTTGTCTTGGATTCCACCATCTCGTACCCGATCGATTCCATAATAGCCGCCAATCTCTCTTGATCCAGATATCGCGAGTTGGTGACGCATGGAGCCGGTAGCACAAGGAACAAACTTGGAAAGAATGCAGCGCTTGTCCCGGAGAACCGCTTCGGCGATGTTAGAAATTGTGTCGTGCGGACCAGCATCTCGCCTCTGTCCTTATGATCAGGGACAAAGTTGAGCACCAAAGAAAGGCTGATGATGTCAAACTTCTCCGACTCGTCCTTGGGCAACGGGCGCTCCATGAAGTCCTGCTCCAGAATCCCAGGCTCTTGGCTGTTGAGATCGATCCGAGTGATGTCGAAATGGTTACTTTGAGCACATACGTTCTTTGTGCTCAGCGCTCCAACTTCCAACATCCGCAAGCGGCCTCCTTTATACTCCTCAGATGAGAGGTACGGCCCAACCCACTCCATGAGCACGTTGGAGCTGTCGCCGCCTCGGTCATGTCTCTGCCCCTGGAGACTTGCTTCCTGATATTTCTCGATACCACCCAAAGCCTCGATCTCCGCCTCAATTGCCGCGACCTGTGCGTTATCGTTCTTCTTCATAGCCTGCACCTTCCTCTTCTCTAGGAGATGGAGTTTGTTGATGATGGATTTCGTGGTTTTCCGCGCAAGTGACTTGGGCTTTGTGACCGTGGGCGGACGGCCTGCTGCCAGGTTTTTGACCACTCCCTTTTTCTTAGGTCGCGTAGCCATGGGCGGACGCCCAACTGCAAGGTTCTTGCTTGCTCCTTTCTTGGGTGCCATAGTTCTTCCTCGCGTATTATATTGTATGAAGTAGATAGCCTCGACTAGTCGATCTTGTCGATACTGTGATCCGTCTCGGTGAGGTTGGTTTTCGGTTGGCGGTTCGTGACACTGTAGTTAGCAAGACAACTACACCACGTCCTTGTCTGGAGGTCGTGATGAGTACAGAACAGCGAGGCTTGGAGCTGTGAAAATCCAAGGTTTCCTGCGCCAATTTCATCCGACAAACCACGAGCAGAATGAGGAAAGTTGGACTGGAGGACGCATCATGACCTTCAAGGTTGAATGACGGAGTGCGTAGCGATAAAGTGATGATCGGAGGTCGAGATTCAAAATACTGTGGAGCATATTTCGCGAAAGTGGATATTCTGGTGTGGTTCAGAGCCCGTTTGCGCCAGTTTGCGCAGCTCAACCCCTGCCAGTACTACTTCAGCCACACTACCAAGCCACACAAATCCCGCGCGCACACTTTTTCCTCCCCCAAATTTTGGCCAAAAAGTGAACTTTCTCCTCCCCGACAACGACCAGCGAGAATCCCGATTTCTTAGCCCGACGACAGCAGAAATCGCAGCAATGGCCCCTAAGGATACCAAGAAAGGTACTTGAAGAAACCTCAAATTCTCACCAGCGACGATTCCACCAAGAATGAATTGAACGGCTCGACAAATATGCTCGCCCCGCGCACAATGCGGATCCTCTGTGTCGCGCAATGGCATTCGGAGGTGATGCACCAAAGCAGCAGCAGACTTTGCGAGTTTGGACAAGATTCTGGCATCATCTTGCTCCAGGCGAATGCTTTTGCTGACGAGGGACTCTATGGATAGGCGGTGCCTCTAAGGCCGGTAAGGGCGCTCAGGCCAAGAAGGCTGCCCAGGCTGCCCTCAAGGGTGTAAGTTTGCGACGACTCGCGATCCCTTCCCCCCTGGTGACGTTCTGATGCTGATTGGAGTTCTTTCTCTCTGTTTAGGTGCACTCGCACAAGAAGACCAAGGTCAGATACTCGACCACCTTCCACCGCCCCAAGACTCTTCAGCTGTCTCGGGCTCCCAAGTACCCTCGCAAGTCGATCCCTCACGAGCCCCGTCTCGATGAGCACAAGGTCATCGTCCACCCTCTCAACACCGAGGGTGCCCTGAAGAAGATCGAGGAGCAGAACACCCTCGTCTTCATCGTCGATGTCAAGGCCAACAAGGCCCAGATCAAGCAGGCTCTCAAGAAGCTCTATGACATTGACACCGTCAAGATCAACACCCTGATCCGGTTAGTTTTGGTCCCTATGATTGATATCAAGATGGTTCTTGTTGCTAACTCCACTCACAGCCCTGACGGTTCCAAGAAGGCCTTTGCTCGCCTCACTGCCGATGTCGATGCCCTCGACATTGCTGCCACCAAGCTCGGCCTTGTCTAAACTAGCGATTTCATAGCTATGGGAAATACACAAGATTCGGGATAAAAACTATCTTCAAGGGATACATAGGTTTTACTGTTTAACGAAAAAAAGAAGTCGGCGTCTGATACCCCTTTGGCGTTTGGTCCATGGCATGGAAATGAAAGTTTTTACAACTATTCTACCCGTTCCATCAGACATGACCAAATGGGCCATTATCCAAACTCCTCCCTTGCAAGCCATAGATCTACTTGCTCTAAGACTTGAATCTGACATCTTGTGTTCTTCCTATCACCATGGACTCATTGTCGCATTGTTATCTGCACTTCTGTAACCAACTATCCTGCACTGAGCATTGAGTCTGTGTATGAAGATGAAGATGAACATTCCGCTATCGCGCGCTCCCATATCATGCTATAAGAACCGCCTGTTATACTGTCTATGTTCCTGAACAATCCTCATGCCCTATAAACCCTTTTCCCTTCCAGTCCTACCTTTGATCCTTCCCTTGTCCCATCACATATATCGTACAAGCCTTCAGACGTAACCGTAACAATTCCTCGAATGACTGTCTCCTAGAACTGTGACCAGAACCGTAATCGCAAGCCCTGTCGCAGGGGCTCAACGATGGTTCCCTAGCAAAGGGTGCTTCTCTGTCCTCCCGTTCCGTCGTAGTGAGCCAGAACCAACATGAGAACAAGCGTCGGAAACCTCGGCCGCATTCTCCAAGTCTCCCAAGAAGCCCACCAAGCAGGACCAACCAACCAAAAAACTTAGCCAGCCAGCCCCGCGGGACAATCAGTTCCGCCACAGAAACAAGTCACCGTTATCGCCATCCTCCTTCCGCTGCCTCCTCTTTTCTTCCTGTTCCTTTCTCATCTTTTTTTCCCCTCCTGATAAACATCCTCCCACGCCTTCCTATCGGCGCGCGAGACCTACTTGCTACCACCCCTAGTGATCTTTTGCACGTGGGCCATGATGGTCAGGTTGACGTCCAGGAAGCGCTCAACGCAGTCCGCCATGCAGACGGCCTCGGTCTTGTCGAGCTGGTTGGTCTTGATGGGGGAGGTGACGCATTTCTTCCAGCAGGAATCGGTAAGGGCGTGGGTTTCTACGTGGGAGGTGGGATGTTAGTTATCTGTTGTACATACCACTGGGAGGTAGAGTAACGTGGGAGGAAGCACATGGAAGGGGGAGGGGACAGAGAGAGGTTATGGTTATGGTTATGGGAGGGGGAGAAGAGGGAAGTGGTAGGTAGGCTTAGCGAGGGGCAATAAGCTGTATTTGACCATGGCAGAGGACGAGAATACGAATGAAGCACTGCAGGACGGAGCCGGAGATCCAGAAGGTTGTAGATGGTACATACGTCCTTGCACCCTCTGGCGCTGCGTCTCGTTGGAAATGAAACCGCGAAGCTCGTTCTTGTCCTTCTCGTTGAGGAGATCGAGGTCAGCCTGAGGAATATCCATTGTTGCTGTTTTTTTATTGGGCAGGGTTATGTGTTGCGATGGTTGTACAATAGTTGCTTAAGGTTGTGGTGGAAATAATTCGATATCAAGAATTGAATAAACAACCGGAAGAGGATCGATATCAAGTAGCGTGCAATTGGATTGGATGCGGGATGGACCTTTCCAAGCTTTTGGGCGGTACCTGCCTGCCAGGTGAGCACCGCGACCGGGGATGTGGATAAAGATTCTTTTGAGATAGGTAGCCAATGAGAGGACTACATTTTATCGATAGCTCTAGAGTATCTCGGCGTGCAACTGCATTCGAGTCGATTACGTACGGCACTTCACTGTCGCAACTACTGTACCGACTTTCGAGCCTTTGAAACACCGAGAATCGTAAATTTACATGCTATCCAAGAACCTCAACGATGTTTCCTTCCTATGTAGAATGATAGGATAGAACGATACACAGTGACCACACAGCACAAATTTAGTAGAATATTCAGAACTAACTGCCTTCACAAGAAACACAACCTGAGTCAACACTGTAATAAAACGTTTCGGGGTATCTACCAACGCATCTATGGTCTATCCCGTCAAGAAAAAAACGGTATACAAAGCGATAGTACCGCCACACTCCCATGTTACAACAGCCATGTTATCGACATTGCTTGGCAGCCCTTTCCCTGTATACCAAAAGGAACGAGAAGCTATTAATAAACGGTTCCACATTTTCTCGCATGAGACTCCAGCCCATTGTTATTTATATCAACTTTTTGTGCTTCGCAAAAATGTACGACAAACTGCAGAATGAAAAGAAAAAGGCCAGAATAACGTAGAAGGGGACCATAGTCTCCATGCCTCCCCATGGGACGTGAACGTTCATGCCGAACAGACCAGTCACCACGTTGAGCGGGACGATGATGGAGGCCAGCAGGGTGATCTTGCTGAGGACACGGTTCGTAGCAGTTCCCTGGATGATGCCGTCGATGGAAATCTGAGCGAGGTAGTTGCTGTGTGCACGAGACAGCATCTTCTCGAAATGGCCCAGGTTGGTCATCATGGTCACTACGTGGTCCTGGATGTCACCGAGGTATAGACCAATGTCCATACGTGGCGTGACTTTGTAGTTCTCGTTGCAGCGCTTGGTGAAGCCCCTGAGGACATCTGCTTTTCCGCCGAGCAAGCGCATCAAGCCCATGACATTCTTGCGAGCAATGCCAATCTTCTTCAAGAACTGAGCCATGTCGTCGGACCGAGCAATGAACACATCGTCCTCGATCTGGTCGGTTTCGTGCTCAAGTTTGCTGATTTCGGGAGCGAACGAATCGACAATGTCGTCACTACGTATGGGTTAGTATACGCGTCCATCGAATGGGAAAAGCGCATCTGCTCATTCCCATAAACTTACATCAGGGCGTAGCAAATCCAATCGCTACTTAATGAGACATAGTCCTTCAACATCGTGATTCTCTTCCTCACATGTGAGGCATGGGAATTGTTGGCGTAGCTGAAGCTCAACGTGCCTTCGCGAAACACTACCACGTAAATGTTGAAGGGCACGTACTCCTTTTCTCCGGTGGTATCCTCTACCTCAATGAAGAAGGATCTGAACGAGGCGAAATAGTAGGATGGGAAAAGCTCAATCTTCTCCCGGGATTCCTGCGTGGTGATATCCTCAATTGTCAAGGGATGGATGCCAAAAGCTCTGCAGACGGCACGGACTTCTTCTTCGGAGGGATTGTTCATATTGAGCCACCAGACTCCATCAGTCTCCCCCTTTGGGAAACTGAAAAGCCCTCTAATGTCCTCCCCGGGCAAAATCAAACCCTCCAGGTCGGCAGCGTGGATCGTGGATTCCCAAGCTGAGGAAAAGAAACTGACCCGGCTCTGGTCAACCTGAGGTTGTGGCGGTTGTAAAGTCCTTTTGGCCTCGGCATCGTCGTCTGTCTCATGACTCTTTTCCCGCCGAATATCCGTCTCCGAAGGGGCCGAAAGGATATCCCCATCCAGTGTTACCATTGGTACGGTGGGGGTAACATCGGGCTCGGCAGGCCGCAAATCGGGGAAGACACGGATGGCTGAGGGGCGGCGGGCTGACTGTCGGGCTTCATTCTCAGCCTTGATAAAGGTCTCCAAATAGTGGAAATCAATATGCAAGTTGTCATCCCTATGATCATCTTGCAAGGGGAAGCAAACATCTTCCTCCGCGGATTTGTTGGTTGCCAAGCTGGCGGTGTCATCAATCACCGTCGGCTGCTTGCTGCGGTAGCTACGGCGACTGACGATAGAGTTAGCCCGCTGCAGCTCGGGTGGCTCTTCGACTCGACGCTCGGGTCTCGTTGGCTCGGAGAAGGAGAGGTCTCGCTCCCTTCGGCGTGCTTCCGCGAAAGCCTTAACCGAGTTCGGGGGTGAGATAGACCGAACATCTAACACAGCAGACTCTACAGTTCCTCGCCGATCTCTCCGATAAATTGGCGAGTTCTCCTGATCCTCCTCGTCAACAACAGCTTCCTCAAAATCTCGGATCCTTGTGCCCTGGAACGAATCGCTGTGTGTTGGGCCCGTCTCAATCACCTGTCCTGGCCCGTATAAAGAATCGAATGTTCCGCGTCGAGGACGGTCAGGTCGTTGGACAGAAACGGATTGGTTCCGGTGGTCGTCAAGTTCGGGCACCGGGGTTGAGTACCCGGAGTTCCCCACGTTTTCCTCCTGGTCAAACATCGTTGCGACAAGCGGAGTCGCTTCTTGGCTGGGTGGGTTAAATTAAGTGTGATGTCAGTTGTCTTTACTATATCGTCGTTGGTGAAATAATTGAAGGGTCGGCTATGGCCCTCAACGCCCGGGATGGGGGGTGATCAGTCGGTTCGCATATTGTCGTCGAAAGGTCGACTCAAAAGGCACCAGCGGATGGCAGCGAACGGCCAGGAGCCGTCCGCGACGATGACCGAATGGCGCAACAAGAAGGGGGACAAAAGGGTGTCGTCGTCAACGTCGGCTACCAAAGCGCAAGATCGGAAAACATAAATTGTAGATGTTTGTTCAAAATGGGAGATCTTGGTTCGAGCGATGTCGAATTAAGGGGGTTTCTTGTCCACTCCACTATAGACCCAGAAGCTGGGACCTAGGAGCGAACGAACAGACGAAACGCTTTCACGGATAGAGCCCGCCAACTTGATGACTTTGGCTGGAATGACTGGCGGCGGCGGCTGAATCGGTACGTGGCGTGATAGGCGATGGCTGATGTGAGGCCTTTCTCAGCAGCAACCAAGAATTTTTTCGGATGAATACGAGGTCCGACGAGGGAAGATTGAGGTAACGAACTCGCGCCGGGCTGGGGATTTGGATCGGCTGAAGGTCAATGAGGTCGAAGATCCACCCTTTCAAAACCGCCGAAAAGCCCAAGAAGGGATAGGAGTAGCGAAAAGACGAAGGTTCTAACAGAAGCCCGAGAAATGACGTTGCTGGGGAATGACGAGCATGTGTCTGCGCATCAGCAGTCTCGGGGGGGCCACCAGCAGAAATACCTAGAGAAGGGATGACTGGAGTCGGCGTCGTACTCTGTAGCACAGGCTAGTCGAGTCGGATACGTTGAACACGGAACCGCGATAATGAGGTTGTCGGCGTCGAGTGTTGAAAGGTGGAAAAGGGTCGAGGTCGCCGCGCTAAGTTTTTTTTTGGTAAAAAGACAAGAGTGGGACGGAAGGTGCCTGACTGTTCGTCGCCTCCACACAAGGCGTCGGGTGGTTCCGAGGAGACCTTTTAGTTGTGTGCCGGCCTAACCAAGGGAAGGGTCCAAGTTCACGGGGTAAAAAGCGCAACGGAAGGAATGATCGCTTCTGGCCCGATGAGTTTCCCTTTGTTTGGAGAGTCGTTTCAGGGAAAGCCAGGGTAAGTGGTTGGTTCAAGCACGTGCTAGGTTTATAGTTTTAGATAGGAGACGGACAAAGGCAATTCAACGAAACTTTTCCATGCTAGCAAAGAATATTATGGAAAGAGAGGATGGAAAGATTTACAGTGCATTTGCCCGTTCGTTCTTAGCCTCTTGTACAAGGTTAGGTCCCGGCGGTGTTCCTCCTTGTCAGGTCGCTGGACTGCAAGGTGAAGGGAAGCGGTCATCGGACGCCTGACGCACCAGCAGCACCCTTCGCCGCAAGACAAGCAGCCCGTGTGCAACCTTCTAAGGGTCTTCCCTTGTTCAGCAATTGTTCTCGAAACTACCTACCTATGATTCCACGAAAACAGGAATACGGTGTTCTGATATCAAATCGTCGATGCACAATTGAGGGTAGCTGCCAATCAGCTAGCACGGCATCCCCGACAATTCGGCCTTGGAAGTTGGAACCTGATCTCTCGCGTTAGATTTTACTGGTTTCAAAATCTACTTGCAGCACTGCTGCGTCGTCGAGCAGTCCCCCACTTTGCTCACCACCTTCACGTTCCGTTTACATTCACTTCCTGTTGAATCCTTTTCCGGCTTTCCACTCACAGCACGCAGGGCACTTCGTTCCCCCTTTGACTGCGGGACGTGGAACCGGGCGTTGGTTACCTGTACATTTAGGTTGTGATTTGCCCACTGCCAAGCCCAGCCGAGGCCGTGTACTGTCGTGGTACACGGTAGCAGTGCCACCCAGTAGTAGGTACGTATTATACACTACACCTTGTAAAGCAAGTACCCCTAGCGTACGGCACGGGCAGCCTAACCTAAGGAGGGCCCGACCGGGGCAGGCCCCGAAGCAGACACGTTGAAGTACCCAGCATGGGCATCCAATGGAAGTGGCAGCGTGATGCGATGCGCTACAGTTAGTAGTATGGTGTACCTGGATGATATCTGATTTCCTCCCATGCAAACCTCAACACCATTAATAGAACCCCAACGATAACCATACGCGCGTATACGACTTGTAAAGCAAATCTACCACTCATCACCGTCTACGATCCAGTGTTCGACGCTCTCGACAAGTCGAACAGCTGTCCCGATAGCCGCCCATTCTCGAACCTCCCCGGCATAACACTTGCCTCACGATGGCTGAACAACTGCTGGATCAGGTCCGCGATGTTGCCGAGGGCCAAATTGTTCGTCATGCTCGTTCAATACCCGTACCAGTATTCGTCTTGTATACGACAACTCAGCTGACATCTGCGACATCCAGGATTTCGAAGGCCAGAAGCTGGTGGAACTTCTCGTCAACGTAACTCTGGCGCTTACAGGTGTATGTTGTCCCTTATTCAAACGCAGCCGGCGCCTCGCTGACAGGCCTTTGGTCATCAGGTTGTCTCGTTCCTCGTCGGATATATCTTGCAAGACATCAAGCTGGCGCTCCAGATCGGACTTGCCGGAACCGCCCTCACCTTTATCCTCGTCGTTCCTCCGTGGCCGTTCTACAACCGCAACCCTGTCAAGTGGCTACAAGTCGGCGGCGGGCTGGTACCGCCACAAAGCCTGATCGTAGATGAGAAGAGTTTCAGGTAGATTGGCGTTCTTGCCGCATCGTCGCACGGTTTAGGTGTACGTCTGCGAGAGAGGAGGTTGAGCAAAGCAACATCAAAGTATGATGCGCCGGCCATGATATTCATACTGCTGCACGCTGAAGCATACTCGCTGAGCCATGCTCGATCTGGCGTGGCCCGCTAGCTTACATTCGTGGAAGCCTCCTAACGTGTGATACTCCCTGGCTTATGCTATCTAGACTTATGAAAATTCGCAGACGTTTTCTTCATCCGTGTCTCGCCCTTCAGCATGGTCGAGTAGCCGCAAATAGGCATCCAACTCCTGATCTCCATGCCTTCAACGGCCGTATTTCTGGAACTCCCAGTCTCTGTTATCGAGAGGGCAAACTTGACGCGCCTTAAGCCATCTCGAGATGCAATGGAAATGGAACGCATGCTGTGACATTGCCGGTTAGTCATCGGGCTCCAAGGATTAAACAGAGAACAGACCAGAAGGACCTTACATTGCAAATACCCCACGCAACTGTGCATTCTTCTGAGGTGGCCGATGACTGGTTGGCCTGGCACTCAATACCTAAGAGGATTCAAAGTTCAAGGTTAGTCCAAAGTCGGGTGTGTCCAATAGTCGGTTGTCAAGAGGAGAGTGTAAAGAGGGGACTTACACAAATCCATTATATGGTTTCGACAGATGGCACAGTTGTCAACGACAATATCCCAAGCCCAAAGGGCCACCGCGTTCCACTGTAAACATATTTGTAAGCGCAAGGTCATGACCATACGGAGGGGTAAGTGCTCACCTTCTTGACCTCGAACCGAGGCTTGCCATCTGCTTTCTTCCCCTTGCTCTCGGCGGCCGTGTTCTTCTTGACAACGGGCGCAGAGGCCGGGGCGTCCGTCATATCGACATCCGCCATGATGAAGCTGGTAAATAAAGCCCCGGGTGTTTAATCGGTCGTGGCGCAATAGTACGGAGGAAGTGCTGCGACGCAGGCGAGCATGCGCAGGATAAGTCGAGGGACACACTGAAGCGCTCGACCGGCCGATGGAATAGATTGATTCGTTTGGACGAAGAGGCAGAGTTCGTAAGTAGTCTAGAAAATTTCAAAGCAGCCGTCAGTCCGTTTGCCCGTCGTGCTATGGTCGGGATGATTGAACTATGAAAAGAGTCTGAGGAAGGCGAGGTAAACCCGCCTGGGCTGTAGAGAGGAAGGCGGAAAGCTTCTAGGCAGTTGAAAGGTCTAGTCTAAAAGGCTGAATGCGTACCTTCCCTTCGAGATAACGTGAAGTGTTTTCAGTTGCGGTTACTCAAATAAAAAGTATCGCCACGTCCTGGGTGGTGGGTGACAAAGTGAAGGTAGCACAGCTTGCCCTTACTGTCCTTAGGTGTTGTAGGTATGTTGATCCCGTCAAGGTTGCCTATCGTTACCAGCACTAAACGACGGCGGGAATGTCAGTGGTGTGGACGGGAAGCTGCACACTGGTGATTGCAATGACGCTGGGGATTCTGGGCAGTGATGCGCGCGATAGGTGGACCAGTGAACCGCCTTCCACACTTCAGACTTGGCTGACCCCGCTCCCCTAGCGTTTAGAGTCATGTACGTGTTAGGCTCATAGCATCTGCTGCTTTTTGCGGTGGCGGTTGTCAAATGTCAAGGTGTAGCTGGTAATGAGGCTATGCTCGATTCAGGACGTGAAATGAGAACGTGTAAATGATAACGGCCAGAGAAGAGGAGCCGGGCTGGTGACCGGTCAAGTACAGCCCCAGGCGGTCAACGGCAGGGCATTGCACCGGGCTCTGGGCTGTGCTTCGTCGTTCGTGCGCTGATGTTGATTCCCCCGGTGCTGGAGGCCGGATCCCCAGGTTGCCTCCATCACCATCCTCTTCCACTTCCGCTTCTTCCCTATTGTCGCCGCAGCGCAACATCACTTCGGAATCACAGCGACAAACCACCACACAGTTCGCGACAAGAACAACATGCGCGAAGCTATTACCGTCAAACTCAGTATCGCCAATTCGAATAGTATTATTTCCCGCACCGTTGTGCCAACAGAGATCACCGCCACCACAGCCCGTCAACCAGTGACAGCCGTCTCGTCAGGCTCTGATCGCATCCCCTTTTCCCACGTCCCTATCTCGTAGCCGTCAAGTCACCACTCGCCAGCCAGACGCCACGTCCAACTCACACCGGTTTCTCACCCAGTGTGTCATCGCTGCTCGCCTCAATTGCGCCCCAGGTCGTCGCCCAACATTTGTCCCGCCAGTTCGCACACGCTTCAGTTGTTTCGCAGAGGAAGGCACCACGCAGCGGCCCCTTGCTTCTACATTACCTTTACATACCTCTTCGTTTGAACAGAAAACAAAGTCCGAGCGCGACTACATTGTGCGCTGCCTACTTGTGATGCAACGAGAACAGCAACAAGACCAGCCGGGACCCCTCCCAAAGGCAACTCCCGGACGACGCCGCAACAACCGCCATGCCGGCAACGCTGTCGCTCGCAGAACATATGCTTCGGAAAACGACATGCCGTCTGAAGGCTCCTATCCGATTAACTTTGGCCCTGCCGCCCCGTTCACGCCGCACAAGTCGGGCACCAAGTCGGGGACAAACAGCCCGGCTCCGGAACCTCAGGCAAACGGCTCTAGGCCCAAACCCCGTTCAACCAAATCCTCAAGGTCCAACAAGCAGGCGTCCACAACCTCCCCGGCATCGACACCGGGCCCATCCAAGAACTACCGGACCAGTCCTCCGCAAACAGCGGCTCTGCCCAAGTCGGTCTTCCCCCCTGCCTTTGCCGGTGGTTCCTTCCACGCCTCCCCGGATCCGTCGGCGCTTCCGATCCCTAGCTTTCTTGCCAAGTCGATGGACTCTCCCAGCGTCAAGGATACCGGCCGAGCCAACTCGGAGCCTTCGCCTCCAGCCACCGACTCGGAAGCACCCACACCTCGAACCCGTCTCCCCGTCAGTGACATCTCCCGAGAGGAATCTCCACTCGACTTCTTCTTCCGCGCCGACCGAGCCGAGAAGGCGAGAGCTCGGAGCGGTAGTTCAGCCAACATGTACGCTCATAGCCCGAGCTTGTTCTCGCCCCAAGGACAAGGCCTATCACCTCAGGAACCCCGGACTCTCCCTACTGGCACGAGCCTACATGGAGCCCGGTTACACCATTCGGAGCCAGCCCAGCCGAATTACTCGATGGGCTTCTCTGCCAGTGAAGTAGGCGGAAACCCATGTCTCTCTATGGGGCCAGCTTTTTCGAGACCCTACCAGGATCGCATTCGTGATGCAAGGTCGAGCGAGGGGCACACTGGCGTTGCCTCGAGCGTTCCTCGGCAACATCAGCAGCAACAGCAGCAGGAACCTAATATGGACCCTAGTGAGAAGCTCAAGAGATTCCTTGCAATCCCGGCGATTCGAGATAGTCAACCGGCAAATCAACCACCGAGCCATCCGGCGAGCCAGCACACGTTCCCAGGCCACTTCCGTGGCGGTGAGTTTCATGGCAGGCAACCACCACCACCTGCTCCATTTCCTCAGGCAGTCGATCAACAGCGGTCCGCAGACATTCAACACATGGAGGATAGCCTTCGTCGGATGCTGAAGCTCGATTCTCCGGTGAATATAAGGGCATCGGCAACAAACTATCAAAGCTCTTGATTCAGGCGTACCATCTATTGTCCATACCGCCGGAGGGTTTACCTTGTTGTCACATGAGTGTCGACATCTAGCGTTTTCTTTAATCGTTGCACATTTCCTTTCATATCCGTCATCTTAATATCAGGCGTTGGATGGTGACGGTACGATTCCCGGACTTTGCAGATTTTACATGCATGCGTCAGCGATGGATCCGGTGGATTTGTGTTTGGCATTGGGTCTGTCCGATTTGTCGAATCACTGGCGTTTTGGAAGGTATGGTGTACCGACCATAATTTCCGGGTCTATGCCGTCATAGGGTAGACCGGCTCTTGTATCTTTTTTCTTTTCTCATTTCTTATGCTGGCTAGCATATCAGCCTATGTTTTGGGCTCATTGTTATCTGTGTTGCTTCTTTTGTCTTTTTTATTTTGGTTTTTTTTTCTTTCCTTCTCGAACATTGCGAGGGCGAATTTGGGTCTATGTCATTCAACATTTGGTACGAGTGTGGTCCATTTGACTTGCTGCATTGCGGCATTGGTTTTTGGTGATACCCATACCGTCATTGGGAGTTGGGCGGGATTTGGACCCTTATTTTCATTTGCAGGCGTGGCCTGTTGTACGAGGGAGGTTTTGGTATGATACGCATAGAATCATGGGCGTTCAACAAAGGGGGAACTCGGAGTTGTCAAGAATCGGACGACGTTTCGAAGACCATCATATTCGGGGGTTTTTTAGGAAGTCAGGAAAGGAAAGGCACGAAAGGGACCCTACGCCAATGGGATCCGTACATACACAGCGAACTATACCCGGTACTTGCACGCCACACACCACGACGCATTATCTAACACGCACGTATACAACATATAAATCGAAAAACAACAAAAAAAAATATTTTTGGAGGGTGATATTTGGTTTGCCAGCTTAGATAGCACAAGTAGTTAGACTTAGTTTCGGAATGTCTCAAACCATTTATACCCTCCACCACATTGGTTCAGCCAAACTCTCATTATCTGTCAGCTGTGCAGGACGAAGTCGGTGGCTGATTCTTACCCAGTTCACTCGGAGGACATCGCGTAGAATCATTAGAGGTCATAAAATGTCCAATCGTACAGAGAAAGCGGACATGCATGGAAAATAGAAAGGGTGTAGTGACTACCAACAGGTATCTGATATTGACAACCGAGTCTGGCTCTCTGATCGGTGATAACCCTAACCCTGTTTGTGTTGGAAACAGCAGCGTCAACAGACAGAAAACGATCGGGTGCGTGGACTTCGAACGACGGGATGACGTGGAGTCGCGAAAAGAATTTGGTTAAAGTCGATGGAAAGAAACAGCTAGCATCTTACCATTTCAGTGCTGATTATTGTTGTTGAAACACCATGATGCTCGAGTTTCATAGATGCTGAGTGTCCTGTCCTCATCTTCAAATCGCATGCATAATGAGGCCTCTGCTTCACATTCGCACACCCCGCTTTCATTCGTCTTGTCCGACAAACACACTCCCGCTCTTGCCTATTTACCCAACGAACAACACCTTGGGAGTTTTTCCCTGACTGAACGAACGGAACGGCTATCCTTTTTTTTTTTTTTTTCTTTTTTCTTAACCTTGCATGAAGCGTTTCGTCTCCACATTCATCTTCCACTCTCCTAGATTATTTCGCTCTCTTTTTGTCGCAGCTTTCTTTTCGCAGTCACATCCTACGCACCTTGGAAATACCATTTTTACGCGTCCCGCCAGGATCTCATCCCACGACAACCTATTCGGCCGTCAACACTATTCATCTCAATCGCACTACTTCTCTTGCTTCTGCACGACTTTACCTTCGGCATATGCAATGGCCGGCCACAAGGGCGCACGGTTCAATGATGCCGAGGACATATCCGATGACGAAGCACTGCGCGTCGCTATCGCTTTGTCACTTGGCCAGGATCCTTTCAAACCGCAGGCTGGTGGGAAGTCAAGCGCTACAATTGACCTAACACAAGACGATGAGGGCGACGATGGAAGTCAGAGGAAATCCACCGTTCAACTAAAGCCTGCCGCCCAGGATACCAGATTATCCCAACCCAGCAAACAAGCCTCTACCACCTCTGCCCCGGCACACAGTGTATCAGCACTTTTCGGCCTTGACAGGAAGAAGATGGAAGAGGAGCGTCTCGCTCGCTTGAAGAACAAACGACCAGCTTCATCAGCTTTGGAATCTCCCAGTCCGACCACCGCCCGTCCCCATCAACGTTCAAAGATGTCGACCAGTAGCTACGACAATGCTACCGGTCCACAAACAATTGCCGATTTGCTACTGCCTGAGTCTGATGAAGACGAGACGGCAAGCTCTCAAGGGTCCAGCAGTTCGCCGGTCACGGGCCGCATGGTCAAAGCCGGGAAGCAGCAAGCAAATCCGTCAGAGTCAGGAAAGGGAAAAGTGGCAGCAACGGCAGCAAGTGCGGAGAAATCCTCCATTGCCGGCACCACAAGCGGTAGTAGACCAAAAGCAGAACTTTCGTTTCCCCACGGTGCAGTCAAGAAAACGTGGGTCCGTGGTCAAGCGAGGAAGGGGGATGACATTACGATCGAAGAAGTCTTCCAGAAAGATAAGCTGCAGTTGGCAGTGTTGAGCACGTTTATCTTGGATGAGGCGTGGCTGTTCGACAAGCTGGATTTGATGAAGACGAAACTGATACTATGTCGGGGTGCCCCTAATCAGGGGGAACAAATCAGTGTAGGTTCAGGGAATCGGGATACCTCTGGAAGCCCCGAGGCAGGCTGGCATGTTTCTTCACCTCGAAAAGTCATGACATGGTTAACGTGTTCCTTTCCTCATAGACCTGGTTGGATGGATTCCCAACAGTGCGGAAGCATCTTGTTCCCATGAACGGTTCGGGGTGCATGCATTCGAAACTTCAGCTGCTCAAGTACAAAGACCATCTTCGCATCGTTGTGCCCAGCGCCAATCTGGTGAGCTTCGATTGGGGTGAGACGGGTGATATGGAGAACGTGAGTCTACTACTTCCAGTTATTCTTGAGCCGCGACAGTTACTAAAGCCCCCCTGCAGATCCTGTTCATCATTGACCTCCCTCTCCTTGATGATCCAGACGTGACAAGAGAGCTCACCCATTTTGGCGAGGAGTTGTTGTACTTCCTCAAGGCCAAGCAGCTGGATGATGGTCTCATCAGAAGCTTAAAGAAGTATGACTGGACGGAAACGAGGCGCTATGGTTTCGTTCACTCGATGTGAGTTCGACCACTAAACCCTGATAAAGACAATTGAAGAGGCACTAAAAGTTCACAACTAGCGCTGCTTCTCACGTTGATGATAAAGCTTGGAGGACAGGTAGATTTGTCAGATTACAGCTGTACAGCTATCGCATAAGCTAACCTCATTCTTACCAGGCTACTGCGGGCTTGGTCGTTCTGTCAAGGCTTTAGATCTTGGTACAACAAAGACGATTGAGATGGATGTCGTGGTGGGTTCTCTGCGCTTATCTCTGTGTCTCAGCTTCTACTACAGCATGTTTGCTGATGACTGGACTACAGGCTGCATCATTGGGATCCATCAAAGATTCCCTACTTAAAGCACTATATTACGCCTGTCAAGGTGAAATAACTCCCAAAACCTACAACTAGCGTACTCCCGCTTCGTTGCTAACAAGAAGTAGGCGACTCTGGTATCAAAGAGCTCGAGAGTCGGCCAGTAGGCAAGAAGGGCCAGGAAGCGCCAGATCTCGGGGCTGTTGAGGTCAGGAAACACACTCGGGTATTTTTCCCATCAAAGAACACGGTGCGGACTAGTATAGCAAAGGTCAGTCGCTAGCCACCTATCCTGTCTTGAAGAGCTATTCCCTTCTTTCCCATACTACATCACCGACCTGATAATAACATGACAATGACAGGACGCCGGGACTATATGTTTCCAGAAACAGTGGTTCGAGGCACCGACCTTTCCCCGAGAAGTCTTGCGAGACTGCGTCTCCACGAGACCAGGCATGCTCATGCACAATAAGATGATCTTTGTCAGGAGGACGGAAGAGTCCAAAAGCGAACCTGGCAAGACAGTTGTGAGCGGTTTCGCGTACGTTGGCAGTGCGAATCTTTCAGAGAGTGCTTGGTAAGTTTGTGAGGTTCCAAGTATCCCAAAGTTTGACCAAGAATTTAACCAACTCTTTTCATGATTTCATCAGGGGCCGACTCATCAAAGATCGTAGCACCAAAAAGTTCAAGATTACTTGCCGGAACTGGGAGTGTGGTGTTCTCATTCCTGCTGGGACTACTACAGTCGCCAGTTCGTCATCAGCGGTGCCTACTGAGAAGCAGGAGGAGGAGGGCAATGGCAAGGGTAAGGGCAAAGCAGTCGTGCCTGGAGAAATGGACGATGACTCGTCGTGGGGAGTCTTTGAGGGCCACGTACCGATTCCGATGCGAGTACCGGGATCTCCGCTTGCGTTTACTGGATCGAAGAGTCCTTTCTTCTTTGGTGGCTTTTGATTGGGGCACCTTGGAGTGGAGAGGAGTACTCCTGGGCATTAGATGGGCGCGGCGGAGTCTTTATTCAGGGCTGTTATCATGGCTTTTGAACTTGACTTAACATGGAACGGAGGGTTTGTAAGGGGCTGAGTGTCAGGATGGAACTGGATGCTTTCGTTTGTTGTTGTTGTTCGCATTCACGGCAGCACTCGCTTGCCAAATATTATCGCTGGGAGTTACAAGTGATGCTAAAGAAGACTGACCATTCATCACAAGGGACACTGGCCTCTCTTGTTCGGACCGCTGTGCAAGTAAACCGCAATCGGGAAGTTCCGCCAACATTCACCAAGATAGTAAACTTCGAAGTCCATGCTTGAAGGTCTCTATAGGTTGGAAATCGACTGCCGTGGTGCTGAGTCCGTTCGATTTGTATGTTGGTGCTAGGTGTGTTTGGACCGTCCTTCTCTCCACTTGCCAGATCGAATTATCCCAACGAGCCCGTCAAGCTTGGATCGTATGATTTAAGAACTCGAGGATGTTTTAATGACAGGGCCGCCGGAATGATGTCGTTGTTGTGAACAGTTGGAGGTACGTACCCTTCTTTCCCGATCGGGACTTAAGTAGACAATTGATTGGATATTACGGATTTAGCTCCGACTGAACGGCCTTAATTGTGGGTCAGTCTTTGACGTTGATGACAGCTTCCAGTTGAAAACTCTGAGGACTACCTACCCATTGGGGTACACATAGGCAGCCAGGGAGGTAGACGGCCGCCAGGACACAGTTGTATTGTGCGTTGGTGGAACTGATAACAAGTACCAAACCGATGATTTGAACAGTGATATTTTGAGGATCCACAGGATGCTGAACAGAACGGTTGATGGCTAATGTACGTTTAGTACCTAATAGTATCGAGACGGACAAAGCAGACTTGATAGCTAACACTCACCTCTCATCTGGTGGCTCAGTGCGGGACAAAGTGAGTGATGATCAAAAACACGAGACTATGGGTAGGATGATCCCACTTGCAAGCTAGATATGAATACCCCTCCTTCCTAGCGACACAACTTGAATGCACCTTGCCAACATTTACAGTATTGTGCCTGCCATCCACTGCCCAGGAAAGCTCATACTCGACTACACCTGTGCCCTTGCCATCCGAAAGATAATGATGGGAAAGGAGGGTTCTTATCAAACTGACGCCCTGCTTCAAAGGGAGAAGGTGTACCCGACCTGGCCTTTTCCTTTTCCGCCCAAGAGAATGGTACCCAAGTGAACCTAGTTCGACACAAGAATCATGTAGTTCATATCAACTTCCATTCGTCTTCTGGTTCAAACTCAAGTCGACTATATCGGCAACCCTCCAAACATCATTCGCTTTTTCTGAACGGTCTACCGGCTCTGTCGTTTACATTTCGATTCCATTATACGATATTATCTCGCAAAGCAGCATATCAAGATCATCGCTCTTAACATGAATCCAATTAAGACACCTTTCGTTCCCAAAAAGGCCTGTTCTCAGGAGCAGGCCGACCCTCAAGAATATTTCAAGCTCAAGAAACAGGTCTCTCCCCAGGCAACGAATCCGGGAAAGAAGAACGATAACAAAAACAACCAGATGGTAGCTGAATGGAAACAATATGTTGATTGGCTCGTTGACTTGGCCCTCAAGCTGACCTGGGACGTCTGCTTTGACGGCACGCAAGTTGTCTTCAAGGAGCCAGAGACATTGACCGTCTTCAGGGTGGAACCTATTACACTACGGATTTATAGTCACAAGACTTGGATGCGCAACGAACATGACTTTTAGGAGGAACTATCGTTGAATCCCGCGGAAGAAGGTCTTCTTCATGCTATGAGAGCAGGAAAGTTCAGAACTCTTTCCGCTCTCAAGCTGCGAGAACCCAAGTCCAAGGAAGCCGACAGGCTTGCCACGAAAATCTCGCCGATGGATTATAGACTGAGTAAGTTGTTTCTCCTCCTTCTTTCATCATGGCTTCTGACAGGTCATTGGTCATGTGCGCGCTGTGTCATTGGCCTACGATTCTATGTATGCAACAAGAGTTCACTAATCGATTTTTGTTACTTGTGGCCAGAACGCGAACAAGACGCCAAGAAGCTGAAAAAGTTTATACGGTACAGGCATATCCTTCATGCTCCCAAAGGCTCGGGCACTCTCTCTGCCTGGTACGTTGCGATGTCCAGCACACGCCCCAATCCGACAACATTCTACAGCTCTCTCCTGTCAACATAGAATTTACTACATACACGACAAGCTAAGCACAAAGAAACATACAATATATAGCATCCCAAGCCACCCCTGGCCCGAGTTCTCTCAACCGCTTACCTGCCTCTACTGCAATCTGACCACAGATCACGTCAATATCCACCAATTTCTTCCAACTATCAACATTCCCTGCCCAAAAAGCCCGGAAGTCAGAATTCTGCATGACCAAGATCTCTGTCCCTACCACGACTACTACCTTCTCAGTGGGTGTTCCCTCGGCTACCACGAGCTTCTGGCGCTCAGTGTGTTCCAGCAGTGGGGTATATCATTTGGCACTGAGTGTGAAAGGGGGCCTGGATCTCGGGAAGTTTTACATTCGGATAGACACTTTGATGAGAAACGGTCACATTTCAAACATTTCATTGATCGCATGCGCGAGGAAGTGGTGGAGAAGAGGGGACATCTGGTTACTACGGAGGCGGATCTGAAGTTGGGGACGTTTCTTAGCAAAGGGGCTGGGTCTGGGTATGTTTTCGAAACTTGCATGGGAGAGGAAGGAAGGAAGGATTTGGGGGCTATTGGGGATGGGAGGCCTGTTGTGAAGGGAAAAGAGACTGGAAAGGAGGAGGAAGACGACGAGGAGGATGAGGAGGCTATGGAGGAAGTTGGGCCAGCGGGTGAAGGCGCACCTTTGACTGCTCCTAAGTGATGTTTCACGTGGCTGGAATATGAATGGTTTGTGGTGAGGTCATGGCAGAAGTGGTAAAGTTGTAACAAGCGCACATTTTCGATTTCTTTTGTTGGTATACCAGCTAGCGAAGTAGTTGATTTTAACTAGGTAGCTAGAGATGGGTTTGAGTTCAGATAAGCTCACAACTCAAGAAATGCAGCTGTAACTCCTTGGCTCTCAATATCCCGTCAATTGTTCTCTTCTTTAGAACTTGCCTGGCCTCCGAGACGGTCAATCGAGTCGTTGCTCTCCTCATTTCATCTCCACAATCGTAGATAGAAAAATCGGAAGGATGGATGGAAAGATAGAAGTGGTCTTTCTTTTCTTTGTGGAAAAAAAACGGTTGCAGTGTAAGAAATTGAGATTTCTTGAGGCATGGGAGTGTAGAGGAGTCAAAGACGAGTGGAAAGGTATGCAGTTTGTGTGTGTAGCTCTTATATTGGTAAAGATATAGAAGAGTGATTGATGAGAAGAAGGAAGGTCTTTTCCTCGAGGGAAAGCTTCCTTCTTATAGACTTTGTGGGCCAACCGGTAGTCCTATGAACAAGCCATTTTCATCATTGCATTCTTTGGCTTCTGTAGAGTCCGGAAACGGCCCACGCTTCGACCTACAACAGCGATGGGCACCTCAAAGGGCAGCACAGCAAACAGGCAGAAAATGTAATCCCAACTTTCAAGTAACCAAAAATACAAGAAAACCAGCAAAAAAGGATACAGAAGAAATGGCACGATCCTGGTTCGAGCGCCTTGGAGGCGGGGCTCAAGGAACGGGGTGGAGGGCGGAGAGATGGAGAGCAATACCACCACCACTGCAGCGATCAACGCCCGAAGGCGTTGCAGACTGACGCGATCGAAATGACAAATATACCCCTTATCAGTGCTGCGTGTATGAGGTTTTGGTTAACCACTCAACGAGGGAGATGAAAAGTCTGAAGATGGGACGGAAGGTGGACTGATACTAAACGAAAAGGAAAGTACCTATTCAACATCAAAGAATTCGCCGGTCGTCATCGAGCCAACTAGTATTGCTGGCGGCCGTTGATTTCCCGGTACATGGATGGTACTAGGGAGAGTGGATGCAATTCGTCAGAGTCTTGGAAGGTAGGGGAAAAATTAGGGGTGAACGCGAAGTTGAGGTTGAGGAAGTTTTATATGTATATCATAGTCGCTAGTCGCCTTTGAGTTTGAGATGGGAGACGGAAGACGGGCACGATAGATTAAGAGATTATCAGGCTAAAGCTGATCTACTAGGTTTTGAGCATCTTTTTCTCTCTTTTTTTTTTCCATGTCTGCTCTGTGCGTTGCTGTCATCTAATTCAAGCTTCTCTTCACTGCCTTTATCATCTTTTACGTGTACATGGCTGCCTAGATGACTATATGCCAGCGTTGGTTCTGTGTTTCCAATGGATTCTGAACACTCGTTAGACGGAATATTCAGTGAAATTCCTCGGTAACATGCAACACCAGAACAACAAGGACAAATGAGCCGGATAGTGGATGGAAAATTTTGTGTTTGACATAGACGCGTCGGCCATACATCCGTCATATACTAGAAAGTGTCATCGGCTTCGTGTAAAGAAAAGGAAGGAAAGGGGTATAGGCAGGTAATATACACACAAGAACGTGACGTGACAGCATCACTCATTCTTGTCATCTCGACTGGTGAGACATGGGCGAGGCGACCTCATGTCATCACTGAAAGGTTTACTTCCAGAACCACCCATCCTTTTTCCCATCCTTGCCGTCATCATCCTTAGTGTTTCCGTCCTGGTCACGGCCCTTCTCGGCGAGGGAGGACTTGGCGTCTTCATCAGCACCGAAGTTGCCAAAAGACCAAGAGCGCTTACTTTGGACCGAGTGGCTGCTCGATCTGCTGATAACGTTGCCCTCAGCATCCTTCCTGATGATTTCCTGCTTGACATGTACCGCACCGGATGCGTCGGTGTACTCTTCCTTCTTGACAACTTCGGTCACCCCGTCCTTCTCGGTGGTGGTGGTGGTGACGGTGCTGTTGTCTCTAGTAGTGACAGCGGTATCGGAAGACTTTGTAAGACTGTCAACATCTCTAGAATCGATCCAGTCATCGAAGAAGCGCTTGGTGTCCTTGAGCTCGTTCGCAAAGGACTTGAACAGCGTGCTCAGTGAACGGTTGGACTCGTTGAAAGCTGACAAGATGACATCGGTCAAATCCTGCTCTGTGTCAGGATGCTTCTTGTCGTTTGAGCTGGGACTTTGCAATCTCTTCTTCGATTCCCGTTCTGTTTCCTCGGTTAACGCACGGTCGAACTTGTTGATGAACCATGTCAGGTTGTCAAAAAAGCCGTTGGACATGTCAACGACGTCGCCAAGCGTGTTGCTGACATCATTGATGATGCGTCCTTGCATTTCCAGAACGGCTTCGTCCCGATTTCTGTTCTTGTCGGCCCAGCGAGAAGCATCGATTCCGAGGTTTGACACGAGCTGAGAAAGGATGTTATAGTGGAAGTCGGCCTTTTCCGCCTCCGCCTTTCTCCATTCAATCCACTCGTCCATACTGCGAGGCGAGCAGTAGCGGCGGTCGGAGGCATCGACGAACAGGCGAGAGTAGAGGGGGAACCAGGCTTCGTCAAGTTTGCGGAAGCGTATTCTCTGGTCCATATCAAGTGCTCGGAGCATATCCGGGGTCACGGTTTTGCTCTGTTCAAGGTACTTTGGATAGAGAGGGTATTGTTTGGTGAAGCAGTGGGAGTCGAGACTCCTCATAGGCTTGGCCGAGCTTTCGGCAAGAAGATCCTCAAAGGCGTCCTCCCATCCAAACTGATTGGGATCCATTTCCGGAGTCAGGCCCTTCGGAACGGGTTTCCAGCCGAGCTCGAGAGAAAGGCGAACCGGGGAGTAATTGGAGCGTAGCAGAAACAGCCTCCAGGCGCGGGCTGCTTCAAAGTAGTTGGTGCCATTTCTTTGCAGCTCGTCAAAATAACGCTCCAGCTCTTCAGAGTCCTTATTTTTCTCATAGGCACGGATATCGGGTAAGTTCTTGCCCCGAGTGATGTCGGTGCCCAGGGCTGGTGAGGACGGAGCATCTCGTCTGGACAGCTGATACGGCGTAAGGTATAGAAGCGTGTCGAGAATAGTGTGAAAGCCGGCGCCGATATTGTCGTCGACGTGCTCCTTGAACTTCCTGAAGGGCTTCAGGAAGTCGTTTAACGGGTCGTTGTCATCGCGCATTGTGATTTGCCGGTGGTGGATCGAAAGTTCTTTGATGGGAAACGAACTTGTCTGAGTTGAAGAGGGGAAAGTGAAGAACAGGTGATGTAGCTTGTAGGTTGACGTGTAGTTGAGGTTGTTGTTTTCCGTGTTGGGGTGGGGAATTGGAGCTTGTGCTTCTGTGATGCCACTGTACCTTGGAATGACCTCAGTGGCACTCTCTAGATGCTTCTGTTGCACGGGACAGCCGAGGTACGTACTTTAATATCAGACGAGTACCTCTACGGCTACGTGTCTAGGTATGTCTGAGCACCTACAGAGAGTGAACGAGTACCTCTAGGTATTCCCACAACGGCATAGATTTACTGTGCATATATTCCCGAGAGATTCGAGTATCATGGGATGTTCTTTTGTAGTTTGAACTTGGCTACCGTAGTGGGAAAATGTGTGAGGCGGCTGTCGCTCCCAGCACTGACAGGGGAAGTAGCGACAGTTGAATCAGCAGCGACAGTTGACTTCTCACCAATAACCCTAACCCTGATTATCTTAAGCCTTCTACAGGGCACCATTCCCCCCAGAGCACCATTCCCCCAAAGCACTAGCGTATTCCCTCTGGTCCTCCAAAGCACCACCTCCATCCCTCCTCCAAAGCACTACAATAAAAACCTCCGCTCTACTCCTTCCTAAAGGTTCTTTACCTAACTATATTAAAAGAAAGAACTCCTTTCTCTTTCAAATCTTTGGCCAAATGGCCAAGTGGTTCCCGTGCAACTTTTCTTTTGGCTTTCATCGTGACTGTAATTATTCGATTTCCAACTGTAATATCTTCTTTTCGAACTTAGAAATTTTCCAAGTCTACTTTTAGTAGTACCTCTATCAGTAGAAGAAACCACTATAATAAGAAAGGACCTTCTAAGAAAGGACCTTCTAAGAAAGGACCTTCTAAGAAGGACTACCTCTACCCTAGAAGGTAGGGGAGAAGGAAGCTAGAATTTTTTTTTTTTTTTTGGTGGAACCAACTGTCGCTGCTGATCCAACTGTCGCTGCTGTCATTCCTGTGGCATATTTTATCGCTGTCACTGTTATATAACAGCCCCAGTCGCCCTGCACAGACTTCCGCTTCGGTAAGGTTGATTTCAGTCTCAGACATGCATGCAGGTGCAGTGTTGTGTATAAGTGTTAGCGTTCAAAGGTGGTGTTGATAAGCGGGCAGGCAGGCAGGGTCCAAAAGTCCAAGATACCTCTACAGGAAGGCCAGAGGCTCAGCTCAGGGGGGATAGAGTCTTGACGCCGACAACAATCCATTTCGAGTAGCCCTAAACAATTGTTCTTTCACATGACAAATTGTTAAGACGGGAGTGTTCATAGTGTCACTGCACGGAAAAGACAGTGAAGCAAGGTTGAAGAGCTGAAGACGGGAGTTAATTTTCAAGACAACAAAAACAACAACCTAGAACGTTAACAGCAGCTGCCCCACCACAGCCTGGAAATTGGAATCGCTGGAATTACCCGACCGATAGCGATATGGAAGTGGAGCCTACAGAAAGTGAAAGCGTCCAGACGCTATATGTAAGCTGCCTCAGCCTGCCCGCCCCCCCTGGATATAGGTGAGGCGAGCCTTCCCAGGCGAATGGTCAGTCGTTGGGTCGTAAGAAGGAACACACCTAATACAGTGAATGCATTGCACCTTCGGTATAGAGGTACCTAGAGGTAACCTTATGACTCCTTCAAGCGTCTTTATTATACATGTCGACATGTTCATTCGCAGCGATTCTTGAATAGATGATGAATCCTTGAGTAATTCTGGCCGATGCGCTTTCGAATCATTGTGATTCCTATCACGGTTTTGTAGCGAGCGGCCTTTCCTACCAAGCCAAAGCGAGCCGTGCTGGACTGTCCATGTTCGGTTTATTTTTACAACCACTTCGCCGGGCAGCCAGGGTTCAGGCGCTATTCCTGGCAGCAACAGCGACCCCGGCAGTAACGGCATCCATTTTAGCGACGCCATCGAATCTGTAGCGCACAATTCGTTAGTGTCGCGGGTTCCTCAAGGGTTCCTGTCTAAAATAACCATGTCGTATGACAACCATAAGTGTAAGGTTCGGACTCTCGCGCACAACTCGGGCTGCGCATTCGACAATCACCATTCCCGTCGTCCCTCTGTTGAGCCTCGAAATGCGACCTGGACGCTCAGTCTCCTTCTCTGTCGCTGCAATTTTACCCTCCACGGTGCATCCACTCTAAAGTCCGATCAGCTACTGCGACTACCGCGACACTAGTCTCGTAATAGACATTGACATTTCCGAGGTTCCTGTTCTCAACTGTACTTCTTGTTCTCCTTCCTATTTTCTCCTTACTCATATCAAGCGGCCGACCGACGAACATAACGCCTCAGCGAAAAAGATAAGACACCATACGGACAGACAACAGACCCCAAGTCAACAGTCAACAGTCAACAACCACTACTGAAACCGAAACCTTACTCGGCTTACTATACTATACAAGTAGGAGCAGGGCATGATCCGCCGTCTCATCTCGCCAACCGATTGCTTCACATGCGCTTCCCACCTGCGAACCAACATTCCATGACCTCCGACTGTGAGCCTTGAACGCCGCGAGCCGTGTGCGTTGCTCACCAGGACGCCGCTCCATCGGCAACCTCGATCCCGATCCCGATCCCGATCCCGAACCAAGCTCCAATCCAACCGGTACCGAACCGCGTATAGACAACAACCCCGACGGCAACCATGCGCTTGCCCGCTCCTGCCTCCGCAGCCGGTCTGTGGCCCATGGAATACTTACCTGACGTCGATATCCCGCCAGCCGACGGAGGCGATCACGGCAATGACGAAGGCCAAAACTGGTCCTCGCTGATCGGCATTATCACCGCCATCTGCGGCAACATCCTAATAGCTCTGGCGCTCAATGTCCAACGATATGCCCACATTCGGTTGAATCACCACCGGGCCGAGATACGACGGCGCGCAAAGCAGGCGCTCAGGGAGGCTAGGGCCAAGGCGAACGGGACAATTTCTGGAAGTGGAGGTATATACGGAACCACAGCTCCCGTGTCTGATGGGGCTCTCTCGAGGAAGGACACCACTCGCCGCCCCACCAGCGACCTGGCCATTGATGCCCACGAAACCGAGCCTCTCACACGGTCCTCTGATTCTACAGACTCGGGTTGGTCCGAGTCTTCGACTCCCACGAGTGGGGAGATCAAGGTCACAACTACATATCTGAAGGATCCGTACTGGTGGCTAGGCCAGGGCTTGATCACTGTGGGCGAGACGGGCAACTTCCTGGCATATGGCTTTGCTCCGGCTTCCGTCGTCAGTCCTCTCGGCGTCGTTGCTTTGGTGTCCAACTGCATCATTGCGCCCATCTTCTTCAAAGAGGTCTTCCGGCGGCGAGACTTCTTTGGTGTACTCATTGCCGTGGCCGGTGCCGTGATCGTGGTCTTGAGTGCCGAGTCGCAGGAGACCAAGATGGGGCCTCACGAAGTATGGGATGCGATCACGACCATGGAATTCGAGATCTATATGGGCCTTAGCTGTTCCTTGATTGTTCTCCTTATGTGGGCGAGCCCCAGGTACGGAAACCGGACCATCCTCATCGATCTGGGTCTGGTCGGTCTCTTTGGTACGTAGATCACTCCTTGACCAGCAGCTGCCTGGTGCTAATACTCAGGGTTTACAGGCGGATATACTGCCCTCTCTACAAAAGGTGTCTCATCGATGCTCTCCTCTACTCTTCTCGGCGCTTTCACCACACCGATTACATACGTTCTGATATTTGTCTTGCTCTTCACCGCAGTCATGCAAGTCCATTATGTAAACAAGGCGCTCCGGCGTTTCGATTCTACCCAGGTCATTCCCGTCCAGTTTGTACTGTTTACACTATCTGTAATCATCGGCAGTGCCGTCCTCTATCGGGACTTTGAGAGGACAACCAGCAAGCAAGTGCTCAGATTTATCGGCGGCTGCATGTTGACTTTCTTCGGCGTGTTCCTCATTACCAGCGGCAGGCCGCACCATGATGAGGAAGAGGAGGAAGAAGAGATTCTCTCCGACGCCGAGGGCATTGACGAAACCATTGGCCTTGCAGAACAAGGCCCAACGCTAGGAGCAGCAGCGGCAATCGTCGCCGCGACCTCATCACCACATACACCCCGCCAGTCCTCTCGCAGACGTAGCGATTCTACGAGATCCCGACGATCGTCGCGTATCAGTTTTAAAGAAGCCTCAGTCAGACCCCTATCAGCAGTAGAGGAGGCGGAGGATACAGGCCTTCCTTCGCGCACTCACACCAGGACCAAATCTCAGAAGACTCTCATTGAAGAATCAGACGACGACGACAACGAAGACGCGCCGTTACTCGGCAACCCCTGGAGGGCGGCATCTTCCCAAGAAAGAAACAGAAGTGAAGAATACATCCCAGAAATCGACGCACATTACCATCACCCGGGCATCGGCCCACACACCATCTCCTCAGACACCATCCTCTCCATCCCCGTCTCCTCTGACGAATTCGGCACCGATCTCCTCTCAACCACACCCCAACCCAACATCACCATCACCTGTGGCTCCTCTCCCGCTGCCGGCTCCTCAGCCGCAACCCGTACGCCCCCTTCCGCCTCGCGACCGGCCACACCCCGCGCACCCGTTTCTTCCTCCACCCTATCACAATCGCACCGCGCCTTCAACGCCCACGTCCACCACTACGGCCATCATCACCACCATAACGCTGGCGGTAACCCTCTCATGATCTCCCCTTCCCCCTTCTCTTCCACTCTTGGTGCCGTGGTAGCGGACAGATTGCTCCCCCATCTCGGCATGACGGCCGAAAATGACTCGCCTACGCAGAGGAGGATAGCAGGTCGACGAAGCAGGCCCGGGCTGAGGAATAGTTTGTTCGTGCCGCAGGACGAACTAGACAATGACGACGGGTACTTTGACCTGGAAAACTGTAGGGGACGGGGAAGAAGGTCAGCAGCGGTGGGGAGTACGAGTACTTTTGGTCCGTTGCTGGATCTTACCGGACTAGGCGGTAACGGTAGCAAGGGTGAGGGACAGCGAGGTCCAGGGCAAGGTCAAGGTCAAGGTCATGGAGACCAAGGGATAAGAGGACGAGCGAGGAGTTTGAGTGGGACGTTGGCCGAGTTGTTGGGTGGTGGATGGAGGATGGGTGGCGGTGGTGGTGGTGGTGGTTCCTCGCACGTGAGCACGAGCGCGACCGCTGCCACTTCGAGTGGTAACAACGGGTCGAACCCGACAATGCGGGTGCCCAATGCTAGTAGTAGGAGCAGAATGGGAATGAAGAGGAGACGGACGGATCCGAACTTCAGGGTTATTAGAAATGGAGGAGAGACTAGAGTAACTGAAGATGAAGAGGTTGAGGGGGATGAGGAAGGGCAAGGAAGTCGGTTGGAGACGACGAGGAGTGCTGCTGTATAGATGTCGGTGGGAAAGGGTGGAAAATTTGTTGTTTCGGTTATCTAGAAAGCATTATATGAAAGCGAGCATAGCGAGAAAAACAAAGCAGGTAAACAGGCGTTCTGTTATATAATAATAGCATGTAGAGGGCGCACAATATTATTGAGCGTTGTCTTGGTCAAGAACTGCAACCGAGAGATTTCACTAGTGTCCACGGCGGAAATAGACTGAGAGGTGTTGGAAAACGCTAAGGCATTGCTTTTGATCGTGATAAAGGTATACTTAGATAGCAAACAGGAAAGGCCCTGGTAATAACATAAAAGATTTAACATTCCGGGCCAGCAGCAGAAAAACACTCTCTCTCCCTACATTAGGTAAACTCCAAGAGCCCAAGCTTATTTCTTGCCCCTGATGTTAGCCTTCTTTTTCCTCTGTTGCCTCTTCCTCGCCAGGATCTTGGTCATGAGGGCCTCCTTGACCATCTCACTCTTCTTGCCCTTCTTATCCACCTTGATATCTTCAGCCTTCACCTCCTTCGCCGGAGCGGCGCCTGCGGCCTTGGTCACCTCAGCCGGGCCCTTCTTATCCTTGCCCTTGTTCCACCCAGCAGGCTTCTCAGGCTTAGCGGCCTTCTTCCTATCCGCCTTCCTTCCAGCCTTGTATGCCTCCTTGGCCTCCTTGGATCTCTTCTTCTCCTCCACCTCTGTCTTCCTTTCCGCGGGCGTCATCGTCCTTTGCTTCTCCTCATCCTGTCTCCTCCGCTGCACCACGTTCGCGTTCTCGATCGCGAACTCGACAATCAGCCTTTGCGTCTTGCCCAGCTCGTTCTTGACGGCAAACCCGTTCAGGTAGCGCAGGCCCATGAGCGCCCAGCGGTGCGACGAGTACTCGATAAAGCCGTAGCCGCGCGACTTGCCGCCACCGACCTTTTCGTCCACCTTGGTGCCCGTGGTCGTCTCGAACACGATCTTGGCCTGCTTGACGACACCCTTGCCCTTGAGCTTCCGGAGACGCTCGTTCTCCTTGTCTTGCTCACCACCGCGCGAGTTTTCTTCCTTGGAAATGGGCGCGCGCTTGCCTTCCTTGACGTCCTTGGCGAAACCGACGACGGCCTGGCGCGCGAGCGCCTTGAGCTCCTTCGATCCAATGTTGCGCGGCAGGTTGCGCAGCGCGAGACGGGTGAGCGACAGGTGCAGCGACGGGTTGGACTGGATCAGCTTCTTGCGCTGGTTGGCCGACGCTTCGCGCATCTTGATTTCGGCCGGGGTAAGGACCTTGAAGAGCGTAGACGAGGGTGTGATTTGGCCCTCGTTCAGGAGGTACAGGCGTCTCTTGTCCTTGTCCTTCTTACCGGCCGAGGCCTCAGCGAGACGCTCGGCTTCGTCCTTGGAGACGGCGTGGGCGACTTGAAGGATGCGCCCGTCGAGCGTGTACTTGCCCTCCGGATCGACGGTCTCGTCTTGAAGGATGGAGTGCTTGACGAGTGTGGTGGTAGGTTGATGGCGGGGGGCGCCCTTGAGGCAGGCCTTCATCTCCTCCTCGTTGAAAAAGCACACGAAACCGGTACCGGCTGGCCTGTCGGTGGCCTTGTCCTTGACAACTCGGGCGTATCTGATGCCGCCGAACTGGGTAAAGTGCGCCTTCAGCTGCTCATCGGTGGTGGTGTATGGTAGGTTGCGAATGAAGAGTGTTAGAGAGTTGTCGGTTAGCCGCTTGGGCTTCTGTTCCTCCTCCTCATCCTCCTCCTCCTCGTCCTCCTCGATATCATCTTCGTCCTTGTCTTCATCGTCTTCATCCTCGTCCTCCTTGTCCTTGTCTTCGTCCTCCTCATCTTCACTCTCGAGGTTCTCGCCTTGGCTCTTGAAGAAGTTGTAAAGATCCTTTTCCTCCTGTGTCATGCCAGCAGTCTCCTCCTCCTCTGTCTTCTTGTCCTTGGGTTCCTTGACCTTCTTGTCCTTCTTCTCCTTCTTGTCGTCCGACTGTCCGCCGTTCTGCTGGGCCCATGTCTGCTTATCCACGGCCCAGTCGACGGCCAATGGGCGGCCATCGACCTCCAGGCCATTGACGGCCTCAATAGCCTTTTCAGCATTCTTGCGACCACGGAGGGTGACGAAACCGAAACCAGAGAGCTTGCCCTTGTCGTTGGGCAAGTCGGCGAACCTGACCTTGCCATATGGCTTGAACAGCTCGGCCAACTGCTCAGGCTTCTTGATGCTCCATGGCAGGTTGCGGATGATGAGTTTGTTGGGCTTCTGGGCCTCGGCGACGGCTTCGGCACGTTTCTGCTTCTCCTCGGCGACCTTGGACACAACGGGTCCGGTCTTCTTAGCATCACGGTGTCTGGCTTCGGCAATGTCGAGCTTCAGGCGCTTCCCTTCAAGCAGGTAGTTGTTGAGCTTGGCCTTGGCCTCGAGGGTATCCTCGGGATCGGTAAAGGTGACGAAACCATAGCCGCGCGAGGTCTTGGTTTTGGGATCGAGGACAACGGTGGCATGCTTCACAGGGAAATGTTGGGAGAAGAACTCGGTCAGAGACTCGGCGGTGGCACTTGGAGGTAGCTGTCGGATGAAGAGAGAGCGGTTGGATTCAACTCTAGCTTTCTTGCTTGGGGGGTTCTGTGCAGCAACATCGGAATCCTTGATGGCATCGGGATCAACTGGGATCTCCTCGTCCACCTCGCGTTGGCGCTTTTTGTTCCCGTCCTTGCCCATTATTGCAAGCAATCGGGTTGTGATGTTATGTGTTTGTTAGGTGGTGTTGTTGTTGAAAATAGGGAAAAAATGAAAAAGCAGCCAAATAAATTCAAAAGTGAAGGAAACAGACCCTCTCAAGGCGAAAATGGTGGATGGGAATCGCCGAGTCCATGGACAGCTTCGCCCAGCGACAACAGTTCTGGACCCTTCGCCCAAAGAAAAATATTCGAGGTGGAGTCCCGATAAGGACGTACAAGGGAGCTTATCGTTTCCTCAAGCTTGGCAGGATTCTGAGCCCGTCTTTTCCTCTCTTCGCGCGCTTCCACACTCAAGGAAAGGCGGGGCGCACAGACGGGCCATTCAAGGCAGGGCAGCTTCAGGGCACCAGCAGGGTACGTTCCATCTGCGACAGACAGCGCAGCGAGCAGCGCGACCCCTCTGCAGGTCAGACAGTCCCTCCCGCTGACGACGGGGCCGCCGCTAGGGAAATTCACAGCAGCCCAGTGTTTGCAAAGTAAACAAAACAACCTCCATTCGCGAATAGTGTCACTTTCATCCCCTCCCGTTCAGTTGCAAAAGCCATCCTACGAAACCCCACATCTGTCTTTCTTTTTGCTTGTTTTCTTATATCTTGGGCTTGGATTACTTGTACCTTTTCCATATCGCATACAAATAGAGGACTGCCGCTGCGCAGGCCCCGCTAATACCAACAGCCATTGCCGACCATGGCGCCGGGCAGATCGACGAGAGCGACACGCGGGGCGCGCCAGACCTCGGTCGTACCAGAAGCACCCTTAGATACTCCCGACAATGCGCTACGCACACAAGTCGCGACCGTCTTCCGCGACGCCCAAAAGACCACGGCATCCCATCGCAAGCTGGCCGTGACCCTGCGCAAGATACAAGAAGCATGCTGCTACGAGCCGACGAGTACGAAGAAGCCCGCCGAGGCCGACGAGTTCGAGGAAGATGACTTCAACAAGGAGTTTGTGCGCTGTGTCCTGCGCGTCATGCCCATCAAGAAGAGCGAGGGAGTCGGCGAGAAGACGGTGCGCTTCATCGGTCTGTTCCTGCGGCATGCCGTCGAGAAGGATAACGAAATTCTCGGCGAGGCCGACCCGGACGCCAGCACCATGCCCGAGACACCCAGCACCCGGCTTACCGGACACTTGATGGAAACCGTTCTTCCCTTGATGATCGCCAAGGACAAGTTTGTGCGCTATCGATCAACGCAACTCATATCTCATATCATCAACTCCCTCGACGCGATTGATGACGACCTCTTCCAGAAGCTACGGTCAAGTCTACTTAGGAGGATTCGCGACAAGGAGGCCATGGTTCGCGCACAGGCTGTGCTGGGTCTTGGACGCTTGGCTGGCAACCAGATCGAGGGCGAACCGAATTCCGACGATAGCGACGATGATGGATCGACTGGTCTTCTCGAAAAGCTCCTCGAAGTCTTGCAGAACGACCCTAGTGCCGATGTGAGAAGATCTCTCCTGGTTAACCTGCCGATTTTGCCGACGACCCTGCCATACCTGCTGGAACGAGCACGCGACCAAGATGCGCTTACGCGGCGCGCTGTCTACTCCCGTCTTCTGCCTGCGCTGGGCGACTTCCGTCATTTGTCACTCTCTATGAGAGAGAAGCTTCTTCGCTGGGGCTTACGCGACAGAGACGAAAATGTGCGCAAGGCCGCCTGCCGCCTATTTCGTGAAAGATGGATCGAGGATTGCGCCGGGACTGCGCCCCCCGTTGAAGGAGGCCAGCCTTCCGAGGTATCACCCCCAAGCATGGAGGCTCTGCTGGAGCTCCTGGAGCGCATTGATGTTGTCAACTCTGGAGGAGAGAACGGTGTCGCTCTCGAAGCCATGAAGGGCTTCTGGGAGGGCCGTGCTGACTACAGAAACGCAGTCAATTTTGATGATAACTTCTGGGAGACACTCAGCTCGGAATCCGTGTTTGTCGCCCGGACATTCAACGACTTCTGTAGGAACGAGGGCAATGGGAAATACGAGTCCCTCGTCGACGAGAAGCTACCCGAAGTCACCAAACTCGCATTTTACTTGGAGCGATACGTCAAGGTGCTCATTGATGCCATCAAGAGGATCAATGAGCAGGAAGTGGAAGATGAAGAGGAGGAAGAAGACACAGTCGAGCAAGAGTTCATTGTCGAGCAGCTTCTCCACATCGCCCTTACCCTGGACTATTCGGATGAAGTTGGCCGTCGCAAGATGTTCGCCCTTTTACGACAAACCCTCTCTATCCCGGAACTCCCCGATGAAGTCACCAAACTCACCGTCCAGGTGCTACGAGACCTTTGCGCCCCCGATGCTGCCGGCGAGAAGGAATTCTGCAGTATTGTACTTGAAGCCGTTGCTGACGTGCACGACACCATCGTTGACGATGTTCCTGACGAAGGCGACATTGACGACAACGAGTCCTTTCACTCAGCTAGATCCGAGGTCAGCGACGACGAAGATTCTCAATCTAAGAAAAAGAAGAATAAGGGCCCTGAACTGTCGGAGGAGGAGGCGGCTCAGAAAGCCATCAAGGAGATCATGATCAACATGAAGTGTCTCCACATTGTGCAGTGCATGCTCACCAATGTCGCCGGCAATCTCCAGAGAAACGATCATCTAGTTTCCATGCTCAACAACCTTGTCGTTCCCGCCGTGCGCAGCCACGAGGCCCCTGTTCGCGAGCGTGGTCTCGTCTGTCTCGGCCTTTGCTCGCTCCTCGACCGCTCGCTTGCCGAGGAGAACCTCACCCTGTTTATGCATTTCTTCGCAAAGGGCCACACTGCTCTCCAGATCACCGCCCTGCATATTCTTACCGATATTCTCAATGTGCACGGCGCGCAGCTGCTCTCGAATAACACCAATCTCCTCAAGGTTTACGTCAAGGCCCTGCGCGCTGGCGGAAGATCTCCCGAGGTCCAGGCGGCCGCTACTGTGGCCGTCTCCAAACTCCTGCTCGGCCGTGTTGTTAGTGACGTCGACGTATCTGCGGAGCTGCTCAAGACCCTTGTTATCGCGTACTTCGAGCCCGCCAGTGCAGAAAACCAGAGCGTTAGACAGGCACTCAATTACTTTTTACCTGTGTTCTGCTACTCGCGGCCAGAGAACCAGGATCTGATGCGCCGGGTTGCGCTGGATGCCCTGCATACCTTGTACAATGTGCGCGAAGGCCTGGATGACGAAGAGGCCGATGTAGATGATCAGATGGTCAGCATGTCGACCATCGCTGCCTGCTTGGTCGACTGGACGGATCCCAGAAAGTGCTACAATCCCGATGAAGGGTTCAGCGCCGGCCTTGACCCCGAGAAGAAGACCGTTTCGGCAGATGTCCACCTCGACTTTGCCAAGGATATTCTCGAAAGGCTACAAGGAAATGGAGCCAGTACGTATTCATTGTTGCCTCTCCCACCAAATCGTGATACTGACACCCAAACACAGAAGAAGAAAAGCGCATCATGGCCGCCCTTCTCGCAAAGCTCTACATCCCATCCGGCTCCTCTTCCTCCAACCCCTCCTCGCCCATCAAGATCCGCGACGTCTACGCCCTCGTCACCAACGCTGTCGAGAATAACCTCCTCTCCGACGCCACCTCCCGCAACGCCCTCTACAAGGTCCACGTCTCCCTTGGCAAGATCGTCAACGCCCTCGATGCCGCTGCCGAGCAAGATGCCGCCAACAACGCCGCGGGCCGCCATGCCTCCATTGCCTCCGGCGCCACCACCCATAGAAGAAGCGCCAGCAGGGCAGGCAGCGTCGCTCCTAGCCGGGCGGGTAGCGTGGCGCCTCCGACTAGCGAAGCCAGTGGCGGCGGCGGGGCTGTGTCCAGAGCCGGTTCCGTCGCACCATCTGCGTCTGGTGCTACTGCCGCGCCTGTTAACAGCAGGAAGAGAAAGGAAAGAGAGGTCAGCGTTGCCGTCTCCATCAAGGAGGAGGACGAGAACGAGGACGAGGGCGAGGATGTGGAAATGGGTGGTACGCAAGTCGGCGATGATGATAATGCTGGTGATCGGGAAACAACACCAAAACAAACTGCGACAGAAGCCCAGGAGCCGAGCACGGAACAGAGAAGGTTGTTGAGAGGCGTTTCTCTGAGGAGCAGGAGGCAGAGCTCGCAGAGTGTGGTTAGCGTACAACCGCAGCAGCAACAAGAGGAGGAACAGGAAGAACAACATCAACCGACAGGAAGGAGAGGGAGTAGGAGGGCTAGTGCGATGAAAGCCAAGGCCCGGTTGAGTGCTGGGCGGAGCAGTAGAGCAGGTACGGAGGATATTGCGGAGGAGATACTGGATGATAGTGATGGAGATACGGTGATGGAGAGGACGAAAATTGAGGAGGAGGACGAAGAAGAACAAGAAGAAAAAAAGGGAGAGGACGAGGAACAGGACGATGAGGTGGGAGGGGAAGAGGATGGAGAAGAAGAAGAAGAGAAGGAGGAGGACGGTGATGGCGATGATGGAGAGAACGAAGGGAAAGATGATGATGAGCTTGTTGATGAGTTATTGTCGGATGAAGATGACGACTCCGAATAGGGTTGCGTACGGATTAAAGACGCACATTCTGGATTGTTGAACTACATATGAACTGACTTGATTGGGTTTGGGTGGGACAATACGTACCATATGGAGGCTCCGTGTTTCTGGCTTTGGTTCATGTCGTTTGCTTGCTGTCGAGGCCTGAGTGAGCTTCTTGAGCTAAGACGTGTTGCCTTGGTTTATTTTGTCCTTGAACATTGCAGGATACCGTTGAATGAAATGTCAAAAGGCTTTCTTTGTTTGCTTCCATGCATTTCAACTTTAGCATCTCCTCATCCAGGTGATGCTGAGGAACGATTTCGAGAATTTATCTACTCGTTCTAATCTAACCTCTATATCTACTACAAGCAACCAACACACCATGATCCACACATCCTATCAAACCACTGGCCCTTCCTTGGGCTCGTCCTCTTGGACAAGATTGTACCACCTCATACTTTACCTACAATGACCCAAGCCAAAACAACAACCCACTCAGCCCAACATTAACCACCAAATGCTGCCCCAAGCTCCAAGCCACGCAGTACAAGTACTTTGGGGAAAATACCGTCCACACGAACAAGTGCGTCCTAAGAATCGTACAAGCCGCCATAACCGCCGCGACACTGACCGCGGTAAACAGCGTCGTCACGGCAACATAGATCTTGAACGGACTGATTTGCCCCCCTTCAAGCATCTGTTTCGCTTCCGCCCTTTCCTCCTTTTCCTCGCTCCCTCTTTTCCCATTGTTACCACTACCCAACCTTTTCTGTCTCTGATCTCTCCGCCATATCTTCCCCAAAAGCACCACCGTCCCAAAAGCCCACCACACCGGTCCCGCCCAGTTCCCCACGTACGTCAAGACGCCGACCAGGATAACGTTGAAATTGCTCACCCCGTTGTAGGCGTTAGATAGGTCCACGGAAGAAATCGCGTTGCTCCCGCCCATAGCGAAAAAGGAGGCATACTGCAGTAGGAGTGAAGAAATTCCTAGTTCAACGGTCGACAGCCTTTGACCGTCCGGGGCATCGATCTCGCTGGACAGGAACCAGTAAAGCAGGTTGAAGATGAGAAAGAGGGGGATATTGGCCGTCCGGCTTTGTGTGAGGGCGAGGATGGTGTAGAGGTGTTGAAGGGTGGTGATCGCCTCGGCCGGCACCTTTCTGGGTGACCGTTTACGGCCCCCGGTCCCCATCTCCCAAAGTATAAACCCCATTGCCGCCATCGCCACCAGTCCTAGACCGACAAACACCGCGCGGGCGCGGGCAATCAAGCTCGCGCCCCTCGTGAAATCAAGCAAACTACTCTTCACGAATTCCACCACCAACTCGGGAGCGTCCTCGAGCGTGAAGGCTGCCTTGAAAGTGAACGCGGCCAAAACTAGCCCCGTCATGACAGGGTAGTTGATGGGTACCGGGATACGGCCGTGGAAGGAGTACACGAGCTGCCGGTGGGTCCAGAAGTAGGTGAGGCCGACGAGCAACCACAGAAAGTGGGGGTGGGGTTCGATAAAGAGTTTGACGATGTCCGGCGTGCCGGCGTGTTTTTGGCCGGTTTGGTTCCAGGCGCGAAGGAGGCGGAGGGAGGCGAGGACGGGGAAGGCGGTGAGGAGGAGGTGGGCGGGAAAGGTGGTGTTGGTGCTGGAGGGCGGCGAGGGTTGTTAGTTAAGGTTGGGTGTGAAATGAAGGAGAAAAAGAGAAAAGGGGAAGACGTACCGCTTGAATCCGCGGAGAGTGAGGTAGCCAAACCAGGTGCTCGTTGCTAGATACCAAAAGTGCTGCTCTTCTTCGACATAGCTGCTGGCAAACATCATAACGCTGTAGGCTATGGAAATCACCAGTAAGGGGGTGAGAGAACGGGTCGGGGAGACGGTTTTGATTGTGGCGCTTAGGCTGAAGATTACGGCGAGGAGGGCGGTGACTTGGCCTAGGATGAGTCGGGACATGTCGTAGTTGCTCGCCATGCCGCTCATGAGCTCTTGAGCCTTGCGAAGCCACTGGAAGATGGTTAGCTGGATCAGATGCAGATCAGAGTGTTGTGTAGGTAAGTTGGGCATTACCGTGACAACAGGCAATGCCCATTGGGAGTCCATATCGTCACCAACTCTCGCGGACATGAGAGTGTTTGAGGGACCTTGCCATTCACAGGCCAGTTGTTCATAGTCGGACGTCGGGCTGGCACAGGATTCTGCGGGTAAAGCACCGTCGAAAGTTTTGGTACCCGATGCAGCCGAGATGACGGTTTGTATCTGGCGCGCATTTTGATGCAGCAGATAGGCCTGGTCGGCTTCTGTGGTCCTATTAGAATATGGAATGACCAGAAGGTTTGATAACTTCACAACTTACTCTTCGGCCAGATTGACAAAAAGTCGGGGATCAGGACACCCAGGTTGTTCTTGGGAATAGGAAATCCTAGAAGCGCAGCCAAAGTGGGTGCCAGATCAGACTGTTCAACGGTCGAGTAGAATTGAAAGTCTTCGGCATCTGGTAACGGAGAGTCTTGGTTTTTCTGAAGGCTCTTGAGCTTGGGGGAGATGAACAGAAGGGCCGGTGAAGTTTCGCCAGGCGACGAGGCGCCGTGATTGCCGGCATCATTCATTCCATGATCTCCACAGAGAACAAAAAGTGTTGACTTGAGGTGGTCTTGGGTTTCTATGGCCTTGTATATCTGGCTGACGATACCATCCATTTCCCGCTGCTTCGGCACCATATGAGGGCTATATGGCCAGTGAGCAATATGCCTATTCGGGAAGAAGAAGCGACTTTACCTTCTCGGTCCTCCCTTATGTCCAATGTGATCAAGTCCAAGATAGTGAAGAATCATGGTATTCCAATCGTCGTGTCGGAGCTCTCCAGGAATGTTTCGAGTGACATTATGATCAACCTCGGTGAAGTCCTACTCACGTTAGCACAATGCCGACACCTGCCATACAAGCGAAAGAATTTACCGCGACAAAGAAGCTCGTGGTACCATCAGCACGATCAAATGTACCCGGAAAGAGCTTCAACCAAGTATCATCCCCGTACATTACAAGTTTTCCTGTGCCCTTTGCCTTCATCTGAGCCAACCAGGTGTCTTGCGACGCGAGGCTTGAAGACTCATCGCCTTCGTCAATGTTGAGAACGACATCGAGGAAAGAAGGCACAGAACCAGTAGTGATGGCCTTCAGTCGAGGCATGGTGACAGTGGGAGACGTGGCATGAGCTGTGAAGGGAATTGCAGCGCCATGGCGAATCAAGCTATATGAGATGTCAACACGAAAGATCTACTGAAGCCGGAGAAGGGCGCATTATATTGAAAAGCTTACGATTGAGTGAACTTGAAGCCATTGTTGGTAGTGTATACAAAATCACTACATGTAAAGACCGGATTAACATGGCTACTGGTCGAAGAGTGAGTGGTATTGGCGATAGTGACATGATTTTACCTTCGCAGGGCGTCGACGACCATGAAGACCAGCTTGTCAAACGGAGCTTCCGGGGGCTCGCCATAACCATCCAATGGCTCATACTCAGCCAGACCCGGTAGGAGAGGCTTATATGGGAAGAAGCCCGTTGCGAATATGACAATGGCAACTGGGATCAGCACATTGGCTGCTATGAGAAGCAACGTGGAGCTCAAACTTCCATTGCGCCGCCGGAAACTCATCTCGAGCTCGCCAAATTTATAAACGTGTCTTATCGGAGGAGGACGTGACGTTTATCAGTAAAACAAGAAGCTGCACTCGTGGGCCATTTCTGTGTCGCGAAGGGAATAAGATACTCTGGGAGGAAATGAGATATGCATTCAGAATAGATTAGTGTTGATGTTGTGAGGTACAGGTGAGGTTGTTAAGGCAGATAACAGTGGAAGAAAGGGGCCAGTCAGGTTCAGCCCAAGTTAGGTGGCTTCCACCTCAGTTCCTTCCATTTCAAGTCCGTTCCCACAGAAGCCCAGGCCTTTCCCGTCGTAGGATTGGCACTGGACCCACTTAGAGCACAGCGTTAACGCAGCAAGTGAGAGACCCCTAGAATAGCATGCCAGCCTAGAAAAATAAATCCATTAAAACCAAAACCAAATGCGCCAAGTGTAGATAATCCCACCCCACTAGTCCGTTTTGCTGCTTTCGCATCCCATATGACTTCTGAAGTTCATGCTTTTTCGCAACGGCGTCGGCGTCGGCGTCGGCAACGCGGAAGATTGACAACTCGATCAATCCCGTCTGTACAAAGCACCAGTGAAGCCCCAGACAGACCAGAAAAACGAGGCCTGCCACAAAAGGTCGTCATCCGTACCGTCTCCTTCCATCCTAGCCCTAAACGCCCGGCACTGTCTTGTCGCCGTCGTGAGAATGAACAACCGCTAGGACATGTCTGGAGCATGAGAGTTGTTATAGTCGTCCTTTGGTAGTACAGCCGCTCTATAGCCCTGGCCACACCGGTGATACTTTTGGTCGTCTGTCGAAACTCAGCTGCTCAAATCGTGGCCGCTTGTCGCTCATTTCCTCTTCTTGCTGAACTTCTCGCCATACTTGGGGAAGACAATCTTGGACTTCTTGACCCGCCTCTTCTTCTCAATCTTCTTGCTGCCAACCTTTACAGGCTTGGCGGAATCAACCTCCATAGCAGCTGCGATTTGGTCAGCACATGGCCCCTCGTTTGCACCTTAGTTTTCCAGCTACACTTACAGTCATCCTTGGTGGCCTCCTTGACCTCATCCTCGTTCACGGTCTCCATCTCAACCTCCTTGATGGGCTTGGGCTGAGCAGCAAGCTCGAGGAGCTTGGCAGAGATTCTCTCCAAGCGAGCGGCCTCAACCGGTCCAAAAACATTCTTCTTCAGTTTCTGGTTGTTGTTCTTGATAACGGACGCTCTCTTGCTCTTGGCCATTTTTGCGGTTTGGGGAAAGGGTTAGGTGGTGTGGTGATTATGAAATGAAGCAGATGGATGAGTGTTAATGTTCACCAAAGGTTTAACTATGCGGTACGGAAAGAGTGATGACAAAAGGTATCGATATGTCGTTGTTGGCGGAGTTGAAAAATTCCACTGGAGCAGTACAGGCAACCTGGGCTCTCCGCTAAAATCGAGGGTAGTCCTGAAGTAGTCAGAACCTTTGCAATCGTTGATCTACCACATCTAGCCAAGTACTGGGTACTTCACGACCACGCTCTTCCAATGAGCTCGACGGTACCTGCCGCTGCTTGCCACTAACAGACCCACCTTACCCGCTAGATAAATAACTGCTAGCGACCCACAGGTTCCTGCTTGGAACACTTTCTGCCGCCTCCTCCCGCCTGTTCATATCGACGACGTCTTTGGACTTTGGAGCAACCGGCTTGAGGGCTGCGAAAGCGACAGCGACAGGATTCTTTTACAAACGGAGTGACGATCATTTGGCGCATACACGGGCTTCACTGTTTTTTGAATTGGGTTTACCGCTCAGGGTAGCAAATCACTACGGGGCATCGCGGTACCGTCCAACTTCAACTGAAGTCATCCATTCACGCATCTGCCATAAGTGCCAGTGCGCAAGGCCGCAGACAGCGACAGCCGGCTCTGTGTGACGGACGGATAACGTGCGGGCGGCTTAATCTCGTTCAGCTGCGAGTCTACCTAAAATATAAATCCAACATCGCGCGCCGTACATCACGGTGACGCCGGCACCTTCAGCAGCCGCAGCTCTGCACCGCGATAACCAGCCTCGACGCTTCGTCGTCCTTGGTGTCCGCCACTACCCCTAAGTCCCTTGAGCGCGTCGGGGTACACGCCCATACCATCGGCTCACTTTCGGCTCAGCCTTCCATCACTCCTTCCTCACATCGCGCCGTCCGTAGTGCACGCCCACACTTCCACCTTTCAATACCTTGACGGCCAACTGCGGGGCATCCGCGGCCGGTCGCGACCAGGCAACCCTACGATACGACCGGGCACCACACCACGCTCTTATAGGATTGCATCTTCAGTTAGTTAACAAGCCCAGTGTCGGCAAGCAGAGGTTCAGTTGGAATCGTCAATACCGTACCGGTCGTTGAGGGGCACAGAGAAATGGATCGTGCCGGCCCTCCTCCCAAAGACAAGGTTGAGGCCCTCAAGGCGATCGCAAAGAACGCCGGGGTCAACAAGACGCAGCTGCAGTCCCTTTGCGCCGTCAATGGTTTGCCCAAGACGGGAAACAAGCCTGATTTGGTGAAACGCCTTGTCGATGGTGAGTAAGCCTTCAGTCGGCCACCACCTCCTTACCTCCACCCTTCCGTCATATATGCGAATAAATTATGGGAATGCAGGCTAACACACAGGGGCTTCACCCCCCAACCAGCTATCCAGCAATGCGTAGCGCGCGGCGACGGCATCACTTTCAACACATTTTACAACAGTTTCGAGACAACCGTACCCTGGTTTCATAGCTTTGTGGCTAGCACGGGTCTGCTGCAGCAACCCAAACCTCAGCCGCCGCAGATACCCCAAACCGCAATCTTCCCACCCGTTCAAAATCACGGAAACAGTTCCAGCAGCTACGCCATGGCTTCCTACGGCGTAGCTAACGGCTCCTACAGCGCGCCCAAGGGCGTCAGCAGACCACTTGACTGGTATAACCAACAACGTCACGATTTCCAGTTCAAGCCGAGCGTTTTCTACGAAATACAATATCGAATTGGGGAGGTCAAGGATTGCGAACGTATGTCAGGTAAGCCAGTATCGTTCCGCCACTGGACACAACCGCTGAGTCTCGACAACAGCAATGCAGCAGCATAGGCAAACCGTCTCCATCAAGCTCAGGGTGTCGGATCATCCCCAGCTCAGTAATGTCGGAAACGACCCTTCACTGAGGATCATGATGTACTGCGCTGCCGGGAAGAATGGCGTCCAAGATATCGCCTTTCCCTACCAGTCAGAGCTCAAGGTGAATGGCGGCGAGGTCAAGGCAAACCTGCGAGGCCTGAAGAACAAACCTGGGTCTACTAGACCGGTTGACATCACGGACTCGCTGCGTCTACGACCAAACACATATCAAAACAACATTGATTTTACGTATGCCCTCACCAGAGAGGTAGGTGTAAGAGGAAACTGGGTATGGGAACCCGCAGAGAGCCGTACGTGCTAACCAGTTGGGTTGATAGTCTTTCTACCTAGTAGTATACCTGTGCAAAACCCCGACTATCGAGGAACTGGTGTCAAGAATCACCAAGAAGATCCGTGCCGAATCGGTGGTTACCGAGATCGCAAATAAGGCTAACGACCCTGACGTGGTTGCTACATCACAAGTCCTCAGTCTGAAGTGCCCACTGTCGTACATGAGGTTAAGTAAGCCATGCCGAGGCCTGAACTGCGGTCATATTCAGTGTTTTGATGCCACTTCATACCTCCAACTCCAGGAGCAAGGGCCACAGTGGTTATGTCCCATCTGCAGCAAATCTGTTCCGTTCGACCAATTGGCGATTGATGAGTAAGTTACAATGGCCTTGTGTTCAATACTGTCTCCGCTGTACTGGCTGACACGCATTCTAGGTACGCCCAGGGCATTCTCGAAGCGACTCCCAAATCTGTAGAGCAGGTCACGATTGAACCTACCGGCAAGTGGATAGAACCAGGTGCGGAAAAAGTGACGGTAACCGACTCTGCCGAGGCAAGCTTTGTCGATGACGATGACCTGTATGTTTCGGAAGTCCTCTCGGCAGCAAACCACGACTTCTCGACGCCCGGTCGTTCTACTACCGGCGCGTCAACTACACTGATCGGCACACCGATGAATGGAAGCACAGGGGGCACGCCTTCATTGGCAAGGTCATCGAACAATAACAATAAACGTTCAGCCCCGGAAGTTATTGATTTGACGCTGTCAGATGACGACGAGCCGCCCAGGCCTGTGAAGCGGGCTAACTACGGGATGAACGCGTACTATGGATCCAACTCTTAGGGGGAAGTATAGGATGCTGCAAATGTGCATCACAGGCACGCTTCAATGCAAAGGGGTCGCCGTGCTCCCCGTCGCCGTGACAGGCCGGCGCAATGGACGAATTATCAGGCGGATTATTCCCATCAGCCCGACTTTGGGGAAGTATAGGATGCTCAATATTGGCTTCGGAGGCTCGCTTGGGCAACAGGAGGCCGGATTGTTCCCTGCATCGGCCCTAACTGAACGCCATGTCTACTAGGTATATTTTTCTACCAGACCAGCTTGGTTTTAACTTTTCTTTATTGCATTCCAAACACGGTGGATCGATGGAGGTATTTATATCAGTCTTTGGCGTTGGGCGCATTCAGATGGGGGAAAAGGTTTATGGGAGAAGTTTCAGGAATGTGGTACAGTGAGAAATGACGGAATGAATGAGGGATCAGTACTAAGATGCAATTCCGATACCCATTAAAGTGATACGACCTGACCGGTGGTGTGTTGTCTGGGAGCAATTTTGTACATGAAATCGATTATATGATAATGTACTCGCCAATGTTACGTAACGTCTACGTGAAGTTATGAGGTCTTCCAGATTTGTTGAAAGTTACCTCTACCGCGTTACTTGCAGTTGATATTGATTTGAGAATCCCGAATACAGTCCTCCCATCTGTGTGACTTTAGCATATAGCTTAGTGCTTGCTTGGCTTGAGCTTGGGTGCAGTGGGCGTTCGTAGCCGCGCTTGCCAGGTGGATATTAACACCACCCATCTCCATCCCAAATAGCTGCCATTACAGTACATACCAATCATTCGGACGGCAGGCACCTTTCGAACCGCAACAACAGTCCTCCACCCATCCCCTTACAACACAACAAACGTATCGATCTCTAGTTAACTCGCCTCAAAACTCCGGACCAAGACGATCATTACTCTATAGACTTTCTGTGTATAGTCCATACCCCAAGCATCGCGAATCACTCGATTTGGCCCTTGGGAAACGGCAATAGCCCCAGCACCCGAACCCCACGGACAAGCTCCGAGCTACCTGCGTCACCGCGATCTTCCGATAATCCGGCGGACCGAAAAAAGACGAGATCGAAGTCAACGCACGCCAGTCGCGAACCTTTCGATTGAGGCTGCGCACATTTCCGACAACTAAACTTAGTGGACCGGCCACTTGTTCACACTTGCGCGACTCAAACGAACCGCCGAACTCTCTCTGCTACACCAGGGCACCGAGACAATCATCCAGCAACGCAACTGCTCTCCGGTCGGCATCAGCTAGCTCCTACCAGCAAGCGCACAACAGCTACGACTCATACTACCTTGCTTTACGTTCCTTCCTCGCAAACCATAGTACCGAGAGACATTAGATCCGCTGGTCAAACCCCCATCTACCTACTCAACTCAACTTCCAACAACCACCTAGCTAGCGACGTACCTTTTAAGCACCAGACCAAAACCGAGACAAACCAACCAACCAACCAACCAAAACCAACCCGACCCAACCCAACCCACTTAAAATGTCCTTCGACACAATACTCCCCCCTTACAATGCCTCGGACCCAACCGCCCGCTTCCTCGCCTCCTCCTGTCTCGATTTCTTGCTTATCGAGCTAGTCCCCATGGCGTACAGGATAACCAACCAGCTCGACTCTTCTTCCGCGGAACCTTCAGCCTCTTCAGTTGGTGATGATGCGCAAAGTACAGCTACTGGACCAGCGCCAGGGGGGCCACAGAGAAATAGTGTATTATCTTCGCATACAGGGGGACTAAGTGCTGGTAGTGCTGGTGGTGCTGGTATGTTGGGAGCAGGGTTAGTGGGGGGGAGGAGGAGGAGGAGGAGGAGGAGGAGGAGGGAGTGTGACCGGGAGTGTGAGCGCAAAGAAAATGGATGAAGATGAAGAAAGGGATGCTGTATTTGCTAGGTTGGAAGGATTGGGGTATAGGGTTGGGCAGGGGTTGGTTGAACGGTATGCTCTTTTTCTTTTCTTTGCTTATGGTCCTGAGGTGTTGCGCGATGAAAACTGGCCGTCGGGCAAAGAGTATATTGAAAACTGACGGTCTGACTAGATTCTCCCGCGACCGACCACGCTTCAACGACACGCTGGACGTCATCAAGTTCCTCTGCAAAGACCTTTGGACGCTGGTGTTTAGGAAACAGGTGGATAACCTCAAGACGAATCATCGGGTATGTTTCTCCCTTTCCCTTCCCCCCGTTCTTTATCTCATCGAGCTGGCTAATACCAAGACACACATTCACAGGGCGTATACGTCCTAACAGATAACTCCTTCCGCCCACTATCGCGAATGTCCGCAGAGACAAGTAGCCAAGCCATAGCCAGAGCGCAACCGGTACGTTGTCGGACAGTTTCATGATTATGACGCATGTTGCTAACAAACCCACCAAAAGTTCCTTTGGTTTCCCTGTGGTGTGGTCCGCGGCGCCCTCGCGGCAATGGGCATCACGGCGACCGTCACGGCCGAGTCAAGCGAGCTTCCTGCGGCGGTGTTCCAGATCAAGACAGTCAAGACGCAAAACTGAATGATTTGCTACTTTCAATTGCACATTAGCGAATGGGGCTTTTAAGCTTTTATACTTAATACATCGCTGCCTAGACCTTCATTCTCAGCGCATGGCATAAGCCGGGCACTCTGAGCCCATCACTAGCGGTGTTTATTATGGTATAGTGGAAGAAAGCAAAAGTACAATTGTATTGTTACAAAGCTCCATGGGACGTAGACGTGAGACGTTGGCAAAGAGCACCATAACAAGCATGGCGCACGATCGATTTTCACACCAATGTACCAATACACTTTCAAATCACTCGAGCAGAAGTGCATAAGATAAAGTTTAGTTTCGTCCCCCCAGCGACATAGTAGTCCAGTCTTTTCAGGCATACAGCAACCATACGCCCCCATATCCTTACATAGGGCGCAAAGCGGCGTTTGCGATAAGAGTCTCATTCGTCAAGGCGACGGGTACTGGACCCGGCGCACTGAGAGGAAGCTGATGACACGTGCGAGGGGAAGAGAATGGGTATCGGTCGTTCGGGTCATATCAGTCGTCGATTATCCTATCAACTTTTTTTACAGCCTAGAAAGGGAATGAGTATCAGTCCACCTGTACTTGAACTTCATATGGCTTGGTATTTTATTCTTCATCTACAGCTTTGTGTGTGGTTATATATTGGCTATATGAGAGCCACCTAACCAAAATCATGGCCTGCATCATGCATGGCGATTGAGAAACGCAAGGGGATATTTCACAGCAAAAATCAAAGGGGTATCTACTTCTGAGGGGGGTTGTGGGCAAAGTCAACGCCCTTCTGGATGTTGCCCTTGAGGCCCTTGACGGCAGCCTCGAGGAGAGTCTTCTCCTTCTCGGTGATGTCGCCGAGGATGTCAATAGCCTTCTCAGCACCGTTGGGCTATGGATATGTTAGCCAGAAACACCGTGAATTTTGCAAAGACTGAAACTTACGCCGAGCTCGACGGGGACGGAGAAGAAGTCAACACCAGTCTTCTCCGCGATCTCCTTACCACCGGGGATACCGGGGAGATAGACGTAGGTGGGCTCGACAAGGCCCTTGGCGCCCTTGGCGGCCTTGAGGAGCTTCTCAGCGAAGCGGTAACCGGCATAAGCCATGGAGAGGGTGGCAGAGCCGAGACCCTCCTTGGCCTTGACGACCTCATCACCACCGAACTGGACGCGGTTGACAAGAGCATCGTACTTGTCGTCAGGGATGGTGACCGAGGGGGAAACCTTGCTGAAGAGAGGAACGATGGTCTCGCCGGAGTGCCCACCGATGACGGGGACAACGAGCTCCTGGGGGTTGCTCTTGCCAGCAATCTCAGCAACGAAGGTCTCGGCACGGACAATATCGAGGGTGGTGACACCGAAGAGACGCTGGGCGTTGAAGACACCCTTGGCCTTGAGGACCTCGGCGGAAATGGGGACAGTCGAGTTGACAGGGTTGGAGATGACGAGGATGAATGCGTTGGGGGCAACCTCAGCAGCAACCTCAATCAAGCCCTTGACAATACCGGCGTTGATGTTGAAGAGATCATCACGGGTCATGCCAGGCTTGCCTGTGAGGAGCCAGTCAGTCTCTGCTTCACCATAACCAGCGGCGCGTAATGTTGCTTACGAGGAATACCGGCGGGGATGACAATGATGTCGGCATCCTTGAAGGCGGTCTTGGCGCCGTCGTTGGGGGGAAGGTAGCCGGTGGTTTTCTAATGCGCCAAGTGTCAGCCAGGTTCTGCGGGGTCCGTGGTATTTTCATGCCCTTGGCGACAACCAGCGCAAAGCCGGTGCTGACTACTTACGGCGGGGGAGGAGATGTGAGAGAGATCGGCAGCGACACCGGGGGTGTTGACGACATCGTAGAGGGCGAGCTCGTCAACGAGAGGAGACAGCTTGAGGAGGAGGGACAGGGGCTGCGGCACATTTGGTCAGCCATCCTTCCATCTCAACCTCTGATCCGCGCGCAGTTCGAGCGCGGGATCTCCCATAGCCAAGTTGGGATAAGATTCACCTGTCCGATACCGCCAGCGGCGCCAGCAACAACTGCGCATAAAGTCAGCTTCCTGCCACCGTCGCCTCAGACTGCAGGCAAGTGCGGATGGGCGTGGTGTAGCTTACCGGCCTTGACCATTTTGAAATCTGTAAACGTCTAAAGCGGGGGGGGGGGGAGAGGTAATTCTGAAGAGGAGAAACTACAGTCAGCTCCAGATCCTGGTCGTCGATGTTTTGTTGCATGCGCAAAGGAGAGGAAAGCGGGAAAGGGAAGAGGTCTTGACTCACATTGATATAAACGATATGCGCAACAATGGCGATTCGTCAAGGTGGGTTCGAAGGGTGGACTGTGAAGAACTCGGATCTGAAATAACGGGGGACTTCTGGATTCTGGGGGACGGGGAGCTCGTGGGGGAGCTTCTCTTTATTTACCTTGACCTATGCAGTATTACAGCTGGGGCTCGGGGTTGCGGGGCTGGCGGCCAAGTGGACACAAGGCGTCAATGCCGTTCCTCCTTCCAGACAGCCAAATCGAGGCAATGATGCAGCAAGGGAAACGAGCTGCCCCGCTCTCTCTCGTTGCGCTCCCTCTTCGTTCGCGTCCCGTCATCCGGATGTGCGAAAATGGACCATTGTTTCGAAATTTGGGGAAGCTGCGGAGTAAGCCAGTCAAGCCAGTCTCCGTTGGCCGCGCCCATTTGGACGGTGTACACACCAAGTTGCGCAGGCCTGAGACAATACACTCAAAATCAAATTTATATTTATATTCACGTTGACAGTCACGGACCGTACTTGCGTAGAGGTACCCATTGAAGTTATTCGTCTGAACACGGCTGTGAAGATAGTAGTATAAATGCATGTGCTACTTCGCCGTCCAGATTTCACATGATGCCATTGATGTAGCCGCATCGAACACAGATCCATGTACTCGCCGTTGCATCGGTAAACACTCCATGCTGTCAACTTGCCGGGGGTACCTACGTCCGAACATGTGGTCTCCCGAGGTCCGGCTCGGTCTAGCGTCCTCGGGCAAGTCCGGGAGATCTGCTCTGATGTCATCCGAAGAGGCCCGCTTCCATACCGCTTCCATGGTCATGAGGCCAACAACCCATCCAGCTTGACGTCCCGAATCCAGGGGTATGCGCCATTCTTTTCCAGTCGAGACCGAACTTCTTGAGATGCCGAGGTGTAGTTGCCAGAAGAGGTTGGTGGTAAACTCGGAAAAACGGGCACCATACCGTCTTGCCGGCCGGTAGCCCAACCGACCCCCCTCATAAAATCACATATATGCTGAAAGCTCACAACATAACCCAGAACAGAATTGTGGTTGTTGGTGTTCGTCGATGACCCTGCTAGGGTTGATTGATTCATCTGGATATCAAACGCCATGGCCATCCCTGGAATCCGGGACTGGCAACCCTTTCCTGTCCCTTGAACCCCAATCCCATGCATGAAATGTTGTATGCGCCGCCTCTGTCAGCGAGGCTTTCCAGGCTTAATACACAGACGTCTCCCAGTGTCCCTGCATGCTCATCGTCCTCCACGCCTCAGTACATTTAAGCAGAGGCAGCAGCCTTCTTGGCGGCGTTGCCACGGAGCTTCTGGGCGGGCTCGGGCTTGACGGCGCGCTGAGAGCGGCGGATGGCGGAGGCACGGGCAACGGCAGCCTTGAGGAGGTCGGAGCGGTAGCCGGCGACCTGGCGGGCGATAGCCTTGTAGGTCCTGTATAGGTTCGCATCATGTCAGCAATTCGTTCCGTGCTGCTGTTGGTTTCGCAGCTGTCATTGCCGGGGTATACTGACTTGCGGGCAGTCTTGTTAGCACCGAAAGCGACGGTGTAACGAGCAGCGGGCTTGTTGATGGAGCCAGCCTTCTTGGTGATCACAACGACACCACCCTTCTCACCAGGAACAACGCCGACGGCCTATTCCAAGATTGTCAGTTCCATGGGTTCGTTCGGTCGGATATTCGACGTGCGTCGGTGAGGTTGCTCAATGTACCTTGTCGTTGACGAAACCAGCATACTATTTTCCCCAAACGTTAGCCAAACTGTCCCTTTTTCCATCTGTTCTCTGACGAGATTTGGTTGCCCGGGTTCGTCCTTTGGGTAATCGTACCTTGCGGGAATGCTTGTTGGTCAAGTTGAGGGGATCCCGGGAGAACTGGACACCGCCACCAGACTTTCTCTTAACGAGGTAAGAGTTGTGGGAGCCTATATGACCGCAAAAATAACACCGTCAGCATTTCGCCATGTCCACACACTCCCCAAATCGGCCAGGACCAGAAATTCGACAGGATCAGAACTTACGGGTGATCTCCCAGATGAGGTCGGCAGAGATGTTGCTAAGAGACATTTTGGCGGGATCTGGGGCTACAAGAAGACCTAGGCGTTACTGGAGGCAGAGTCGAGCTTCTCGAAAATCGGGATCACAACCGACAATATCGCTGGATTTTGGCACCAGCACGGTGAATTGTCGCGCCTCAGTGTGGGCTCGCTTAGGTTTCCTAACCTGGTCTAGGGCCACCTGCCGCAGCGAAGGCTTGGCGCTATAGCCAGCTGCCAGCAGCTTGAGCTTCTTGTTGGGCGATGGGGAGGGCGGCTGCAAGCATCCAAGATGTCACCTGCACAGGGTTAGGGGTGGCCTGTGCATACCGTCGAATTGTAGTGCTGTTGGGCGGCGATGTTGGGGCGGGCACTTGCTGCGCTTCAGTTTGCGACAGCTTCCATTTGTCACCCTTGCCCGCCGCATTCGTCATGACCCATGTCCCAAGCATGGCTGCGTCTTGGCAATCCTTTTTCGGGCGGCAGGGCGGATATCATTCATTCGAGATTCTGTCTGCGCCGCGTGTTCCATCTTGTGATCAATTTAACTTGATCAAAAACCATCCCTCACCTGCCGCGGATTTTGTTTGCAACAACCACCCGGGCCTAAACATGTCTTGACTTGTGTTCTTTCTCCCAGTCCTTGTTCATCACCTCCTGACAAATCGTCTTCGTTTCTTGACTCGCTTTGCAACGCGACTACTTGACTCGACTTACATCAGCAGCTACCTCTGCGCGCGCAAGCGGCACTGCAGGCACCAGAAGCCGTACCGGACCACCCGAAGCACGAAACGTATCGTGATCGTATCTTTCGCAAAGCCCACTGCATAATCACAATTTCTTTGTCCTCAAATCTACATTCTACCTTCGACAGTCTCGCTCTTTTCGCAACCATCCATTAACCCATACCCACCCGTTCCAAAAAACGAAACGTGACAGACACAAACCGCCAAAATGATCAACCTCCTCTACGCCCTCATATTTTTCACCCTCCTCTTCTCCACCACTGCCTACTTTACCCGCTACACCTGGCTGCCGCCCTTCCTTGACGCCTTCGACGCGATAGAACCCTACCTGCGCCGCGCTCCCGGCGGCGAATATCTGTACTCTCGATTGCCTTTTACCTCCAACTCGTTCGAGGAGGATATGGAAGCCGGTCTGTCGTCTGCCGACTTTAATCTTGCGGGCAACGTTGGGGGGAGCGACGGTCGCGCTGGCTTGGATGATGAGGCCAAGCGGGAAATCCTCAAGATCATGAAGAGGAGGAGACTTCAGTTCGACGACGCGAGGAAGCTGTACATGGAGAGGAGGTTCAAGGCGAATGGCATTGGAGCGGATGGGTTGCCAAGGGATCCCAAGTTTGTGAGCTTTTCGTAAGCGGTACAAGCGAGTAATGGGGATAGAAATGGCGAGAGGGACGGAGAATATAATGGATGGGATATTCACAACGGAACTAAACGAGAGAATGGGCGCGAAGGCGGAAACTCACCACCTCAACCAGCCAGCCGACCCGCGGGGTATACACGAGACGAACCGACAACAAGGATGGGCGAGGTGCGCAGAAGCTTTGGGAAGGGAAACATACATCCTCTGTCACAGACCAACGGACAGCCCATACTAAGCAACAATACTTCGACTCGACTTATACCCCAAGCCCTCCGTGAAAACGCAACCGCTTTTTACCACTTTTAACACCTACACTACACTACACATTTTGACGGGCTGGAACCGACGAGTTAACCAACTAAAACACTCATTCGACCCTTTTTCTTTACTACTGCTGTTACAACAACTGTACCAACACCAACCGACCGTTATACTATCGTTACAACATCACTCATACGTTTCCTTACTCTTTTTTTCTTTTCGTTCTGGAGGTCTTGTCTATTCTCTCATGCGAGCAAGATTTGGCGCAGACGGGCGATTGGGGGGGGTGGGCGTCTGGCTTCTTCCTCTCAGTTTTTTTTATCCCCATCTATTACGTTGTTGCGTCTGATAGTGGGCAACTCATCTAGTATCTATTCAAGCTAGTCAACCATGCAGAACCCGAAATACCCATTAGCGTTTTTCTGTCGACTCCCTTCTGTATATTGTCCCCTCACTACCTCACATCTACGTGCTGTCGAATTCCCAATCTGCTCTCAGCCAACGAACCCTATAGTTCTGCTCCTCCCTTGCATGAGGTTCTAACTTGAGATCATACTATCCAAAGCGGAAGCGACAGGAGGCCTCCAGTTTCGCTTATCTCCGGTTCAACGGGGGGGTTCAAAGCTCAGAAACAATCTTAGCGTTTGCTTGGCCTTCTAATTTATGTTGTACCCATCGTCTTGTGTTGTGTGACTTGGCCGTTTCGTTTCGGTTTACTCATATATATGTGATGCCTCGCCTTGTTCCCTTGAAGATGTCAGGAAGCAAGACATGCTGGTAACACTGGTCATACCTAACAGGATACTGAATTTGGAAGTACCTGTCGCCTGTGCAATAGTGGAGCGATGGGTTGTTGCATAACTTGGGGACAGTGACCGCCTAGGTTTGTGTTGTTTTCGCAAATGAAGTGTTGTTTACTCGGAGGCTGGCTCTCATCCTTTGAGAACTATCTTCTTGTGTTCTTTGCCTGTCTGAGTCATTGTATATGGTCATCTACACGGCAACCTTTCCAGCATATGGTTCATTACCTCGAGGGACAACACATAGATCCGTACATGATGCTTATGTGCAAAGATGCGGGTATATATAAAATGATATAAAGTATGTACAACGTGTAGGTTATTAAAATCTTTCTAATGGACAAACAGTGAGTGACCACTGTTCTTGCTTTTCTTGAACGTGTTGTTATCAGCTCCGTCCGTCCCAATCCAGTTACCTATTCAGTCATTCCATCATTTGGTTTATGAGACCAACTCCTCCTTCATTGTGGGTACTGTATTATAGTACCCTCTTGCCTTTTGTTGGGCTGGTCCGGCGCGGCGGGTTTCCATCCAGATGGTATACATCCGTATCCAATGTGGTGTACCGCCGTTCTCGTTCGTGTGTTCAGTCGTCATCGACCGCCGTCCGTGCCACCATCCCACATCGCATGAAGGGTCGCAGATCCTTGGTGTCAGCCAACCATTCAACCCGGGTCCCTGATCCAGGACCACAAGACCGGGTGGCTTGGTCTTGGCCGGATGACGCTGATTCGTTAATCCCATTTGTGCTTTTTTTTCTTTTTTCTTTTTTTTTTTCCTTGAGGGGAAAAAAATGACATCAACCGGGACTGGTGAGATTTCTAGCCCTCCTCGTTTTTCTCGTACTTCACTCTATTTCGACTTTTTAGTCTCGGTCGGCTCGTAAAGCCGATCATCCTCACCCTCCACCTCCTTGACAATCTTCTCCATCTCGTTGACCTGCTTCTTCCACGTTGTCGTGCTCATCTTCTTCTCCTTCGCGAACATGTCACCGTCGGGCTCCCTGTAGCTGCCGCCGAGGCGGTCCCACAGCGTGGTGAACTGGCCGTAGTTGTAGTTGAAGGCGAAGTGGTGAACCGAGTGGCAGGCGGCGCCGTTGATCACGGGGTTATTGGCATAGTACTCGCCGTCGTGGATCATGATGGTCCAGAAGTTGATAAACACGAAAAGGCCGACGTACGCCATCTTCTGGAGCGGAAAGATAAAGGGGAAAATGTGGTAGGGGATGCTCTGGGCGAAGCCGTCGATGGGGTGGAAGGCGTGGCTGGCATAGGGAGTTGGCATGATCCACTTGTGGTGAGGCTTGTGCAGGTGCTTGTACACGAGCGGGTGGTGAAGGCCACGGTGGATCCAGTAGATGCCAAAATCGGTAAACATGATGAAGAGTGGGAACTGGAAGAAGTCGTACCAGCGACCAGGACCCTCGGCCGTGGTGTCGTAGAGGAGTGAGTAACCGCGCACTTCGGCGACCAGGAAGGGGAACGTGAAGAACGCCATGACGGGCAGGGCGGCGTTGGTCTGCTTGATCTCGAGCCAGACCTGGTTCTTAAGGAACTTGGGGTGCTCCATAGTCTTCTTGTCGAAGACGAAGATGTAGGAGAGGGAGGCGAAGACGTAGTAGGTTACGAGACCGAAGAGCCTGTGTGTAAGCCAAGGTTAGCGTGTTTGCGCCCAACTCGAATATGAAAAAAGGGGTTTGCGCGCACCATAGTATTAGGAAGAGCGATAGAGCCTGACGGTAGATGTTGTCTCTTGTCCAGATACTCTGGTAGGCCGCCTGCGAGGGCTCGAGCGAGAAGAACTTGGTCGCGGGCTCATACACCCAAGACGAGAAAGATTGTGCGGTGCCATTGGTCTTGTCGGGGAAATCATAGAGAGCAGGTCGTGCTGGTAGTAGCCAGGCGTACATGTAATCGAACATGAACTGGTCGGTGACCTCGAGGACCACGTCCATATTGACGGTGGTTGTTGGGCTTGCGCGCCAAAGAAGAAGAATCAAGTTGAGTAACAGCAAGCCGAGCAAGCAGCTTTGTGTTCCAGGCCCGGATCAAGACCGTGTCGGGTACCTGTAGATAAGCAATGGGGGAGAAAGGCGTGGGTCCTGGTGGGTAGGCAAAAGGAATGATGGAATGAAGGACCGACAACGGCAAGAGAACGCGGCGCAGGAGGTTTAAAAAGAAAACAGAAGAAGACGATGAATAATGGGAAAGAAAGAGTGTGCCGCGAATCCGATAGATGTGTCGCTGGCAATAAAGTGACAGGCCCAATTTCTCATGTCATAACCACCCCTGAACGATCGGCTTCCCGAACGAGCGTCGCGTCGAAAACAAGCGGACCTTCGTCGAGTGTGCCAAGGCCCGGGGACGAGGGTATGTAGTTGTCCTTGCTGGCCCCGTAAATCCGTGGGTTGCTCCGAACAAGGACAACAGAAGCTCTCTCGCACGCCTGCGATAACGGTGCAGTGACAAGCGAACGGGTTGAACTGTGAGTGAAGAGGCATTCTTAAAGGCGGAAGATAAGTAAACAGATATCTGCAGTAATCTTTAGCTTGAGCCTCACAGGCCAGCAGGAATGCGGAACATTTGCTTCCCATATTGAGCTTCGTTGTTGAACAATCCATCAACATCATCATCACCAATAACCCCTTTTTTTTTTTTTCGATTTTGCCCTAAGATCTAATCAAATCTGGGCCCCGGATGGGCCGCTCGTCTTGCCATCTCCGCACCGTGAGTAGTGGTGGTGGTGAGAGGTCTTCTAGTGTAAGGGAAGCCCGGACCCATCCGAGAACCTCTTTTTTTTCCCTCCACCAACGACAGGAACGTCAAAGATTCCGTATCCACCCGTCTTTGCATTCTTCGATCGTACCTTCCTCTTGCCTCTCCAAAATGTTCTTCAATTGCTTTATTAGCTCGCCAAACGAAGGAAAGCGTTGTATTTTCTAACATCGCAAGTTGACAATAACAAAATGGGCTGTCAACCCAACGTCTTGTCCTCGACGTTGCATGATGGGTGGCACGTTTGACAAGAAGCTGATCTCGACAGCACAAGGGACCTTGATTGAGCTCCTTGATTGGACGGCTCAGCCAAGTCACTGAATGCAAGAAAGTCGAAAGTGATTCAATGGAGAACGCTTGACTCTCGGAAGCAGGAAGATGCGAACGACCAAAATGGCGTGGTTTTGGAACGATCCGGAGCCGTGAGAAACCCCTCCACCTGTCCCCACTCTTTCTTCCCCACAGCAAGATCTTATCTGGTAAAGGATACAACTGATTGATTAGTGACCTGACCTGGCTCCTTGAACGCCCCTCATTTAAAGTCAGGTACAACTTGTCACAATCCCAAGACTTGGGATTGATCAAAGGGATCTCCCGCTGTCCAAGTCGCTGACTGTCATCTGCTTTTTGCCAAATGCAAGATCCGCAACGAACAACGGTGAAAAAAAGGGATGAAGATCCCATTTGTCTCCAGTGGTCGATTTCGAACATTCTCCCCAAAGGCATTGGCACCACTGGTTTTATCAGATGCGCCCAGAGTGAGTTGGCTGACTGTTGTTGGATGGAGCTAGAGATCTTGATCTCCAACACAAAAGACAACAATTGCCTACCTACCGAGTTCTCCGAGAGTATACCACAACATGGAACCCCATTCCATCAGCCAAATGGCTCTGGGCAAGTGAATTACTATCAAGGGTCTTGCAGCAACATCATTTCAGGGGTGAATGCAAAAAAAACGGAACTTGAAGTTCAACAAAGAGCCACCGTTTCAGCTAAACTCTGTTGTTACCCTGTTGTTACCCAAATATTCAACCTCTAACCACGTGTTGATATCCAGCTTCGATCCATCGTCGATCCAGGCATCTCCCCTCCCACAGAAACACAATCCCACTCCTCACTCCTCGTCCTCTTCCACCCAAGTCTTATCATCCATCGAAAGCTTCATATCAACATGTTGCGATTCCGGAATGTCGACAACCGGAACAGGAAGCACAGCAGCAGGTGTTGTCGTCGTCGTCTCCTCTCCCTCATAGAAAGAGCGAGGAACTAAAATCCACAGACAAAACAGTATTAACAAACTGTCAAGAAGAACCCAGGAAATATCAACATCCGTGAATCCCTTACCAAAACTCGAAGCACCAGCAGCACCCTTCGCCCCTTCCGTCATCCCCGTGCCCTGACACTGACACTGAGCTGCCGCCGCGCCCGCGCCCGCGCCCGCCGCGGTTTGCAGCGTGCACATAGACAACGCAAACAGCGTCACGGAAATGGTCAGCAGAACGGCGTGGACGAGCCATATCCAGCGGTCCCAAAAGCCTCTTCCATGTTCTCGGCTGCCGTTGACACGAGTGTTGCCGCTGTTGTAGTGGCGGCTATCGTCGTTTGGCCACCATCTTTGAGGTAGTCTCCACAAAGCAGACAAGGGAGAAGAGTGAGAGGGTGCGGCAACGGCGGCGCTTCGGACGGGGACGCTGAACCAGGGCGCCTTCTTTTCTTGGAGGTAGTCCTGGGATTCGAGATCGTCGTCCAGCGGGACGGTGTAGTAGAGGTTCTTGTTGATGTTGGACGACATTTTTGTGGTGGTGGTGGAGCGGGATGGGTGTGAAGGTTTGACTTGGTAAGGCGTAGAGCTTGAATGAGAGGCTTGGATTGGATTGGACTGAAGGGCTTGTTGGTTGATGAGTCTGATGTGGTATCAAGAAGCCCGAAGGAATGGCACGCCAGGTGCTTTTGCTATGAAACCAAACAAATGAATGAATGAATGAGTGGACAGTAACAAGAATTGCGCCTGGCAAAAGTAAGTGAAGTGAATGCAGCGAAGAAAATGAAAAGAGAAGCGAGAAGCTAGGTCTACATGATGTCGGGAAGAAAAGATATATGGGAAACACTTCAAGAACTGCACTAGAACATCTGCTACCAAAGCTAACCCAAAAGACATATGGTAAACGCCTTGAAGCCATCGCGAAACACCAAAGCTCAGGTATGGTAGCATTGAGGGTGATTTCTGCGGCAAAGGGGCAACTCTTGGTTACCAGGGTCCCTGAATCTTGTCACTGCAGACTCGATTTGTGAAGAAACCTCGTTTACAAAGGTTTCAAAACGCCAACGTGAATTAATTATCTGATGTGCATTCTAATTTCTCGTTTCACAGCACCTCGTGAAAGACCTCAGTCTTGACTGAACATGCACGAACAGTTTATTATTGCTTTGAATGCATCCAGCAGTGAATGGCGGCTGCTAATGACTAGAGAAACAACGCCAAGACAACAGCAACCAGTTGAAACAGTCTTCCAGGTTCCCAAACCGTCATCCCCGAGCCACCGAAGCCGAGAGCCGAGCTGTCAAGACTGCCTTCCGGGCCCTACCTGACCTTGGGACTCATCACTCAACTGCAATTCCTGTGCCCCCCCTTGTTTCGTTGACCCCTCAACCAATCCAAAGTTGAAATGTTTCAAGATTGTGGCGAGGAACTTGCCCTTCCCAATGGGCGTTCAGCGGGGCATACGGGGCTCGCTTAGAACTGAAGAAAGAGAAAGGGGGCATAGCGGCATGGTGTGGCCCGCACACCGTAAGATCAGATAAGATTAGATCCAAATGAATCTGGATACATTCTACATATCGGGCCAGTGCGCTGATCAGATTCGATGTTCCCATCAAAACGTCTTTGTTGCAAGTTGTAAAGTGGGCAAACTTTGATCCGATTATTTTTTCCAACCCACGTGCCGCTCTGACCTCGGAGCGACTGCTGGATTGACATCGGATGAAACAGATTGATCCGATGGGATGGGTAAGGTGAGTCCAGTCAACCCAAGTTCCCAAAGATAAACATTCACTTGTCTGGCAATCAGCACTCTGAGGACGATATACATGTGACTGTTGCATGGACTCTCTGTCAAACCACAACACCGGCAGAAGCTGGATATATCGCGCTATGCAACCTGCTCCTGGTACTTCTCCCTGCCTGGGTGAGATGATGGCCTCCTTGAAGCGAGGCAATGTCGAAGCATGCAACATAGCCAGCTAAGCAACAACTGTCTGGGGCGCATCCCATTAACACATCGCTCAGAGTCTCTCTATAGAAACCGACTGAACGAGTATTCAATCGCTGAACAGTTGATTGAAATATAGGAATTATCTTCGTACTCGACACCCAGCCTGACGGAAGGGCCACCAAGTATACGAGACAGTGTGACATGCAAAGGCAGAATCATGTGTTGGTCAGAACCTTAGTGATCCTTCACATTACTGACTCGCGTAGCAGCCTGTTTGTGACCGGAGTGTGTAGCCGGGCTGGAGCCAGTGCATTCGGGCGTTGGAGGAAAATACAATCTGTCCTCCGGTTCATTCGACATCGGGGGTTGAACTAGGAACGAGATCCTATTAAAGTCGAAAAAAAGGACCAGAGCGCAGAAGTACAGAAGAACATGAAAGAAAATAGAGGTAACGGATTCGCTGGTTCGTTCGGGTTTGGTACCACATCACAAAAGAGGGGAGGTGATGTATGCGCTTCCGGTTACAAGATTGAAGACAGGTGGCCAGGTACACTTCGCCACAGTCGATAGAGACCTGGATCTACTTTCGCTATCTGCGCTACAAGCGGGGTTTTGTTGAGGCTTCAATGATTATAGCCGCTGGGATATCCAAAGAGAGGGGACGGGGCAGCTCCATAAGGCTACACCTGCGATCGATGTCTCCTGTTGTGGTGCGCTTGCTCAGATCTGAAACGGGTCAAGAGGTGTGTAAAAGGGTGCACAGGACAACTCACCGACAACAGAAAATCGTTGTTTTTCGTGAGTTGACGTTGCTCGAATATTGCTAGGACAAGATGAAAGCAACGGTCCTAGTTCGTACTCCTGTTTTGGACCAATTGGCAGTTTGTGTATATTTATTAGAAACACCACGCAGCGGGTCATCATGGCGCGCGTAATAAAACATCGTTGAGCGGGGCCGCAGCTCTCACAAAACGAAGCGAAACCGAACCTGGGGGAGCGTTCGTAGAAGATACCTAGGTCGTCTGAAGGAGGCGAATTTGTGTTCCTGCATATTGAGGGTTAAAGTCCATCAAAAAAACTACCGTAGTGACTCGGGGCACTGGGTTTTAGGTTCCCTGGATATCAGGCATAAGCTGGAAGCATACTGCAACATTCATGCCCACCAGAAATTGTATGTAAGACGGTGATTCTAGATTCTCCACCCTCCAGCGCCCTTGGGAGATACGTAGGAAAAGGCAGGATTTTGGAAGACTCGACCACTATTTCTCCCGGGCCAAAAAAGCACATATTCGTGCAGTGTGCTTACAGATTATGCTTGATTTCCAGGGAACCTAAAACCCAGTGCCCCGAGTCACTACGGTATGCCTTGATTGAGGTGCTAAGTCGATATCGTGCAGACCGAGTGCGTTTTGGTGTACTGTATGCCGTAGCATTCATCGAGGTGGCAGTGGGAGTTGAGGTTGTGTGTGTGTGTGTGTGTGTGTGTGTGTGTGTGTGTGTGTGTGGTGTGTGTGTGGTGTGTGTAGTGGTTTGCATTGTTTCAAAACCGCATGTGCAAGCGCTTGGACGATGTTTTCTGCCCCACGGTAGGTACTGTACGTAATGCCGTCGAGACTTCCTGGGGGTTTGTCTGGAGTTTTGCGCCTAATGGCAGGCACCTCGCAGTCATCTAGCTTGGAAAACCCAATGGATGAAGGGAATGTTTCCTTATCGACACTTGCAGTAGGTAGTCACTGTTTGCATAGGTAGCCTCTCAGGGCACACGTCGCTGATTGCCTGGATCAATCCGAACTTCCACTTGCTTGGGAAGATGAAAAAGGGAAAGAATTTCCAATGTACTGTGTACACCTCTGCCGGGAGCAAACTTGTTAGCGTGCTACCAACACCTGACAGTATATAGGGGCTTAGATGTGGTCAAACTAGCCATCTCTTGTACGAAAATTAAAGTTCTCGCCACTTACAAATCACCGCGCTAACAAATATGATGCTGACAGAGGTGCAGTATACAATCATACGTGCACACACCAGCTACGTTGTGCTCGTAAGTGACAAAGCCCAACCACGGGACGCGGTGAGCAGACATCGAGGGGTGAATCCGTCAATGCACTCCCCCAACCCGGGCCGACCTTCTTTCGCTTTCCGAGAATGGAACCATCACAGCAGTGACCAGGGCAGCACCTCTACGTAACTGGCGCACGGACACTGACGACTGGGTCTCCAGAATCTCGTAGATCCACTCTTGTGCAGATGCTCTCCACAATCGCACAGCGCCGCCGCGGGCTGGCTTCTGGCCTTACCATTCCATATTCTACGCCTAGGCAGGTAACACAAGGAACCCTAAACCCTGCTATCCATGTCGGAACTCGTAGCAATGGCGGGTGGCTCATGGCCCATGCGAGGTACTATGCGAGGTACTGTCTGGAGCACTTTGCAAACTCAGTGACTTGTCGGTTTGCCAACAGCTGAGAAGGAAGTCACGTACCTCTCGGTCGTAAGATACGACGAAAGTACCTCAGTTCCGTTCGATGTACACTACACTACATGCACTAGGTACTAACTGCGTGACCGGTGCCACCCTCCACAGGCCACAGGCTGACAAGTGGAACTGGAGCTTGCTGCCCTGTCCGCAGCCCGTCGGCAGCCCGCCTCCCTGTCCTCCCAAGAAGGAAGTCCAAGACCCAAGTGGCCCGCAGCCGCTGGAGGTGGGAGTGGTGTCGCTGCAAGTCCATGGGAATCCACACCGGGAGCCGCCCCAGAACCCGCACGCCCAGGTCATTTCTGCCACCTGCTGGCCATTCCACTTCTTTTTCCTTCTCCTCCCCCCTTTGGCAACCTACATTCTACTCCGGAGCAACACCAGCATTTGCAGCCTGCAGCCCTAACTGCTTCGCCCAAGTCCTCCCATCAACAAACATCGGAATTGGCGCAACGCCAGCATCACCATCCCCATCAACCCCTCGGATCCCGTCATTGGCCCTTGGTTGTGTACAGTGCCATTCGACTAGGGATTCCGAGCCCCCTCGCGGTCCCCATCTTTTGCGTCTTTTCGCGCTGCGATCCGTCCCGCGCGCACGCCATCCCAACGCACGGTAGCTCGACGCTCGTTCCGACCTCACGCCGGCTGCACTCCAGCTGCGTCATCTTACGAGCCGCCTTTGTATCATCGGCCGCATCCCTCGTTCTCGCTTCCTTCAGCCGATTGCTGCCTTGAGCCTTCGCAAACCTGCGCGACCGCCCTAGCCTTCCCGGCTTGGATTTCTGTCCGTTTCTCGTCGGCTTCACCAACACATAGCACGCGGACAACCGCCCCAACTACGCAAGATGTCTATGTATCCGCACCGACCCATTGCGGGCGCGCCCATTCAGAACATGGGCCGCCTCAACGAGCTCCTCGATGGCATCAGAATGGAATTCGAATCACAAGCTCGCCAGTACGAGACCTGCCAGCATGACTGTAAGGGTTCCTCCACACATTCCTCCGCTGGATGGCCATCCTCCCATCTGGCGACGAGGGAATCCAGCTGTACATGGTGATGCGGGCTGTTTCGGGCCTGTAATCAGCGACTTAGGCTTTGGGAGGTGTACCCGGCTGACGAGACAATAGTGGCAACGCAGCTTCAGGAGCTTCAGGTCATCCGTGAGAAAGTCTTCCAGATGGAGCAGCACCAGATGAACGTAAAGCAAAAGTAAGCCAGTCAAAAAAATCTGGTCAAGCATATCCGAGACTCGAAAAAAGTAGGCTGACAATATCTGGTCAGGTACGAGGATGAGATTGCACTGCTGCGTCGCCAGCTTGAAGCCCGCGGAGGCGCTCCCGGCAACATGAACCCGCCTCCACAGCATCCTGGCCAGCAGCAGCCCCCTGCTATCGGTTTGGGAAGCAATGTCTTTAGCGCGATCATGGCAGGTCAGGGAGGGCAGGCCTTGGTCCCTCCTCCCCCTCCACCGCAGCAGCAAGAACAGCCAGCACATATGCCTGCGCCCCCTGGGCTTCAGGGTCCTCCTCCCCCGCCCCCGCCGCCGTCTCAGCAGCCTCCCTTCCAGCAGCAGTATCAAGGACCCCAGGGACCTGGTAACTTTCCTCCCCAGCCGCCGCAGAGCACTGCCTCTCCTGGCCCTGCCGGCAAACGTGGCATCGGCAGACCTCCCGCCGGCGGCCCGGCTACTCCTCAAATCAACACTCCGATCCCGTACAACGGCGGCCCTGCTCAGTCGCCCCAGGTCCCAACCCATCCTACCCCGGACCATACCCGGATGGCTCAGCACCACCAGCCTCCCCCGCCTCCGCCTTCTCAGACCAACGCTTTGAGCGAGCTTGATCCCGACCGCCTTCCGAATCACATCAAGAAGATGAAGGACGATTGGTGGGTTATCTTCAACGCGGCCGTTCCCAGGGTACTAGACGTTGAGCTGGTACACACTCTTCAGCATGAGAGCGTTGTTTGCTGCGTGAGGTTCAGCATGGATGGCAAGTACGTTGCCACCGGCTGCAACCGTTCCGCTCAGATCTACGACGTGGAGACTGGCGAGAAGCTTTGCATCCTGCAAGACGAAAACATCGATCTTACTGGAGATCTTTACATCAGAAGCGTCTGCTTCAGCCCTGATGGCAAGTATCTTGCCACTGGAGCCGAGGACAAGCTCATCAGAGTACGTAACAATGTCTTGGCCAACTGTTGTGTTCTTCTCTTGCTAACATGCTTGATATAGGTCTGGGATATTCAGTCGAGGACCATTCGTAACACCTTCCATGGCCACGAACAAGATATCTACAGTCTCGACTTCTCTCGCGATGGTCGCACTATTGCTTCCGGCAGTGGCGATAGAACCGTCCGTCTTTGGGACATTGAAACCGGGCAGAACACGTCTGTCCTCTCTATTGAAGATGGTGTCACGACTGTTGCTATCTCGCCCGACAAGCAATTCGTTGCTGCCGGATCCCTGGACAAGAGCGTCCGTGTCTGGGACATGAGAGGCTACCTTGCGGAGCGTCTTGAGGGCCCCGACGGCCACAAGGATAGCGTCTATAGTGTTGCTTTCTCTCCTGATGGCCGCAATCTTGTCAGCGGCAGTTTGGACAAGACCATCAAAATGTGGGAACTTAGTGCTCCGCGCGGTATTCCTTCTTCGGCGCCTCCTAAGGGTGGGCGCTGCATTAAGACCTTCGAGGGCCACAGAGTACGTTTACACATTAATATCCCCATTGGCTATTCCTCTACGACCTTGCTAACGTGTCAATCACTTGTCACAGGATTTCGTCCTCAGCGTTGCACTGACCCCTGACTCGCAATGGGTCCTCTCCGGTTCCAAGGACCGCGGTGTCCAGTTCTGGGACCCCCGTACCGGCCATACACAGCTCATGCTCCAGGGACACAAGAACTCGGTCATCTCCGTGGCGCCCAGCCCAGTGACTGGTCCCAACGGTGTTGGGTACTTCGCTACCGGGTCTGGTGATATGCGGGCCCGCATCTGGTCTTACTCTCGGATATAGAACACCAGCGGAGTTGCAATGCGAACCCTAGATTCGACCCATTCCATTATTCGTGAGATTCTAGAGGGAGAGAGTAGATCAGCGATACAAGGAAAGCACGAAGAAGGAGAAAGTGTGTTCCCCGGTCGATATTGTGATGTGGACACGGCGTCAAGGATATTTCTGAAATGAATTAGGAAGGACAACAGAAAGGAATAACGTGAAAGAAATTTTATTAGTTCAAGTTTTATCCCGTTTGGGTCTTCCAAGGTCACGTCCTATTCTTGGGCCTTTGTTTGATACATGCCTTTTGGTTATGAGTTATGGACTTGCACACGTTGGGTAGGAATAGGCCGTATTGCCATGCCTGAAAGGGATACGACACACGTTCGATTATTGGGTATGGATGGAGGACGATTGCGGAACATAGGACGTGGCCATCCTGGGTCTTGGTCGATGTTTAAGCTGGATCGTTTATGTTCGCCTTATAATGTTATACCTAGCAAATCATTTAGTAGTAGCGGATCAAATCGTCTTGCTCTTTGTGTTGAAGCCTTCACTCGACCTCTCTTCAATTGGTTCACCTAGAAAGCTGCCAAGGGCCAAGTAAACAATGTGACAGCGTGGTGGTGTAGTATATAGACATAGTATTGCCATGAGAAAACCAGAAGGGAGAGGCAAATGCTAAGACTAAGCACTTATCGATGACCATGTAGCCTTTGCAACAAACACAACCTCAAGATGCATCGAAATGGTAACTGTACTTGAATGAAGATTTGCAACAATTGCCCAACAACAACAATCAAGACTAAAACCAGGCGGCCCAGAGCTACTCGTTCGTGTCTACAAACCCAGTATACCCATCACCAACAACAGGCGAGTATACTTCGTAGGTACCTAGTCAACTATGCAGCGCCTTTCATAACCCCCCAAAGATATCATCAAACTCGTCCGCTCCCGCCCCCGCCTTCTTTTTCTTCTTCTTCGTTTTGGGCTTGTCGAACGAGGCAAAGATGTTATCTAGGTCATCCGTCTTCTTGACCTTTGTCTTTTTCTTTTTGGGCTTTTCGAGAGAGGCGAAAATGTCGTCAAGATCGTCTTTACCATGTCGTGTATCGATTTCGGCTGTCGTTGTTGTGGTAGTTGGTACCGATGAGTCGGTTGTCGATTTCATCTTCGTGGTTGTTGCTGCTGTTGCTATCGAGGTTGTGACGGTTGTGGTCTTTGTCGCTACTACTGATTTCTCCGCTTTATCTTTCTTCTTTCTCTGGTTGGGCTTGTCAAACGAAGCAAAGATGTCATCGATGTCGGTCCCGTCATCTCCTGTCTTCCTTTTCTTCTTCTTTTTCTTCTCGGATACTGGTGGTGTCGGTCCGGAAGAGAAGTCATCCTTATGCTCATCGTTGTTCTCATCCTCATCGTCCCTTGGTCTCTTCTTCTCGCTCTTATTCTTGCCCTGTCTGATCTCTCCTGTTACTGGTGGTGGTGCTGCTCCGGAGTCAGTCTCGGTGGTGGGCAGTGGATGATCTCGAGCATCTCTTCTCGCCAAGCTGCCCTCCGTTGGTCCGGATGTGGTGGATTCCAACATCATAGCAAGTAACTCTTCCCTCGACACCGCTACGCCGATGTCATTATGCCGTTGATTAGGCACATCGTCTGCTAACTGACCCATGACTGTAGCGTTGAGATTTGGGCCCCTGTCTTCTGCCGCTTCGTCGGCGGCAGCGTCGTCGTTTTCGTCGATTGGAACCGAGGCGAATGCTGAAAGTGCCTTGTCTACCTGGGCTAGAACGCCTAGGAGCATCAGGCCTAGGTGGGCGAATTGTCTGTCGGCGGATAGTTGGCTGAAGGCGCTGTTGGGTGGTTAGTCTTGGGTCTAGAGGGTGAGTTCTGGGAGAGTAGTTTTGGGAGGAAGATGACAAAGGGATTGGGAAGTGAGTGAGTAACTCATCATCACTCTCTCATCCCCTCCCCTTCATCAACATCACCCCCCTTTTTTTTTTTCATCCCACAGCAGAAGAGAAACTCACAAATAGGCTCTAGGCCCTAGTTTCCCCCTCAAATACTCCGCCCTCAGTCTAACCTCCCTGGCCTCCTTATCCTCCTCCTCCTCTTCTCTATCCTCCCCTTTAACCTCTCCCTCTCCTCCTTTCTGCCCCACCCCATCCTGTTTCTTCTCAACCCTCCCCAACCGTTCATATTTTTCCTTCTTCTTCCTCCTCGCCTCCTCCTTCCTCCTCTTCCCCTCTCGTTCCGGCTCCTTATCACACCACTCGTTCGCCGCCTCAATCAGCTTGCGCAGGTGTCGCCGCAGCATGTCGGCCTCAGCCCACCATTTCGACAGGCGGTGCTGGTTCTTGTTGCGGTGGTGGAAACGGGAGAGGATCTCGAGGGCGGGCGTTAAAATAGGGAGGAGGGAGGAGGGGGTTGTGGGGTCTGAGGGGTTTGAGGGTGGTGAGGGAGTGGTTTTGGTGGTTGGTAGTGATTGGGGGTCCTGGGATTGTTGGAGGATGAGAAGATTTGATGATGATGGGGGTTGTGTGGTGGTTGATTTTGGGTTGCTGGGGAGTTTTGCCTTGGGGTTGGTGGGTTTGAGTCTTGGTTTGGATCCCTGGGTTCGATTCATTTTGGTTTCTTGTTGAAGGCTTTGGTGCTTTGTAACGGTAGAGTCGGGTATTTGCAAGTGTCACGATGAGGTGAGCTGCAGAAAGCCACTCGTTCGGGGAGTCGGCCCGTTCGCGAGATGAAGAGCGTGTGGTGGTGCTCTGAGATGCACGTCGCAAGGAGAAAACTCGGCCTTGATGGCGCAACGCGGCAGGATTGCGTCAATATTTGCCTTACTTTCAAGATCGATGAGGTTCACCGGACCTATGTGGTGCTGCAGTCGAATTATTCCGCTTTCAGAAAACGCATTCGAAGTTTTCAGATGGAGGTTAACGACTAGTTCTAGGGTTCAAGTTTCGGGGTTAGGGTTACGTGCTGCATCTGCAAGAGATTCGACGACAGGTTCAACTTGCACGTCGTGACGGCACCGCCAAACCACGGTAACACCCTCGCATCTACCAGTTAACATTGTATTTGGTTTTGCCCTCCTTTTCCATACTCAGTACTTCCCAGATTCCTCTGCTGCATGAGGTGAAGAGAAAGCTTAAAAAAGGTGTATCCCTACCAACACTGACTGGAGGCATCTTCTGCCGCAAGGAACGTCGTTTCCGTTTCCTAACTAAGACATACGGAAGTTTTCTAGGTATCGTGATGATCAACTGCAATAGGCAAATTTAGCCAACCATTTTCATCCGGCCTATTCTCCGGGCACCTGGTAGACTTGAAAATCACAATATTCCACCCGATGAGCGTGCCTTTAGGTGTTCCATCAACAGACAGCTCAACCATGTATCCTATCGCGTGCCTTCATCTACCGCCGAGAGGCACCGAAACTTGTGCGCGCGTGCATGGCCTTTTGCACTACTACGAGTGTGCCTTGCAGACTGTGGAAAGAATGACATTGGAAATGGGTTCGGTTTATTTTTTTCTGCCATCCACCTGACCACGTTTTCTGGTGATCAGCACGAGATCTACACTACAGCAGTTGCTCGGCATTTGAGAAGAAGCGATCCTGGACGTACAGTATGAACGCAGTAGTGTTTTGCAAACCAATCTGCCTTGGAAGGATAAGAATGGAACACCGGAGTATCAGTGTAGTGTAGAATTCCTCTCACTTGTGAGTCACTCGACTTCCAAGGATTTTTGATAGAGGATGATATCGCGTTATCTTGGACGTATTCCTCCAAAAATTGCAACATCACGTCTCCAGAACATGTGATGATCACTCTATTCTCCTCGGTTACGCTGTGGGATGGCTTCCAGAAATTGTAGGTAATGTGTGAATGACGAAGATCTCAGTGAAGATCTCGCAGTCCAGACTCTTTGATAGACAGACGAGAAAGAGTACACGTGTACAGTTCAATACTGGTCTGATGTTAGCTTGAGACCTCGAGCAACATTCCTACGCATTTGTATGCTGTATTCATGCTTTTTCCAAGGTAAAATATGCCATATCGAAGCTTGTTGATTGATGTCTTTTGAATCCGTACCTAGCCATCATCTACTGCATAATAGTTAGTCCATAAAGGTTTAGGACAGTTCGGAAGGCATCTCTTCCAGGGTACTGAGAGTACCTGGGTACTGAGCTAACAAACCAGCACTACTATGTTGATAATGAAAGCTCACCGAAGAATTTCCTTGAATGAATGGTGATCGCCATGAGAAAATGGGTGTTCACATGGCCTCCGTTATTCGAGGACTCTCCATAGCTGTCCAACTCCGTGCATTTCACGCGATACACATCGAGTTGCTGTTACTTGTCCTGTCCTGTTTTGATCTCCCAGATTTCTTGACGAAAGTAGGTATCTTTCGCTGTTGACTTTGCTTTGCGGTAAGGATTTTCCAGTTGACAGCGGCTTTTCCTCCGCCGTATGGATATAACTTTGCAATCCTGTCTCCAACTTCGCGGAAATTACCATGATGATGCAACATTCCCAAACACAGGACCCAAACTCGCTTGAATTCAAGATTTTGAGATCCACCGGAAACTGGGAGAAGCAGGTGGGTTTACCTAGAAACACTGTGAGTCCACAAGACGGTATGGGGCAGCTTGGCCCATGTTATTTTTCAGGTACGGGGAAACATACTGACACTGTGGACGTCCAGAAAGTTGAATACGGCATCATCGGCAGCTTCCAAAGCGGAGTATAAGTGCTCAGGCCCTCGTCCGCCTCGTATGCTTTGCTTTGTTTTGAGAGAAAATGCTTGCAATGCATTAACATACACCGCTCTAGACCTTCTCTCTTTGACAAGTCAGTACACCGCCATTTGTATGGGGCGGATTTCGGGTGCTCGAATGTCTCGAAGATTCAAAGATGCTGAAAACGTGGTTCCACGTTTGAGATGGTTCAAAGTCCCATGCAGAACATTGAGGCTCTCTGATCGCAACGAAGCGAGCTACTGCAATACTCAATAGTGTGGCATGCTTCGATGTTTGGTTTCTAGTGTCGATGCGTAAATAATGCCCTCAAACTCGATCATCTCTCTGATGCTATTCATAGCCCACAAGCTCCATCACGGTTCGCCTTTTGGGAAACGCGATGGGACCCAAGAGCTCTCAAAATGAACTTTGGAGTGAGTTCTTACCTTTCCATCTTCCAAAGGCCTTCTGAAGCTCCGCTATGATGTCCACTATAATCACTTGTCACGATTCGCGATAGAAGATTGGGAGCCCACAAGGGTGCTAGGAATCGACATGGACTGCACCACCCCATGTCTCTAAAAGGCTGGTCTAATTAAGAGAGACCCGCAACGTCTGGAGCCCCGGTTTTCCCTTTTTAGCATTCCCGAGCATCACGATCGTGGCCCTCTTCCGAGTCTGAAGGGAGCAGCAGCAGCAGCAGCCCCGAACGGTGTCAGGCATTAGTTGAAACCGACCCTTTGCAAATGCAAAACGTACGGTGAAGGTGAAGAGATTTTCCCAGGGTTCTCAATGCAATCGAATCATCAAAGGAAATTGTTGCAGCAGTGTTCCAGACCGGAACATGGATACAGTAATCGTTGCGTCTGCGATGTCGGAGATGACCGAACGGCCCTTCGACCTGTGTAGTGTACCCAACCACTTGGTACCACCAAATCTTTGGATCCGGGCAGCCGGGCTGAAGAACCTGTGGATGCGGGAGCGGCCTAGCGACTTGTCAATGTCAAAGTCAAAGGGGATGTGATTCCGGAAGACCTGCCGGTTGATGTGAAAGAGTCAGTCAGGCACGGACGGTTGTGGATGCTGAGGCCAATGAGCAAGTCTCATCACCACTTATGATGCAGTCTACACCGGAGGCCGGCCGCATCTATCACCGGCGGAAATCCGGAAAGGGAAAGGACCGGGGACTTTGGATTAGCTTGGACGGTAGATAGTCCGTACACTACAGGAGACTATCTGCCTCGGGTAGTTCCTTCTGTGACCGGCTCCTGCCATGTTTTGAGTATCGCTTGATTATGAGCTTCAAACTTCCCAGGTCATTACCTCCCGTAGGTAACCTCATGGGTATCCGTCAATGTCAACAAAGGAAGGTACGACATGAGTAGTTACGTAGTATGAAGAAAGAGAGATGGAGCTTTGCGAGAGCAGCTCCGCAACTTGCGAGCAAGATCATTTAGGTTGCAGTGCGAGAGATCTGCTCGCGGTGAACCATCGAACCACGGAAAATGTGTTTGCGTTGGATAGCCTTGTCCAGAAAGACTTTTTGTGTATAATGAATTGCATCAAGAAAGACAGTATTGTAGGCGCCATGTCTCGTACCTAGATGTCATTTGTGCTTCTGAATTCAGGGTACTGCAATCGACGGGTCAAGGATCACCCATCCTGATATCAACCGTACCTGCAGCGCGGCCCGGTAATCTTTTTTTTGCCCGTTAGACAGCGCGGAGGTCCCTTCTTTCCCCCAGGTTCTTCGAGACAGCTCGGCATGTAAGCGGGATGGAAGCCAAGCAGATAGACTGGAGAAGTGTTTGTTTGGGATGAGGGATAATTGGTGGTGGGGAGGACAAGACAATAATTCGAACCAAGATGCGTATCATCGTCATACCGCAGTATTAGGACCAAAGAGATATACCTCTTTGCCTTGGTATGCTTGGCCTATCGCATCACCTCGCGCCATCATACGGGTGATGTTGGCGACCTGCGGAAGTGATCCGGAAGCATCTTGTCGTAATCCCTCTCTGACATTGCCATCCGACGGCCTGCATGTTGATGGACCATTGATGGGTGGGTTTTAACAAGTACAGACAATAGTTCCGAGGAATGACATCATTGCTTCATTTCCAGGCTGGACGGTGCTAAATCATAAGCGAGAGCTTCGTGTCTACATTTGCTGTGCCGAATACTTGCACCCAGGATAACATTGGCTGTTGTCAAATGAGTAACCGCTTCTCGAGTAGCAAGGGGCGCAAGACCAAAGGGTAACGAGCGGGGTCACTGTCCTTGAATGCAATTGTCTCCGTCATCTAGGTATGAAGGAATAGGGAATGAAGCCATCCGCCTAGAAATTCGTCGTCCATTCTCGGGATGGCATTGGAGAGGGTGATTGCTTAACCATACCCAGAGAGCCGTTCAGAGTCGAACGAAATGCGTAATAAGGCATCATCGACTGTATTCGCGTGACACAGAGTCGTGAAGCTTCCCGAGCGTTTTCTGACGTTGGCTGTCATCGACCGTTGTCGTTGCCCGCCCGCACTCCTCAGGCTCATTGGCCTGCCCTGCCGCCTATCTTCTCGTTCCCGTCCAAACCCAGAGCTTTGCTGAGGCAGAAAGCCAATTATATCACCGGACTGGCGATTTCCTCGTGAGGGGGTGATAAGGAAGGGCCGGATTCAGAAAGCCGTTGAGATGTGTACCCTGAAACCTGTAGCACATACTATGTAGTGTATAGTAGTGTACACGACCACCAACAAAGAGATGGATTCTGCAACCCTACTGGAGAATGCCTGGGCCAAGACAAAACATGCCCCTGTCTTGTTCTCGAACGCTTTGCAAGAGGTCTGGCCCTCCACAACCCTGCGGCTGTCCATTGTCCCACATGAGCCGGTGAGCAAGAACCCTGGCTTTTTCGGAAGACGGTCCCGCGGGGCGCTTTGTGGTTCTACCAACATCTCAGTCAAGATGTAAAGTGAGCGGTGCCGGTTTGTGTACCCTCTCAGTTTATGGTCGCTTTGCTATGCTTGGGAAAAGGTCTATAGCATGGGACTTCGTCATCCGGTGGTTTTTCTCGGCAATGTTGAACGCAGTTTTTCCAACAGGAATTTGATATCTTGTCATATGGTTCGATGATCTACGAAAAAGCCGATGTGCCATGGACTCGGACGCATGGGCCATGTCAATGGTCTCGATCTTTCAGGTACCAGATGCAGAAATTTTTTTTCTACAGTGTCTCCCAGGATGGAATCTTGATGTCGCTGAAACTTGACGATGTCACGATGGTTTCTCTGTCGGCCGGGCGGGTTTGTCTGTGTGTTGTCAAGATCCGCAAGTGCTCTCGGTGTTTTGGAACATTCCACCTCCTGAAAGCCCCCGTGAGCGACCCCCACGCCGCCGGGTCCCTATCACGGTGTGTTTCGGTTGGGAAAAAAAAAAAAAAAAAAAAAAAAAAAACCTCTAGTCGGCTGAAAACGGCTCGATATTGAAGAGGCAAATTCCGGCCATTCCCCCCTTCCGAAAGCATTAACGGAGCGGAATAAACATGGAGACTTAGACGACAGGTACACTTTACAGTGTTTGCCCATCCAGACCTGGCAAGACTGACTTGTGGCCGGCGGATGACGGGACTGGTGCCCCGGAAGATCATGGCAGCATGGCACCACCAAACATGCTTCGGCTCCATTCCCGCTGTCTGGTCCGATCTGGGAGAAAGCCTCTCACCCAATCTCCATGCCATGCACCGCAAACTCTGCAGCCGGGCCGTCAGGAGCTGACGAACGTTCCTGGCTGTCCTTTGAAAAGGCGGCATTGGCACAGGTGGGGTAGGCCGGGGTTAGTGAGAGCTTGTTGAACAGCGAGGAGCTCTCCCCACAACATGGGCCATGGGCGATGGAGCCTCTCCCTTTGGTTCATGCCTGACGCCTGTTTTGCTGTCGTGACAGTGGGCTCGACACCGCCAAAGTGGAAAGGCGCCGTGGTAACCACACCGTGGGCATTTGCTGGCAAGGCACACAGGCAGGCAGGGCAACGCAGGGCTGGCCGCCGAAAGAGGGGCGGGAGGCGGTAGTCGTACCCAAATCGGGGACACTAGCGCACGGGCGCCGATGTAACTGTGAGAAAAAGAAAAAAAAAAAAACTTTTTGCTTCCTTGCGAGTGAAATGCCTTGGTTTGCGGAGGGCGGTGGACCTGGCTACCTGAAGCCGTTCCAAGTGGCATCAACAAGTGGGTGAGGATGACATCGTCGGGTTCCAGACGCCTGTGACAGAGCGTGCTGGCAAAGTCGGAATGCAGATTTGGTGAATTGGGCGTGCGAAAGAGTGGACTTTGGGTCGCTATGTTTCGTGAAAACGCAGTGCTTGGTCTCTGAAGTTTTGCTCGCTCGCCGTTTTGCTCGCTTTTGCCCAGGAGGGAACAAGGGATCGATCGATGGCAGGAGGCTCTGCAGCGTTCGGCTCTCCGCAAAAGGAAAGGTACTTTCACTCCGTACCTCCGGCTTCCACTCCGCTGTATGTGAAGTGGATTCCAGATGGAGTTTCCCGTCAGCGAGTCGTGGGGAAGCAAGAGAGAGTGTGTGAAATCAGTCACTGGTGTATGTAATATTGCGGCAACATGGATAGCAACAGGAGCGCTATCAATGACCATTACTTGGTGCTCACGACAACAGTTTGTCGGTGTCAAGCAACTTATCATTATCAGTGGATGCTCTGTGCGAGGTGCGAGAGCGGCATCGGGATTATGGATAGGGAATATTGAATGAGTCGTGAGACCCTGCCATCATGTACAGTGCAGTCAATACTTACACGTGCAGTTGAGAGTGGTAGATAGCCATTGATCAAGCCACAATGCTGTGCTCTGTCGTTCCCCGCAGAATGCGGATGACGCGATGGCTTGAATCATTCGCTCGGGCGCTTGGCAGTAAAATATTCATTCGGGATCCCTTGAGATAGAAACGACCGTTTGTAGACCTCGTTATCAGTCAATTTGTCCCAGCCGAGTAGACCGGTGGACAGTCAGCAGGGACGAGGATGAATTCCCAAAAGTAGGGTATGTACTATGTATACCTAGAGATTCGTTAGAGGGTGTATGTGGAGTGTCCAAAAGGACTGAATGTCAGGTTGAGGCTGTGAGAAAGAAGCAAGGATTCGGCAGCACGCCCAAGAGGCTGAATGTGGGCGACGACATCAGCATCTCGACACACGTGTAGCATTGCGTGCGTGGTCTTGGTGGTGACCAGAAGTGTGGAAGGCTGGCTGTGCCTGTGTGGGGGATGGCTGATCAAGACGGGCATTTCGGGAGGAGTGATGACGGAAATCATACCTCAGCACTGTGGACGAAGCCCAGGCCGACGAACAGGAGCTTGAAACCCCCAGAATCGATGGCTCGTGATCACCTCAACTTGAGGGGGATAAGGATAGAGGTCCTCTGGTCGTTGTGATCCATTTATTGCGTGTGCTCTTCTCGTTGGGTTCATGGTGGGATGGAGCACCTTGCTGTCTACTCTGGCCATCCAGGTTCTCACTGTGTACGGTCTCAAAGGCTAAATTTGGAGGACGTTCTTAGTCTTGGAACCCAAGTTTAAGCTACGTAGTGTCGCTGTAATCCACTCGTTTAACGGACCAGACGGGAGATGGACCTGTGATGATCACCAAGTAAAAACAGCGAATGTCTTAAAATACAAGGGATCGTCGATAAGCCCGAGGGCCGAGTTGATTGAATGCACGCTGCCCGTGAATGGCGGCACATGTTTGCTACCATAGTGTAGGAGAGTGGTGAACCAAGCAGAGTGAAGATTGAAGTAGGAGTGTTGACACGGAGCCATCCGAAGCACCTTTGCGGCCTCTGGGCTGTGGGGACCCCGTGCCATTCAGCCTACACCCGACGTGTAGTGTAGTGTAGTAGATGGGAGCCTGTGAATCCTGAAGGAGGGAAGCCGATGGACCTTGGATGGAAAATATCACAACATTCTGGCAACATTGGCCATCCGGGTGCCTGTCTGCCAACCGTGTCATTCGCAGATTCCGCCATCACCCCACACCTTTTGTCACAGGGGCGCGGAACCGCAGGGCTCGGCTATTGATGACAAAACAGGCGGGGACAGGACCCTTCCCTTTCATCGGGGTCGGTAAACTCCTGAGGTGCTCATTTTTCAGTTTTAGTACCATGCCAATATGACCGGCGGAGAGTTTGGAGATTGCGGAAAGAATGAGAGTGAAATGGACAGAAGCAAGCGCCCTGTTCCTGGAGTCAATGCTGTCGGCCCCTCTTCCGCTTCCCCCTCCAACTAAAAACAGTCAGCACAGTGTCTGAAACCCCCTATAATCCCTGCAGTGCAAGTGCAGTGCTAGCACCCCCTCACTTCTGTCGTCAACTGAGGAGGAAGCTTCAACCGAAACTGGGCCCCCACCTCCCAGCCGGGCTGGTCCAAGGCGCACCGCCGGGGCGATGACGACCTGTGGACTTGGTTTACGAATCGCTACAGCAAGCAGTCAACCACTCCAAGCAGCGACAAGAACAGCGAGCGCCATACAGAGGACCTAACTGGCTTCCCTAGACGGTCCAGATCGCTGCTTCTCTTTTATTTATCCTCTTTACTCCACCGAGTGACTGACCACCTACTACTATAGGCGAGACACGAGGCCAATCGATCGAACTAGCACCCTTGGCAGTAGGTTCAGGTGATAAAATGTTTGGGGAAAAATGAAAAAAATTTAAACTGCTGGAGATGGGGAGATACGACGGGCCAGATAATGGAGAGTGCTTCATGCCGATAGTCATATTTGTACACTGTACACGTTTAAGCATCCGTGAAAGACGATTGGTCGACATCCCAGCCCTGCTGATCTCCGTTCTCGGGCGAGACTCCATCCAGACCACCGACGAAAAAAAAGAAGGAACATGGAAAAGGGCCAAAAGGGGACCGACAGGGGCAGATACCCAAGGTACACTAGATACAGGCTACAAAGGAAGGTCTGGTTCAGTGACAACCTTGTAAAGAGTCATCCTTGCGCGGGCAGATACCAAGCACCTGGCCTCCTTTACATAGAACCTACCTACACCACGCCCTACCTCTACACTTGCTCTCTCATTTTCTTATTATAAGACGTCCGCCAGTTCCTCGCCCCAAGATCCCTTCCGCTCAAAATCAAATCCATCCCGTCAGCATTGCAGCAGCCAACGGTTACAGCACTCAGCATCAAGACAACCTACATACACTGTGCAGCTACCTCACCTCACCACATTCGCTCTACACTACTTAGTAGCTTGTCAACCCAACTCCATATCTATCCAACGGTTACATCCACAGACGCCAACTGACGTCCGCCCAAACACAACTGCCAGCCGAACCCAAGACAACATTACAAACTTGTACATAGTAGTCGGGCTGCCCAACCTTGTTCTCGAACGACACAGCGTACCCGCAACTAAATCCCGAACGAAACACTCAACACCGTGTGTCGACGCCCCTCATCTGTGTCACCTCCGGCCATCCTGTTCTACCCACTTGTCGACCCAGAGAAGCGAAACACCAAGTTACAGACTCCATCCCCACCTCGGGCAGTACATAAACAAGTCAACAGTAGCTCACTCGCACAATCCGGGGCCCCGCAAAACCGTGCAAAGCTGTTTCCTGGACTGTGATCTGGAGAAACAAACCGGTCACTAGCGCAACCCCATCGCGACTTGACGCCGACTTGCATATAAAGCAACTGACCTGCACCTGTTACACCTTACGGGTTTAATAGCCGGTCGATCTACCTCCTTGTCCCCCTTCCGTCCTACTCGCTTGTCTAACACCACCACCACCGCCACCACCACCATCACTACCACCACCCTCGTTTGGTCTCCCGAAGTCGTTCGTTGAAGCTATCGGTTTGCGCACTTTCCCTCACAGACTCTCCAGTCCCACGACAGCGCCAGGAACAACAAACAAGCACGAGCAAGAAAATTGTCTTCTTGCAGCTTTTGTATTTGCCACCCAATACGACACCTACTTGCACGGATTCGTCATTCCACGAATGGTAGTTTGTGGGCTTGCTGGACACCAAAACTCTTGGATTACCCTTCACTCCTCCCGCCTTCCAGGGATCCCCAGCTTCTCTCAACTTTAAGACTTCTCCTCTTGGGAAGACCCCGCATCTCATCACCAAACCACGCTGCGCTGCCAAGGGACCTGAGCAGAACAAGCCAACCCAGTGAACCCCTGACGCTTCCTCGGGCTCACCTCACCTCTTAACCCCCCCACCAATCACACATAACCGCCTCCATGCATCACCAACGCCGAAGGTCCGGGCATGCTTCTGGCAACACTTCGATGACCGACGTCCGAAAAGCTCCTTCGACCCGACCTACCCTGACAAGGAGAACCACAACCCCTCAAACCTCCCAGAAGCTGGGCAGGAACATGAGGGATCGTGAGAGGCAGATGGAAGAAGAGCGTTGGTTTGAGGAGGAGCGGGAAAGCTTTCCCCAGTTCTGGTATGTTATCCCTGCCTGCTCTTTCACCTCTTTGTATAACCTTCCAGGGTCGTGCTCTGTGCTGACACGCAGTCTTATAGCATGTCTTGCGAGAAGCAGTTTATCCCCGATCACGACCAATCCCTCTATTGCTCCAAGGAGTAAGTTCCAACAACCGCCCCCAAACCAATTTGCTGAATCTCAAGGACTAACCCCAAGCCACTAGCTGCCGCTTAAGCGACCAAGAAGGTTTCGGTGCCTCTTCATCCTCATCTCGCAGCTGGATCGGGTCGAACGCTCCAACTTACTACCCTTTCTACTCGGCCTCCTCAGAGCCGCGAGACATCATCCCCCGCGCATCTCCATCGCGTCCCAACTCAACATATGTCTCCCCACCTACCACCCCGGGAACCGGCCAGTCCTCAGCCATCAATGCCCTCAAATCTTCCCTTTATGGCAGCAGGCCAGCCAGCCCCCCCTCTCCGCCGCCTGTAGGCAGCTACCACGCGAACGTTTGGCCTTTCTCCAACCGCAGCTCGGCCGCCAGCCCCAACAACTCGTACTCGAACCAGCAGTCCGGTTTTTTCTCCTCTACGTATGAGGGCCACTACTATGGCGGTGCGGGAGATGCGTATAATGACCGACCGCTACCAAGCCGCAGGCCAGGGATCTACTCGAGGCCGAAGAGCATTGAGCTTGTCACCCCCTTGGTAGGGAGATAACAGTCATTGTTTGCTTCTTCTGCTTCTCTTTCTGCTTCCGACAAAAGAACACTTTTCTTTTCTTTTCTCCGACATCACTTTTATTGTTATTGAGCATCTTACTGGTTACCTGCGTGTCATTGGCATACCAGATTTGGGCATGGGCACACTAAAAACCGGGGTTGTTTTGGCCGGATTAGATATCGTTCGGCGCTTCTTTGCATTGATTGCCTCAACATTGGGAGTATTTGCTCATCTGGGGTGGCGTATTTTTGGGATATTTTGATATTGGAACAAAAAGTTTTTATGACAGGACAGGACAGGCAGGCAGGCGGAACTCTTTAAGAAACAGAGGAGAAAGGACATCCCACTCAATCTCTGACCAGCTCTCACGGGCGGCGGCGGCGATCACGCAAAAAAAGAGATATTGATAAAAAGCATTGTATATCAATTTTCATTTAATGTTGATGCCACTTTTGTGTGTTTTTTGATCATCATTTTCATCAGCTATATATATAAGCAGGTCATTCATAGAACACAACAGATTGGGACGTCTATATACCTCTCGATAAGCAGGCACGTAATCATGGTTCTGGACGGATGGAGGTCATCTTTGCTGTTGTAGTTGTCCATTGCATTTACGGTTATCATATATAACGGCGAGAATCAGACCATTCCAGCACTCACCATTGTCTTCAGATTTTCACCTGATGATGCTATCTAAAAACTCCCCTTTCATACATGCTCATCCATGGCTCCAACAACGACCAGCCCCGGGTATTCGGCTGTCCTCGGTTCGACGGTTGCCGGCACCTCATAGCAGTTTTTGATTCACCGGTCCAAAACTATTGTCTTACGTATGTCAATAGTTCCAAGACTGTCAAAGCGCTTGACGATTTCTTGGAAAACATTTCCCACAGTAGCTCTATGACTGTCTGCTAACTAATTTGCTCCAGGAATAGCCTTGTCGTGGCATTATCATCTCCATCCCAACCCCATACCCAACCCCCAAACCTTGATGTCATCTGGGACAAGCCAACCAAAAAAAATCCACATCTGTTGGAATTTCACCGAGACAATGTGGATTGTGGAGGTGGTGACTTTTGTAGTGACTTTTCGGTAGCGAAACGACGGCGCCAACACCCAAGAAGGACTAGACTACCCCATACCCCATACTTGTTTGTTAGACGTACGCCGGTGAGCCAGTCCGGCTGTGGTCAGTCAGTGTTTGACGCTATTCCCGACCTGGCTCTTCCTCCGTAACTCCGGTCAAAAGCCAAACCGCTCCGAGTCCGACCGCCGCCCCCGCCCCCCTCCCCTCAACAGCGGCCCAACGACCCCGGCCCCGCTCCGAGTTGACTCCACAACGGAGGTACATATGTATGTATGTACACTAACTATACCGCAACAACCTAACCAACACAAAAGTATCAAATGGGTGTGGGACGACGGATTGGACACATACATACATACATACATACATACATACACTACGCAGTCGGATGCCACCTCCGCGCGAATGATCGGAGGTTATCCACTCGGTTCAACCCTCCGATTTAATCCCGGACGGAGCGGACAGTGAGTGAGTGAGCGCTCCGGACGGGATTTCTGGCTGACTGCTGTCACTACGTACAATTCTAACTCCCCGCCCTACCCCGGCCCTAAGATCCTATCAGAGGACATCTTTCAGGCCTTGTCTCAGCCATCTGAAGAAAACCCTTATGCGATGCATCGATATGAATTATTTTTCTAATATATTTATTTACTTAGCTTCCTTACTGTGGCCATGTACACTGACTGGTTCGAACTCGCCGCCGGGGATTGACTGAGTGGGCACTCAACGGCCGCAAGCCAGACAGTCAGTCAGTCAGTCAGTCAGTCCTGCAAACTGTGGTGTACCTACCTACATACTCTGCCGAGTCTGCCTGCCCGGTCGATAGGTGTGGGGGTTATGGACACATTTACTTCATCATCTTCTCTTCACTAGGTAGGCATCATAATACCTACGGGCGCACGTAGTAGGGTCCTATGTAATTACTGTGGTCAGCCTGGATTGAGCAATCTATCTTGGGCAAGAAACTTGAGACTCGCGAATATCGAATCTCGAATATTGATACCAATATAGGTTTAAGTATGTACCTAGTGTGGGCGCAATGTGCCAGTGTCGACTAACCAAACCAAACCAAACCAAACCAAACCAAACCGGCTGTGGCTTTTGACCGTTGTGACCACCGTTATAACGCATGTGACCAAAGAAACTCGGATCAGTGTGTGGCGCAGATACATAACTTACTACAGTTAAGTGATGATCATAGAAAAGTCAAGTTGGTTCGTTTGTTGTGATGTGATATAGAAAACCTGGTGGTGAAAATCCTGCTTATACGTGTACCCAAAGACGTTGAGGGGAAAGGGGGGAAAAAAAAAAATTTGAAAATAAAAGCTAAGCGACGTGATAGGTCATTCACGAATGGAGGAGTTCGAGGCACAGCCATAGATGACGAAATAATGAACAGATGTGAGAGATATATAACGGATCGGATACGATACCCTCCCACCCTCCCTCGGTCGCTTGCTACACCGTGGAACTTAAATGGTGATGATATAGGCTAGAAGATAACCAGTGCGATGTAGTGGGATGGTGTTAGCGTGACAGAGAAAGATAGAGGGTTGCAATTTCGATCAGAAGGTCACATAGATATGGTTTGTGTCCCTAGGAGGCGAGGGAGGGTCTAACGAGGGGAGAGGAGGGAAGAGGGGCAGTGGCAGTGTTGGATAGATGGAGGAAGGATGGATGGATGGATGAATGAATGCAAATGAGAGTGCAAGACTACCTCTAGGGACTGAACGTCATCTTTCACCCCAATATCGACGGTGAACCTGATTTCTTGCTAAAACTTCGATCCCGCTTCAGGAGTGTGTTGTCTATGTGCATTGCAATTATAAATATGGTACTAATGGATCGATAGATATAGTTGTGCCTATAGATAGCATGTGTGTGCGCGCATGCCTGTTCAACAAAGGGCATAACTGTCTTGCGGAAAAGCGCGTTACATCATCACTCCTTCTCTAACTTGTAAAGTGTCACAACATCAACAAGAACAGGCAAACAGCAGCGCATTCAACGACGCTTCATGACCTTGTGTAATTGTCGCACGACATTATCCTTTCTTTCCTTCATCAGCGGCACCGGCGATCCTCAGCGGGCAACATCTCATTCACCATCACCCCTGGTTCCAGACCTAGCTCCCACATCTGTCTCGACCATCTCTATACTCGTAAGGCTAGGAAACCGCTTTTGAAAGTCCTTGATATAATCATCCTTCTCGGACGCCGACATCTGCAGTAGCATGGGGGAATCTTGCCCGGGCAAACCCTCGACGGCGACCAGCGCTTCTCTGCTTGTTCTGCTGTAGTCTCCCCCCGCTCTCGCTCCGATACTGTCGCTTCTATCACTGTCTATTAATGAGCTCGAGGGGGTCCCGGGCCCCAGCTGTCTGTGCAGGCTTATCGTGCTGGTGCTGTAGGACTGTCTGGGCGGCGAGCCAGCTCCACCGCCGGCTGTTAAGTTTGCGGTAAGTCGCGTGGGTTTCGGAGGTGCGGCCGGTTTCCCCCCCGTCACGGTTATGGAGGCGCGACCAGTCATAGTTTGCTCCATACTGGACATGCCGGATGAGGTCGGGGGTCGCGGTAAAGATCCGGACACGGGCTGTCCGGTAATGGCAATGGGCTTCTTTGCAACCGCGGGCCGCGAATCTCCAAGACTGTCAGTCGAGCCACGAGGCCCACCGGCATCGGCATCGGTATAGTGGCCATAGCCGTGAGCTGTCCTTGACACTGGCGCCGAACGGCTGCTCTCATCCAGGAGACTCTGGACCTTGTTCTGAATAGACACAGCGCGAGGGACACCGCCAATGCTCTTGGGCAGCGGTGTCGGGCCCGTTGCTGAACCCGTACCGGTACGCTGTGCAACGCGAGCACGATACTCGGCCTGCGCAGCAGCGACACGAGCTTCTTCTGCTGCCAACATGCGTGCTTCTTCCTCCCGACGCATTTCGGGAGTCATCTCGTCTATGTGATCGTCTTCAAATCGCCGGCCATCATCGCTCCTGTCGTCATTTACCTCGGATCCCGCAATTGGTGTCAACTTATTGAAACGGTCGACTTCTGCATCAACATCCTTCAGAGGAGATGGCGACCTCGGAGGTCCGCTGTTATTTGTGCCACCTTCAAATCTCTTGAATGCATCTCCGAATTTTCCAGCAAAGAGGTTCTTGGTACCGGCACTAAGGGAGCTCAAGCTTGAGCGCTTAGAATGATGCTTGGTACCCTTGTCTTTCTTCTTAGTATCGGAATCCTCCATTGAGCGCAGAAATTCGACGCTGGACCGAATGTTGCGCTCCTCCTCCAGCTTTGGCGAAGGGGGACCCTTGTCCAATGAGAATCTGGACGCGGAAAGGCTCGGCGAGTGCAGTGGTTTTGCAGCCGCCTCTTTTTCACGCAAGTAGGTCAGGTCTGATTCAAGATAGATACTGGCAGGTCGTGACCGGGATGAACTGCTCTCCGGCTCTTTGGATCTTGTCGGCAAGTCAAAGGCATCGAAGCTTGGGCGGCCACCTTCAAGTGACGGTCTCGAGGACCTGGGGTGATGCGCTTGCGCAGTGTGCATTTGCCCTTGCAACGGAGCGTTTGGCGATCCGGCGGCTCCAGGGGATAATAACACCGTTGTGACAGCGCGTGTGTATGACGTGGGACCAGTCTCTTGCTGCCGGGGGACACTAGCCGCCCGGTGATGCTCTGCTGGTGGGAAACGATATACCGGCGGCGGTGATTCGGTCATGGTTCCAGTTGAAACCATCTTAGGCCTAGTTGCTGGAGGAGTCTGGAACGGACTTTGCGCATTCGGCGAAGAGATCGCTTTGAGTTCGGGTATATTTGAGATCATGGTTGAAGCACGGCTTGGCTCGCCTTGCCTCGGAAGTGTGGAAGCCGGGTTGACGGATGGTGATATGCGCTGAGACTCCATAGCAGCCGCGTACGGATTTCCCTTGTTCAGATCAAGCGATACACGTTGGCTCATCGGCCCAGGAGTCGAAGACGGTGACGGTTTGACCTTGAACACCTCGTCCGCTAGTCTTTCGGCTACCCTTTGCGAAATGTCCTTTTGTTGCTGTGGGGGTTGAGGGACACCACTGTCGAAGTCAAACTTGGTCCCCTTATCATGTAGAAGAGAAAACTGATCCAGCGTCGGAAACTTATTCGATAGCTCATCGGCATTCTTGAGTGGGAGCTTGGTATCAAGTGCAGCAAATGGGTCACCATTCGTGACTTTCCCGGGCCCGGGACTGGGCGTTGTCGGTTGGGATACTGGTTGAGACGGGGCAGGGAGCCTTCCTCGTCGCATCCGCTCGACTTCGGGAATAACCTGTTGTTGGACTACCGGGGCCGCAAATACAGCGCCAACGACTGGGGGAGACCTAGCCTGACTCAGTGAGTGTTCGCGTTTCCTCGTGTCGACATGCGTCCCCGTGTAGATCTGTACAGAGGTTAGTTGCCGGACGAAAGCACACTCAGAAGGCACCAGGAACACTTGCGTCTTTGACAGGAGGCTCCTTCCCTTGCATTGCGCAAGCTTCGCGGAGCACCTGATAGATATTTGGTCGGGCTTGTTGGTTCTCCTGTAGCATCCAGGCTGAAAACGGATGAGTGCTAGGTCCAAGAACAGGCGGCCACGGGATGCTTACCGATGAGCTTCTTCAACCGGTCAGAGAAAACAGGGTAGGTATGGAACTTGTAGCTGGCATTCAGAATCGCCAAGGTCCCTCCTTCTTCGAACGGTGTGGTATAATAGCACAGCTTGTAGAGTAGGACGCCCAGCGCCCAGATGTCTGATTTCTCGTCGATGGGTTGTTTGCGGTATACGTCGACCATTTCAGGACTCCTGTACTGCATCGTCGTATGCTTTTGGATGTCTTCGTCCACAAGGCGGCACTCTGTAACGGTGGTCGGGGCTGGGCGAGGCGGGGCGGCCGAGCCAAAGTCGCATAGCTTGAACTTCCTGACACTGCCTACCATGTTGATGAGCACGTTCTCAACCTTCAGGTCGCGGTGCAGCAGTGGCGGCTTAAGGTAATGCATGCAAGCAACACCTTCAGCAACGTCCGAGAAGATGTTGAGGATTTCGGGCTCGGTCAGACGGTGCTGCAAGCGGGTGTTCATGAAGTCGATAAGACCGCCGCCATTGCAGTATTCCATCAGGAGAAAGACCTCGTAGCCGCCAGTGCCACGCATCTCAGAGGCATGCGAATCGATGTAGGTGACGATGGCCTTGTGGCCCTTGAGGCGCTTCATGGTCTCGACCTCGGTGCGCATGCCGCGGAGGGCCTCCTTGTCCGGCACGGCGACCCTCTTCAGCACGGCCAGGTCGGTGCCATTGACCGCCGCCGGCAGCTTGACCAGATAGACATGTGCGAAGCCGCCTTCGGAAAGATACTTTTGGATGACAACTCGGTGGGAGCCGCATTGGATCTTGGTGCCGGGCGCAAAGGTGCCTGCTGGGGCGGCAGGGGCGCTGACCGCCACGGGGGCCCCGTACGCTGCTCCATACGGACCGGGCCTCGGGGCAGCCGCCGGCACCGCGTGTCCAAACGAAGCCATCGCGCTGGCTGTGTGTTGGCCTATAAACCTTTATGGGCCGTACGGTTCGTTTGGGTTCGGAGGGGGGGTGGGCACTGGCGAGCAAGGAGAATCGGCAGAGTGACTGACACTCGGACAACGGACGCGGTGGTGCCTTGGATCGAGGGGCGCAAGGAGGGGACGGTCGTTTGAGGATACCGGTGGGTAGGCGACTCGACTGGGAGTTGGACAGCTCTTCACGGCATCGAAACTAGGTAGGTATAGCAATCGAAGGAGGGAGAGGCCGTCTACAAGCAATGCATAATCGCTTAACAACAGATCACCACAAAGAAGTGTCTAAGAGCAAACCAGATGTTGGTCGTAGTCAGTAGGTAGGCAGTAGTGTAGTAGCAACGGGACTGGCAGTCAATAGGGTCCCGGGGGCCGGTTTCCAGCTTGTCTAATCGCAGGGATGACGGTGGGTTCGCGGTCGGGGGGGCTTGCTGGGCGATGGGCCTATGGTTGATGGGGGAAGACCTATGTCGGTCTCGTCGCAGCGAATGTGCCGTTCCTTGGACGTGCTTGGGTGTTTGGGTGGTGTTGGCGTGTTCGTCCGGGATTGTTTCTCTAGCGATGGACTAGTCTAGCATGCCATCATGTTAACGCGTCCTGTTAACACCCAGTTCTCTTTAGGCGGCCTCGTGGGACGACAGGATGGATGGCGGCCATGGCGGGTTGAGGCAACTGACAGCAGGCTCGCAGCAGTTGTCCTGCAGGTGCAAGTGCCCAAGTCCATGCTGTCCATTCCGCAACACTGCAGGTGCCCGCCAGCTGTATGTACCATTTAGACGACAATGGACTTGGCATCGCGGAGGTATCACGCACTAACATCTGCACATGCTGGGGCGAGGACAGCATTTACACAGCTATCAACCCAACTGAAACTTTACAACGTGGCGCCAACAAAGTCAAGGACCAAGACACAAAGTTTTTAGTTTTTTTTAGTTTGTCTTGCGGAATCAAGGTCACGGGTCACGATGTCGCGCGTTAGGGCGGATGAGATACGGCGATTGTACAGGTATGCAAGAGAATCATCAACCCTCTGCCATAACATGGACCCCGTCATCTCGGCTAGGGACTCCGTGCTGCCTGATCAACCACATCGTGTGGTCATTTCCAACGAAAGCTCTCTGTCAACAATTCCGTTTACAGCCTGCTACAACACGTCCTGTTATCTACACCACCAAAATGTCTGAGATGGGTTTGCCCTTAGAGTTCTCGCATTCTTAATCCAACACCAGCAAACCTTGAGAATATGCCGAACGCCCTCTGACGACATCCAACAAGCGCTATCGACTCCAGCACTAGGGTTCCCCGGCAACGCAATGCCTTCATATTTATGTCGACACAGTAAAGTTGCTGGGCAGAGACTTGGACCTCCGTACTTCCCCTGCAAGCCGAGTTGTCTCCTTTCAAGGATAGCAAAGTCCAATATGAACGCATTCACACACAGAAACCACTTTCTCCTTTTCCCCGGGGCTTTATGATGAGAGGCTTTACAGGCCACGAGTTATAAGTGGGGTGAGGGGCAGGTACCTCTTTAATTGCTCTCAGACTCCAGATAGGAAGCAAAAGTGTGGGGTTATCCAGTTTGCATCTTCACGAGGGAATAGCGGAAGCTCAGATCTTGCCGCAGGATAAGCTATCATGAACCAGCCTCGAGCCGGTGCTGCTAATGAAGCGAAACCTGAATTGACATTTCGTTGATAAAGTTGGTAGATGAACGTTTGAAGCCTCAATGTAGACTTGAGCCTCTTCACAGGTACCGAAGAACAGTTCTTCACTTGAAGCTTGATTCCCGTCTTTTGGGCTTTTCGCTTATCCAAGGTCTCATCCCCAGGAAGGCACGCTCCGTCCAGCTGTACAAGTAACTTCAAGTCTTCAAGCCGCAGTGACAGTGACGCAACCCACACCAGCAACACCTACCTCAACCAGCAACCACCAACCTGAACATCTGATCCGTGCTCGGACGTCCTATTCTCTCCCTTTTAGCTCTAGAGGTAGATATGAGTCTCTTCAGACCTGCTCACCACCGAAATCTTCTCAGTCACATCTCCCGGTTGCTCCAAAAACCTCTTCAAATCACAATCAAACATCCTTCCTACCTGAAAATGAGTTTCCGCGATTACGCCAACATCGAAACCCCTGCGTCGTGTTACGTAGACTTTTGCTTGATTCCGGTGAGTATCAACCATATATGTATAAACATCATCGTGAAGAACAGATGCTGAACCCCTGTTGTTTGTTTGGCAACAGGTTGGCACAGGCAACGTATCCGTCGCCAAGGAGGTGGCTGAGGTGCAGAGGGTGTTGGCAGCCAGCGGGTTAAAGTCCACAATGCACTCGGCTGGTACTACTGTTGAAGGATCCTGGGATGAGGTAATGAAAGTCATCGGCCAAGTCCACGCGGTTGTTCACCAGGGAGGCGTGAAGCGGGTACAAACGTCTATGCGGGTTGGGACTCGGTATGTTTTGCTCTTTTCTAATCCCCGGCCTCTCTCTCTTCCCCCCCCCCCCTCTTACTCTATTCCTCCTTCTTGTCCTTGTATGGGCTCTTCACTTCGATATTCAACCTTAATCCCTGCATGCGTTGCGTTGCGTTGCGTTGCGTTGCGTTGCGTTGCTCTTGCTGACCCTTTATTTCCCCTTCTCTTCCACTCCAACAGAATCGACAAGAAACAGACGGCTGAAGACAAGGTGAAGAGAGTGCAAGCAATCTTGTCTGAGGATCAAACGGGGGAGTCGTCTGCTTAGTTACCTCTACATTGATTTACATTCTCATCTCAGCTCCAAGTCATGCTATGACTCTAATCGCTTACCCATCCGTTTCTCTATGTTCGGAGCCTATGCATGCAATCACCGTCAGAGAACGCTGATACTAACCAAGCTCTTTCCTACCAACCGATGCAGAACAGCGGATTCGCTATGCTGGGAAGGCCGCTTTTGTCACACTGTTCCGCGCGCTCCTGCGATATGAGACAGAGGGATATAAGGGAATGGGTAGAGGAGAACATCATGCGATGGTCTTTGGACGAGGACGAACACAATACCTGCTCACACCAACAGGGCTCGCACATCATAGACACCACACTTCATGTTCTTTCATATGAGGATTTTTTTTTTTTTTTTCAAGTTCACACTTTACTCATCAACCCATCCCCACATTATTTTTATACATACTTGTACAACATACAGACGCATATACACGTTATTATTAGTATACTTTGATCGTAGCCTCCGTCATCATCCCTAGCCAAAACCATCATCACGTTGCCGGGTCATCCGAACCCCAACCCATTACCCCCTTATTCCATTCCATAGTCATCACACATACACATTTCGAAGAAGCCCAAGAAACAGGACGTTTAGGCCCTAGTGGTCATCTTCTTGGTCTGCCTCTTGGCCTCCCTCTCCCTCTCCTTCTCGAGGTACTTCTTCTGCGCCTTGGCGTCCATGGCGGCCAACTCGGCATCACGCTTGGCCTTGCGTTGCTTCTCGCGTTCGACCGCCAGCTCCTCGGCCTTCTCCTGCTCGCTCGCCTTCTGGATGCCCTTGATCATCTCATCGCGAACGGACTTGACCTTGCGGAGGACCTCGGGGCGGAAGTGCGCCACCTGCACAAGCTGGTCCGTCATGCGGAGGAAGTACTGGAAGATGGGCAGGAGAGGCTCGTAGTTGTTGTCCGAGGGGAGGCGGTACTTGAGGAAGATGCGCTTGCGGGGGTTGGTCTCCTCGACACTGTGAAGGGGATCATATGTCAACAACTGTGTGGTAATTTAATTTGTAGGCAGAAAGGCGGGTTGAAACTTACGTCTTGGGCTTGTCCAAAGGTTGATCGGAAACAATGAGGTATTCGAGGAGGTCACCAGCAGACTCGGCAGCCTTGATCAGCTCAGGGGTGAGCAGCGCATCAGTGATCTCAGCGCTCTCAGTCATAACCGTCAACCATTGGGGAAGCTTGTTGTTGTCCTTGGTGTAGGTAAGGGACACGTCGTAGCGCTCGTCGCGGACCTGCTTCATGCTCTCCTTGTGGACAATGGCCCAGACAAAACCGTCAAAAGTACTCTTCTTGTCGTTCTGGCGGAGCTCAGCCGCGCCAGGCATAGCGGGAACGGTAAGCACCTCCTTGCCATCGAAGGGATACAAGGTGGCCTCGACGGAATCGCTAGGCTGAGCATAGCTGTCCCAGAAGAAACCAATGACGTTCTCGGCGAGGGTGACGAAGGGGTTGAAGCGCTTGACCAGAGTGAGCTTGACATCGACAAAGGCAACGTTGACACGGCCGGTGGCGTAGGTCGCGAACTCGAAGAGACTCTTCTCCTTGAGGATGGCGTCACCCTTCTGGGTGTTGGCGTCAGCCAAAGCCTGGGTGAGCTCATCACCAGATTTGTCCGAAAGAGCCCTGGGTACGCCAGAGAAGCCAACAAGGGCGAACTCGGAGCCCAATGTCGAAGCATGGGCGCGAATCCACTTCTTGGCCTTGGAGCGGTTCAGACGGGCACCGAAGAGATGGAGGATCAGCACGACGATGATGGCGGCCAGAATGAAGCCCTCGGCCTTGAATTCAGAAAGGCTGTGGCGCTCGTGCACATTGTACCACTTTGTGTAAGGGACGGCGGTCTTTTCGGGCTGGACACCGGCGAGAGTGGTCGTTATGGGGCTGATGGGGATGGGGGACGGGTCGGCACCCTCTGCGAAGTCGGCGAAGTCTGGGGTTCAAATGGTCAGTCATTCCACCTGGTTTGAGTCGCGTCTGGGGGTTCTGGAAGCGCGGCAGAGGCCCATTGATCGGCATTATGCGAGGTCTGGTGGGTAGAGCAGCTGGGATAGGTATCTAGAGCCTAGCTCAAGCAACCGTGCCTGACCAGGGCATCGTGAACATCGAGGCCGTTCGTGGCGGTTGGCGGGCACGCCCGATTACGGGCACATGACGGTGCTTCCAAATGTGTCCGGCAGATAGGATTACAGAACAAAGCCACATACCAGAATCGCCCGACTTGTCTGGAATGACGCTGGCAGGCTTTGCGCCGCCAAAGAGGTTGTTGATCACGTTCGCCATGGTGTAGTTTGCTGGCGTTGTTGGCGCGATGTGGCCACAATTGGAGCTTTTGGAGCTGGAGCTTGCGACATGGAACTTGTGACGGGGGAATTCCCGTCCAGGGAACTGGTGCACGGGCCCGCCGAAGAGATATGGACGTTGATACGGCATTGTCCCGTCCGTGCTTCCATCTTCTGGAAGCCCCACTTTCTCCTTCGACGACATGCAGATGCTTCCACTGCTGTTGTTGCAGGTTGGTCTGCTTTGCGAGGACTGCTGGAACAAATGTGTGTAGCAAGAAGTTTTATGGCTTTTTAACGCTCTTCAATCTGGAGTCGGATGGACCTCAAAACCTCAATATCATTGGGGTTATTAATTGATATTGCTACCAACTCCCGGAAGATCACTTAGCTGAAGGCCTTGGGAACCACCTCAACCGCAAGATCTAATCAGATTATCGATGTTTAGGAGGAGGCAGTGGAAACCATTGATGTGGAACATACCGTACCTTACAGAAGTGTTTCTTTGTTATGCAAGTCGGCTTTCTTAAGACCTGCCCTGGATGTCAACATATGCCCCTGGCATGACTTTCCCGAGTCTCATCCGCCTTGTCAATGCGGGGGAAAGAGATGCGGAAAGCAGGGAGAAGCGATAGGTGAAACGCTGCGGTCATAATTGAATGCGAATCGAGAATTACGACGCATTGCAATTGTATGTTATTCGGAAAGTTTTAGATTTTGCCCCATTTCGAGACGTAGTCTTTGGGTTGTGAAAGAAGTGCCCGGATTCCAGATGTCGTGAGAAAACCGGCAAGAGTACCAGGAAATATAGGACACAGCGGCAACAACCCGAGCGGTGTTTTGGACGGTCTTCGGGACCAATCACGCAAGTTCAATTTTGAGGACGACCTGCAGAAGATTGCGATGGTACGGGATGAAAATTCAAGAACCAGGCGGCAAATGAAGAGCAGAACTCGCAGTCAAATTCTCAAGATCTGCCCGTTCGCGGGGAATTATAATGGGACTAGACCCCAGGATGCACGAGGGGTCGTCATTCCCAAGAGAGCCCAGATAGTGAGGAGTATTTGAGGGATGTTTCTGTCTGAAAGCGAACGCTACCTTACCTGTGAGCCATTCAATGGCTCGTGCACTACTCTGTTGCTAGGGGGCCGCGCTTGAGAACTCGGTGTTTCAGTTGCTCTCGCAGATCGCAGATCGTTGCTTCTCACCTTTTGTTGGTTTGTAAAACACGATGAAAGGGGAACGATGAAGGAATCATAGAAGGGAGCCCGCAGGGATGACAGGGTATTCTGGCGCATATAGGCGGGGTGAGGGTGTGAACGGCGCTTGACTTACAAAACCAGGTCAAGACACTCGACTTTGTCTACCCAAGAGATATCGTAGGTAAGACGTTGGCCGCTGTCGGCGATCAACCATCGAGGGGTCTATGGGACTCACTGTGTTCGCTGTCCATGGCAGAGATGTCTTTGTTTCGTCTCGGCACAAGTCTCGTCGGTCAGAAGTTCTTGGATAATTGGTAAATTGCCCTATCAAATGAGACAGAAGCTCCTCCCGCTCTTCTAGAAACGACATCAGTGGGCATACCTGGTACAGATCCCTCATACTTACATCAACGCTCTGCTTTTCTATCAGGCACAGCCAGATGGCTGGCGAGCATACCGATGTACATGTTCATCCGGCACTGTAGTGATCATCTTGGCTTCTAGTAACTCGGTGTGCTTTGATGACATGTTGGCCGCCTCTGTCAATGCTGGTCACCTGTTGGGATCGGGTACCTGTCACGCATCCACCAATCAAGATGCATCTTCGGCAGCGGCAGTCCCTAGCTTTCTGTGCCTGAGAATACCACTTGATGTGTGGCATACCTCTACCCACTCCCGCCAGACCATCAAGCAGACCAAGTATAGTACCTCCCAGAAACCCAACTTCCAGATATGTACAAAACAACCAAAAAGGAAAAGGAAAACAGAAGAAGAAGAAGAAGAAGAAGAAGAAGAAGAAGAAGAAAACTAAAGTTCAATTCTGGACTCTTTTTTCTCCAGACTCTTCATTTCTTTCCAATTTGTAAGCTTTCTATCGCAATGGTTGGGTCAAGAGGGGAGTGAGGGGGTGTACTTCGGGACGCGTGTGGGTAGCTGCAGCAACGCCCGGGCCCATCCTGTCCACTTACAGCTTGAAGCATGATACCCGTCCCCTCGTCCCCGTTGCTCCCAACTTAAGCATGCATAAGACGCTTAGGTATGTAGCTCGCAGCATGGAAACGCAGTCACCTCACGTCTCCGATGGACCTGAGGGTAAGTACCTGAAATTCTGCTGACAAAAGGGGCGTCCGCTTCTAACAGCCCGGCAAAGCTGGACAGTCCAGGGCATGAGGGGAATCGAAGTTCAGGATCCCTCCCCAACATCAACAGTGACTTGGTTCATTGGGCTCAGCGAGGTGGGCATAAGGTTGAGTTCCCCGCTGCCGGCAACTTGCGCAACCTTAACTTGACATCGGACTTTCTTGCTGGGAACTAGGTCAGGCTCGTGACAGCTGTTCATTCAATTGGGGGTTTGTTCCGCCAATGGCAAGCAAGACAACAAGTGAGTGCAGCTGTTGTTGTAGAAGGCGGTGAGAGCTCCGGAAGAGAATCGCGGAGAGAGAAGAACTGTGAGCCCATGACGAGCGTTTTTCGGTGCCTTCCATGCAACTACAGGCAGCTGAGCCTGCAATTGATAGTGCTGAGTCAAGTTTACCTATTTACAGCAGATCGTATATGGTGTCAAGCGGAGGAGAAAAAAGCACGAAGCACCGACTTCTTCCAACTGAAGGCTGTTTCACATCCGGCCCCGGCCCCCCCACCATCCACCACTCAGAATCAAATTGACGCTGCGTTTCCAGCGAGCCCACTTTCCTCTATTCCCGTTACGCCTTCCACCCATCTCGCCTGGACCAGCTGGGCTGAGGTGTCGGAGGTCTCTCTGTACACACACCTACATACAGTAGGCAGGCAGGATGTCAGTGGGGAGCGTGTGGTGGTTCCGCAGTCGCAGTTGCAGTGTCAGATTTGATGGGATGATGAAATCCTCGACCCCCCCTCCTCACTGTTTAGGTGCCGTGACCCGGTGCTTCTTAGTAGACCTACCTAGTGTACACCTTCCTGCAGCCGGCACTCGACTTCAACTCTGCATCACTTGATCCTTTTTTCTCCTTTTCAACCTTGCATCTCTCAGTCCCATCTCTTCTTCTCTCGCATTGTAACTCACAACCCTTCCTCTTCTAATCAGAATCGCTGTCCTCTTCTCCAGGCTCGAAACCCTCCTCCTAATGACCCCGGGCCTGTATATTCTTTAGCAGCCTTTAACTTCCACTTCCCTCCCCCTCCTTGCCTCTCCTTGTCGGATCCACTCTCCCGGCGGAGTAACGTGAACCCAGACGACGGCCGTTGACGGTTGACAAAATCGACAGCCCTCCGCTGAGCTGAGACGAGGCCGGGCGTGAGCCAAGCACAAGCGACGGAACACGAGCGAACGGCCGGGGGATTGACTCTCGCTCGCTACAAGGGGAGAAAAAAAAGTCCACACGCACCATCCCACACATAGCTTCTGGTGTAGGACCGTCCCGACAACGAGCCACCATTCCGCACCACAAGTCCACCACAACCCGGGCGCAGTTGCTATCCGATCCAATCCCACCTTGGCAAAAAAAGGCAAAACCAGGGCAGCCTGCCTCGAAAGGTCTCCCAGGAATATCCAGTTTGCTTACCTCAACTCAACATCTGAGCCGCCGCCGACGAGGTCGACTCAGCTCTTCCCTCGGTTCCTCTTTTCCCCTTCAACCTGTCGCTTCTTGTTGAGGTCGACTTACCAAAATTCCCCCAAGCCACTTCCCAACCTTGCCAAACTTTTTAAGAGTTTGCAAGTATCGATAGAGAAATCCCGGCACCTTTCGTCACCGACTCCGTAATCGCCCCTTGCAACAAATCTTTGCGACGTCGTATTCCCTCTTCGAGCTTCACAAGAAGGCTCCTCGAGCGACGCTCCTTCGCTCAGGTCAGCCTCTGTCTGATATAGATTCCTGCTTAATTGGACGGCTTTTGTCCGCCCCGCGCCTGGCGCTCTTTGACGTCGACGTTGGTCCAGCCTTTCGTCCCACACCGCCTTTGACCGCCCCGCCGGAAATCAGACTCGACCGAGACGAGACCTCTCTTGAGCTTTCGTCAAAAGCTTCTTGTCCGGTATCCAAGGCCTGGTAGCCGCGTGGACGCGACTGGAAACCACAAAAAGTTGTCAATAACTCCCATGAGAGCTGGATAAAAAATAATCAATAATGTCCAACCAAAGACCCGGCGATCATATGTCGCTCGGCTTCCCGCCGCAGTCGGTTTCTCTTCAGACTCGAACCGGTTCGCCCACAAGCACATCGCCGAATGATCCGACCTCTGCCGGTGCCATTCGCTCTCCTTTCGGCCTGTCGTCTTCCAAGATGGCTGGCGCTTCACGGTCAGGCAATGGTTCGCCGTCTCACGATATGGCGTCCTCTGGCCGGCTCTTTTCAAAACGGTAAGTCAATAGTGGCCCTGATGGTTTTGGAGCGCCGCTGACCCCGCCTTGCAATGTAGTGCCCGCGAAATCCAAGCCCAGGAAGGCATCTCGGGATTGCCGGTAAACCCATGGGGTGGACCCCCGACCAGCGGCAACTCGACCCCTCTTCGAGAGAACATCCCGGAGTCGCCCACCGATGGCTTCCCGGACTTCACTCAGTTGCCCACTCCGGACAGCTTGCCCCAGACTCGGCGTGCTCGTGCCGGCACCGTGCCGTCCAGATTTCCAGCCGGTGCCGGGGTCAATAGCATGCTGAATATCCCGGCCTTGGCTGCAAAGACCTCGCGCCCTTCTCCGTCGCATACGCCGTTCAAGTCTCCCTCTCCTGGCATTGAACAAGCTGAGGGGTCAGCCTCAACGCTTCTTTCCAGGCTGAGGGCTGGTTCCATGCCTCAGCGCAGCCCGTTCGCCCAGGTACCCGGCACAAGCTCGCCATTCGGCGTTTCCATCTTCAGCAGCTGGACGCCTACTGGTCGTGAAAGAGGCAACACTCTGGCCAGCATCGCAAGTGTGCCCTCCAACAACCCCAGCTCTCCGACTCAGTCACACTTCTCTCGTGAAGGCGCGGGCGAGAACGATGTCCATATGAGGACTTTGGACTACCTTGGCCTGGCCGAGACACCGCAACCTCCTCGCGCTCAGCTTGCCACCCCGTACATGCCAACCTATGTCGATTTTACCAAGGCCGCAAACAGGTTCCGTTCTTATTCAGTCAACAACAAGGATAAATACGCTGACGAGGAAGATGATTATGATGAAGATCCGTTGACCATCATGGAGAACCAATACGCTCAGCTTCAGGATCAACTAGCCGCCACCAACGCAGCTATCCAACAGCATAACCTCGCCGTACAGGCTTTTCAAGCTGCCCGTCCGCGTGCCAGGACAGCCGGTGTTCTGGACACTCCTGCCAGCCGGATTCTTCGTAACTACGTGCCAACTCCCTCTCGGCTTGACGCTTCTATCACAGCCGCCGACATTCAGTTGCCGGAGGAGAGACAGTACGAAGATTTGCCCCAGGCCGTTGCTGCTCTGACGCTGGGCAGATCGAACAGCCGCAACAACAACGGCTTGCTCAGCGCCGAGGAGCCCAACATGGAGGGCCCAACAAGCGCCTTGTGGCTCGGCAGCATCCCTACGTCCACCACGACCTCTACGCTAACTGAGATGTTCAAGTCGTACGGCCCTATTCTCTCCGCCAGAGTGCTGACCCACAAGAACTGCGGCTTCGTCAACTTTGAAAGAGTGGACAGTGCCATCAACGCCAAAGCCAATATGAACGGAAAGGAGATTTTCCCTGGTGCTGGTCCCATTCGTATCAACTTTGCCAAGCCGCCTTCTGCGTCCAACACTCCCGGCCACGATGGGGCCTTCCCTTCCCCTAGCCCTGATCCGTTTGCTAAGGGACAAGAAAATGGTCAAAACGGCAGCACTGGCGCATCTGGTAATGCTTCCCCAACACCTTTGGCCGGAAACACCACCCCCACTGTGCCACCTCTTTCTGAGATGACCGCCGACATCCTGAACATCGTCCAGCAATTTGGCGCGACAGAGGAGGACAAGTACAAGACTTCTGCCAACCTCCAGAACGCTATTCAGTTCGATAACTTTATCGATGAGATCCCCCCCATCAAGGAGCCCGCCCACACCCGTGTTCACGACGCTCCCAAGCTCCGTGATATCCGCAAGCGCATTGATAATCAGACCTTGTCTCAGCAGGAGATCGAGAACATTGCCATCGAGATGCTTCCTGAAATTGCCGAGCTGGCGTCGGATTACCTTGGCAACACTGTTGTCCAGAAGCTCTTTGAGCACTGCTCTGACTCGGTTCGCGACCAAATGCTTGCTGAGATTGCACCCCATATGGCTGAGATTGGCGTACACAAGAACGGTACTTGGGCTGCCCAGAAGATCATCGATGTCTGCAAGACGCCCCAGCAGCTGAATCTCATCGTTGAGAACCTGCGTCCCTATACGATCCCTTTGTTCCTTGATCAGTATGGCAACTACGTCCTTCAGGGCTGCCTGAAGTTCGGCCCTCCCTACAATGACTTCATTTTTGAGACCATGCTCAGCAAGATGTGGGAGGTTGCTCAAGGCCGTTACGGCGCTCGTGCTATGAGGGCATGCCTGGAAAGTCATCATGCTACCAAGGATCAGCAGCGGATGCTCGCAGCCGCCATTGCCCTGCATAGCGTACAGCTTGCCACTAACGCCAACGGTGCCCTACTCCTGACTTGGTTCCTTGATACCTGCACGTTCCCGCAGCGCCGCACGGTTTTGTCGCCGCAGCTCGTTCCTTACCTTGTGCATCTGTGCACTCACAAGGTCGCGTACCTGACCGTCCTGAAGGTGATCAACCAAAAGGCGGAGGCTGATGCCAGAGACACTATTCTTAAGGCTTTGTTCTTCACTCAGAACGACCAGGTTCTGGAGGCAATCCTCAGCGATCACGCATGTGGTGCGACGCTCATCTTCAAGGTCTTGACTACTCCCTTCTTTGATGAGACCATCCGGACTCAGGTTGTTGAAAACGTGAAGAACGTCTTGATTCGCATCAAGGCGCAGCCTGGTCAGGGTTATAAGCGATTGATGGATGAAGTTGGATTGTCTACTCGGAGCGGTGGGAGCAACAGCAACAACGGAAACAACGCTCGTGAGCACACCAACAATAACAGCAGCAACAGCAACAATAGTGAAAGGCAGCGCCCTACATCGCGCCAGACTCCTCAACATCAGCAGCAAAACCAGCAGCAGCAGCAGCAGCAGCAGCCGCCTCAGCCGGCACAGCAGGCGCAGCAGCAGCAACCTGGTCAGTTTACCCCTGGACCGGGTCAGTACTATAACCCATTGAATGTCGGCGCCCCCAACTACAATGACATGGCTTTCGGCATTCCTAGAAGCGAGGGCCTGGAGATCCCCCAGCAGTTCCCTGCTTTCGTCCCTCAAGGACAAATGTACGGTGGAGCCGCCGCGCCGATGGCCCCCGCCGCTGCTCTCCAGCAAATGCAGTACCAGCAGAGCATGATGGCACGCGGCGCACCTCCCATGAACAACTACTACCCGGCCGGTATGCCCGCCGGGTTTGGTGGTTTCCAGACCCCGAGCCCCTCGATCGACCAGTATCGCGGCACTCAAGCTGCCATGTCCAACGGCAGCCCGATTCAGCCGCCGCCTGGTGCACCCCAGATGCCTAACATGCCACCTGGTGGTCCTCAGGGTCCGTATGGCGCAGCTCCTGGATTCGGCATGAACATGGGCATGCCTACTCCTGGCTACGGCTACAACGCTGGGTCTGCTCCTATAGGCGGAGCTGGCATGCCGCCCCAGCAGCAAAATGTGGGATACATGCAGGAGCAAGGCAACAACAACAACTCCAGACGTGGACGGGTAAGTCAAGAATGCCGCCATCTTTGGACTAGATGATGGCGCACTGAAGTCGCTAACATTCGATTTTTGCTATACAGAGATAATCAAATTCCGCTGCGTGGCACCTAAAAAAGTGTCCACACATCTCGGCTCCTCGGCCCTTACAGCTCGGTAAGCGCCACGAATGGGCTATGTACAACACTTTACATCTCTTCTCTCTCACTCTATGTGTGTAAGGGATGAGGAATGTTAACCTTCTGTTGTTCTATTGTTGAATCGGTTTGGTTGTTCTTTTGTTCGGCTTGTCATTCATTTTTGGTATCGGTTTTGGCTTCGAATGAGTTTACGAGTGAGAGAGATGACCCCCCTTTTCTGTGATCCACAGACGACACGACTATGCAACGAGTTGGTACAGAACGAGAGTAGGGTATCGGCGGCGGAAGGGTTTGTGAGGTTGTCCAGGCGCAGAGCGGACGCGGTACATGAATTGAGCCAACGCATTATGAGAAGACGAAATAAAAATGGGCGAGTGAAAAGCAACGGGACGGAGGAAGAAGAACTTGCGACAAAACAATGAAGGGATGAGGGGGAAGCAGAAGGGGACGACGAGATGGACGTGGAGGAAGAGAGATGAGGGGATTAGACGGTTGAAGTTTGCACGGTTCGTTTCATGTCTATAGTCGTATTGAAAGGGTGGCGGGCTACTCTATAGTGCTGGTCTTGGAGCACGCCCATCGCCTTTTTGGTAGTAAATAGTAGTAGCATTTTTGATCTACACCCTGCATACTTGGTTGTATTTGCTTTTTTCCATCAACCGACGAGAGTGGGAATAGCCTCATGGACCAAGCTGATGGCGATGCTCAAGGCTGATTGGTCCAGGATGCTGTAGGCTTAAGGGGTACGGTTCACGGCTTGGCAGGTGACAAGGGGCAAAGTGACAGTTGCGGGACAGTGTCCGCTCTCAGGCAGGGAAGTCGAGGCAAGGAAAAGGGGTTGTGTGGGGGAGCGCGGGCCACTGGAGTGTCGAGGTGCCAAGCCTGATTGGAGAACGGGCGGGTTTCGCATCTGGCAATTTAACTTGACAGGCCCGAATTCTTCCAAACCCTTTTTCTGACACGCGTCTGAAGTCGCCGGCGCTCTGTGCTCATACACTACATAGGACTTGCCTGTAGAATCTCCCAAGTTCCCTTCCTGCTCTTGGCAACCAGCAAGGCTCAGGATATCCGTTTTCGGTTCTGGAATGGTATCAGCGTGAACGGCCGCATCCACCTTCATTCTTTTCTACTGCACGGCTTTTTGCGACTAGCGCACCGACTAATAACGGTCGGTCGGTACCTTGTTGGTCTTCGCTTCGCTCGTTCCAAGGCGGTCAAGTCAGCCCGCGCGCATCCCACCCGACCCGTCTTTTCGACCGTCGCTGCATTTCGCAACTTACAACTTTTTCCCTTTACCTACCGGACCACCCGCCTGTCTTTTTCTCACCACATCGACGTAATTCCCGTCAGTAGCACACCATGGCCAACAAGAGAAACGAAGACATTGAGTTGGGCCCCGCCGAGGGTCGGGGTTCGACCGACAAGGACCCTTTCCTGGCCAGGAGATCGTCTTCGCAGCCAAACCGCCCTCAACAAGCTGGTCCTTTCGGCGGCTACTTCGACAAGATTGACCACAGTCCCGGTGCCTCGATTATCGCCTACTGTCTTTCGTCGATTTCCATGACGGTTGTCAACAAATACGTTGTGTCCGGCAGTGAATGGAACCTCAACTTCTTCTACCTTGCTGTGCAGGTACGTCAGCCGGAACAAACACGCACACCCCAAGGCTTCAACCGCCGGACGAGAAAAAAAAAAAAAAAAAAGAAGAGAACGCTAACAATACCTCCATGATGGCAGTCTCTGGTCTGTACTGCCGCCATTTTGATTTGCAAACAGCTGGGCATGTTCCAGAACCTCGCTGCTTTCGACTCGACCAAGGCAAAGAAATGTAAGCCTTCCACTTGTTTCACCTTGTGGAAGTCTGGAGCTGTTGGCTGACACAGGGCTGCAACAGGGTTCCCTATCTCGCTTTTGCTCGTGGGCATGATCTATACCAGCACCAAGGCGCTTCAATTCCTCTCCGTGCCCGTGTACACCATTTTCAAGAACCTGACCATCATTGTTGTTGCCTACGGTGAGGTCCTCTGGTTCGGCGGCAGCGTCACCCCCATGGCTCTGCTCTCCTTCGGTTTGATGGTCCTCAGTTCCGTCATTGCTGCCTGGGCCGATATCCAGGCCGCCGTCGAGGGCGTTGGTCACACTGCCGAGGCTACCGATGCTATCTCCACCCTGAACGCCGGCTACGCGTGGATGGGTATGAACGTCTTCTGCACCGCCGCGTACCTTTTGGGCATGCGCAAGGTCATCAAGAAGATGAACTTCAAGGACTATGACAGTAAGTGGCTCTGGCCGGGATTTGTGTGGTGACAAAGTACATTACTAACGGAATTCTTACTTCAGCCATGTTCTACAACAACCTCCTCACCATTCCCGTCCTGATCGTTTTCTCCCTGCTCTTCGAGGATTGGTCCAACGATAACTTGATCAAGAACTTCCCCGTCGAGACGCGCAACAGCCTTTTCATCGGCATGATCTACTCTGGTCTCGCTGCCATCTTCATCTCGTACTGCTCGGCCTGGTGCATTCGCGTCACCTCCTCGACCACCTACTCCATGGTTGGCGCTCTCAACAAGCTTCCCCTCGCCATCAGCGGTCTCATCTTCTTCGACGCCCCCGTCACCTTTGGCAGTGTCACCGCCATCTTTGTCGGCTTCGTTTCTGGTCTCGTTTACACTTGGTCAAAGACCCGCCAAAAGGTCTCCCAGATCCTGCCTACCACTCAGCCTACCATGAGCGCTAGCGCGGCCAGCAACAGGGATGCGGCAAATGCTTGATTTCACAGACCGGTGCGGAGTTGGGGGCAGCAGTACCGAGCGAAGCGCGTTGCCGCCTTGTGGCGGGAACGTGACAGACTGTGCAAGCCGGAGTATTGCGCGGATGTAACACTGACGGTCTTTGCCAGCTCGGCCTCAGCTCCTCCTCCTCCCCCCCTTTTTCCTTCTTCCCCCACCGTTCTTCCCGCCTTTACCGGGCGCTAGACAAGAAACGGGCTTCGTTGCAGAGGGAAAAATACCTTTGTCTACTTTTGTCCGCCTTTTTCATTTTGGTTTTATTTCCCTGTACAATGCTTATAAACACCTGTTGAAATCCTCTAGTACACTGATCTAGTTTCGCATCAGACTCTTCTTGTTGTTTTTCCTACTCTCGCTATCTATAAGGATTTGCACAGGGAATAAAACCTAAGGTGTTAGGGAGTCGCAAGCAAGCAAGCAGGTGTGGACAAAACCGAATTGGATGTGTCTTTTTTCTCTTCATTTCTCTATAGGGTGGGTGTGAAAGGTGGTTGGTTGGTTGGTTTGGTTATTGGTCCTGGTCGGCCCATGGAAGCACATCACAACAGCATATGTGTGTCGTGTGCCGCGTGTGTGTCTCTATATGCGTTTGGTTAATGGCGTTAGTCTTCTGCTGGATCGGGTCGGTAGAAACTCACTCGGGACAGAAGGCGACGGCGGACGGATCGGATCTGGTCAAAAGAGGGACAAAGATGTGGGACGAATTTTCTCGCGGAATGATAGATGATTGTGGGACAGAGAAGGGGTATATGTGCTCCATCTCTACGAATCTGCTGCGGTCAATGGCATCTTTATGTTTGGTTACTTTAAGAGACTTGCCTTGTCCGGGAGCACTAGATACGTATATTTAATGAGGTGATGGATAATAGACGATGGTTCTGCCTACGAGATGCATGCTTGGGTGACCCGCGGTTTCGCTTGCTGTAAGGTCTGTTCGGTCTTGCGATGGCAATTACAGGGCCTGAAGCCGTTCAAGTTGAGAATTTCAGACACTTCCGTGCCGATAGCAACATTCTCGACCTTTGGGGCGTCATTCGCTAGCTGGCTGGTTCTATCTTTACTGACGCTTGATGCACACCTTTCAAACCCGACGTAAAAAGACTCCCGCCAGTACACATTGTATCAACGCATACAGAAGTAGTTTACTATTTTCATAGTTCTCATCTGGCCACGTAGGCGAGATGGCTGCCCTTGATCTTGCACTACACATCGTCGGCTAGACAACGACACCAAAAACTTTCAGCGGTATTGCCAAAAGCAAAACCCGACCAAAGGCGTCTGTCTATGGTAGAGGCCAAATAGTCCCAAATATCAACACCTCAAATGGCCTCATCATCACCGCATCACCTTCCAAATGCGCTCCTAGGCACCAACCCATTCCCCCCCTCCGTCAACGCCCACAACTCCTTCCAAAACCCAACCGCCCCTCCCACCAACAGCGTATAATACCCCACCGTCCACACCAGCCTACTGCCCCTTCCATCCAACCTTTCCACCCGCCCCCAAACCTTGGGCAATCCCATGCCGTTGCAGAACGCATGCACCGCGAACGCGGCCAACAGACTGCCGGTGCGGATGAAGACAAAGGTCGCGTACGCCCCGAACAAGGTGGTGAAGCTGAATTGGAACACGGACCTTAACAGCGCGGCGAACACGGGAACGCGCGGGTTTTGAAGCCGGAACTCGTAGAAGTGGTGCACGTGCGCCAGACCGAAGATGACGGGCGAGTAGAAAATGATGCGGGAGACGGGGAGGGAAGATAACAAGAAGAGGGGGACGGAGGAGGTGCGGAAGAGGAGTTCTTCTGTTAGAGGGCCCTGTTTTTTCCCCTCAGGTTAGTTGCATGCTTGGGAAGGGGATAAAAGGGGAGGACAAGAGGAAAAGGGAAGAAAGAAGAAAAAATGGAAAAAAAAAAAAAAAAAAAAATCTAACTCACAGCAACAATATTCCTCCAAGTCAGCATGTCCCCCCACAGCTCCTTCACCGGATATCCCTTAACCCAGTCCTTCCAGCCATCATCAACCACCAGATACAAGAACAGCGGACCAGCGAACAACAAGGCCGTCAGGCCCAGGGCCCTAGCAGACTCGGTGAGGCCTAAAGGCCACAACCCCAGATAGTGAAGGCCATCCGGCACGGAGAGATCGGCTACGTATAGCAGAATGAGGAAGGTGGACAGGCAGCAGCAGAAGCAAGAGATGCAGACGGAGCGGATACGGGCCCGGATCACGGAGGGGTTGTCTCGAGAGAGAGTCGGCGAAGGGCGGGTGAGCGGGGAGAGGTAGAAAGGGAGGAAGTATGAGAGGGCGTAGAATACGAGGAGAAGGGAGGCGGTCGTGGTGGAGATTGGGTTGCTATCTGTTTTCTGAGTTAGCTTTGTTTACTTTGGGGATGTCAAATGTGGTGAGATGGTGTATCGTAGTGTGGGTAGGTAGGGGTGAGTAAGGCGAAGCAAAGTGAGGGGTAAGTAAGTAAGTGAGTGAATGCGAGCGAGATGAGTATACCTTTTGACCAGGGGTTAAGCCTGTGAAACATTTCTGAGAATGCCACCATCCTTTCCTCAACGCTTGTTTATTTGAGGACTTCCAGGCTGATGTGACTTCAAACTGAATAGGTGCTTCAGAACAGCCCAAGGATAGACTCAATCAGAGTGGTAACGTTCGGGTCAGCCCGCAAAAGCAGAGGGTGCTCGATTCGATTCGATGCGGTACAATTCAGTTACCCAGTAGATCTGAAGGAAGCCGAATAGGAAAGAGTCGACAACAACGGAGGTTTCAGTTCCAACGTGGTGGTGATATGGTGGTACTGGCGTCGATCCTCGATCCCTGTCTTTGCTTAAGCGCTGTTACAGATTACGCGCGCCGAGGCGGCTGTTGAATGCCGAGAATGTCGAGATGCTTTTTTTCTCTCCAAATAGTTCGGAAGCGTTAGCCGCCGGAAAGCAAGGCCGAAGGTGGTGTACAGCAGGCGCGGCAGCAGGCAGGTTTCGTGTTCGAGAAGATGAATGGAGGAGGTGTTGTGAGGTATGCACAGCTCGTTTTAGATGCCGAGATGTCGGTCGCCTTTCGCGCGCCTGTCGGGAGCCGCTGTCAAGAATTCGGGTCGGGCTTTGACGTTCAGTCAGCTACAGTAGCCGCGTTTGAGAATTTGTTGAAACAGTAGTCGGGAGTGGTGAAGAGGCAACTGGACAGATCTGTTGTTCCTGCAGTAGTGAGGTGTCAATGCCGATCTCCGTGGGCCTTGGGCTGAAGATAAGTTCACGAGTCCAGACGAAGGTTACGGGACCCGTCTCCTTTTTGGTTCCTGTTGCGTTGTGCACTGGTGGAGGAGAAGGGGACTGGAATGTAAGTAGTTGTAGCGAAGTTAAGGTTTGCCCCACCGGCATTGTGTCTGACTTTAGCATTGTTGTTTGGGCATTGCGATTCTTCTTTCAAGTGCCCTACGTTCGGGCCGTAGCCGTCAGAAGAAGGTTTGAGCCTCCATCCGCCGCATGGCTTCACATTCCATCCGTCTTTCATCCGACCGATCAGTGGATTCGGGGTCCAGTGTATATTGGCCGCTGATATTGGTACCGGTCTACCGGTATACTGGTAGCATTCCGAATGTACCGAGCACATCTCCTATGTCTTTCGGTGAGATGTACATTGGTGAGGTATACATTGATTCACGCATATTACCTCCGTAAAAAACAATGCGCTTCCGCATGTCTTGGAAGGAGGATGGCATCTTTGGATTTTGATTCGTACTCGTCGCATCTCCAACGTGTCCGTCAGGGGTACAGCCGATCAGGAACAAAACACGCAAAAAGAAAAGAAACCAGTCAACTAACTCAGCAACCAACCAGTCCGTCTGGACCACAGCATACCTACTATGCAGTAACTACTATGTACTCCCTCCACTGTTCGCGCCATCAACTGGGTTGTGCATCCAACTGTCTAGTGTAGCCCTCAGCCTCAAAGCAAACGCCTTAGGGATGTCGCCAGTGACGCTTGTGTTTCGAATGGCAAGGAACCTCGCGTGGGCTCGTGGTTGTGGACCCCTCATTGGCGAATCAAGGTTGCCCCATTGCCCTTTTTCGCGACAAGGCAACGTCAGTTTGTGCCTGGCGAGCCCAGCTGTATCTCGTGGGACAGATCTGGGCGGGAGTTGATAGGCTTTTATCTGTTTGAGTTTTGCGGCAGCGATCGACTAGGACGAAGCGAACTCCATCGTGGTGTTGGCGAGCATGGAGAGACATGATGAACGCCATTACCGTTCGTCATGCTTTCCAGTCCATGCCCTATCCCACCCCGGACCGAGCGCAACCCCAGAGATGAAGTCCAAGGGCAGCCGAGATTGGTCAGGAAGGCCCAGTGGAATTGGGAACGGGGACAGTACACTACACGTGTAGAGATGGGGTCAGTGCTCAACTCGGTAAAGAGAAGGTGTGGTGAAAAAGTCCGGACAAGTCACTAGGTCTGGTTGATTGTCAGCTTGAGACCTCGGATCAACTTTCAGAGGTGTTTTCATACTGTAAGGATGCTTTTGCCCAAATCAAATGCCATACACACATAGGCTGTATTGAATCTGTTTGACCCCCTTTGGATCGGTACCTGGCCATCTAAACGGTTTGAGACAATTCAGAAGACAACTCAGCCAGTGTACACTCCTAGAGTACCGAGATAGCAAGCCAACTATCAAACCAGCACTGTATTATATAAGCCTGTCCGGACAGTTGCTCACATTCTTCAAGGGGAATCGATATGAAAGGCTGGGTGCTGCCATCGCGATGCCTTTCCTCCTCGGCGACTTCTTGTTAGCACCCCAGCTCGCAGTTAGTAACCTGCAGCTTATTGCAGGCGCCTGCCCTATCATGGCGCTCGGACATGTCGTTACGCGAAATTAGACTTTGTCAAGCTGGCAGACACCTGGTGCCATTTCTGCACTTTGTCACGGCACCAGGGGCTTTTTTTGGGCTTTTTCCCGCTTCCTTTGATAGGTAAGGTAGTATGACCTGCTGAGCCTGCCTC